AAAAGGGAAATAGCTAACGAGAAGGACACCCATCTGAGAAGTCTTGGTTAAGGGTTCCAGCAACAAACTTTTCTTCTTAAATACTCTAATACTGGCTAAAACATAATGTAATTTTGATGATCCAACATAAAATACATTGTTAAAAAAGACGAATTTATTTTAGAACTGACAGTGACAATCCAAGTGGATTCATTGGCATCAACATGCATCACTCATTTGCAGCTTGAAATATACTTTATTCAAAAAATTGTCTAGTGATATATTGATCATTATTTTTCTTTTTGTTCTAATAAAAGAGGCATTCACTGAAATCTGTTGCATATTAACCACTGCACATCAAGTAAATCAGCAACACAAGATTCTTCTTCTCAACATGTATTAGACTTCGACTCGTATTCATTCTATCCCCTGAAAATCCCTTTTAGCATCTTATTTATCTTTTGAGCACTATAGATCAAGGTTTTGTGGCCTCCTGCAGTAATAACTCCTTTGATGCTCTGTGAGATACTAGATTTCCTAACAATAGAAGTGATACCTTTTCTAACTACCTGTGAACAATTGACTATATCTTTAGAAGTATCATATAATGCTTCTTCAATTAAAGACGCCTCGACTTCTCTGCTAATGACACTGGAGACTACATACTGTAGTAAATTTCGGGGTAAAGACTTCAACCGAGAAAATATCACGTTTATTTCTTGATTCTGGTGATATTTACGAGATGAATGGTCAAAATGAATTTCATTTGATTTCAAAAGAATTGGGTTGTAAAGATCTCTAAAAGGTTCAATATTTGGACCAACAATGTTCTGTACTTTATTTTTGTTTTCTCCCACAATCATTCTGAAATCTCCCGCAAATGACAAACCTGCGATGCTTAAGAAAAGCTCTTCTTCTGTAAAGAACTCTGGAAGGCTCAGCAGCGCCACGTCGACAGCGCTGTATAAATTCCCCTTCAAAGCTGACAAAATATCTGCATCATCTCCTCGATGTAGGATTTTGACTGGTTTGTGAAGTCGCCCAGAGAGATATAACCACTGCCATTCGTTAAGATCAAGAAGAAAATTCTCGCGACTGATAGTCCCATATTTAATAACTCTTCCCTCCATTGGCACCAGAGTATTGTAATACATTCGTGCACCGAATCTATCTTGCAATGAAACCACAGCATTGGAGCCAAAACGTCCGACGAAAGAGTAGTGGTGTGAATGGAGATTCAGATTAGTTTTATGCCATTGATCAGCGTCTTCGAGGACAAAAACAAAGTCCAACATGTTCTTTGAAGACACATTTCCTTTCTGGGAAAATATTCCGGAGCCATAAGCGAAAGCAAGGGAAATTCCGGACGGAAAACGAGCCACAATTTTCTTTAGAAAATCATCATGTGAGTCCGCCATTTTGTTCGCGCTAGAGCCCAGTCTTTCATCTTGAAAGAGAGGTTGTTTACCGTTAAGTTTACCATGGCAACAGCTGAGCTTTTGTGGCTTCTCAGCTGTTGCCCCAGATATCATATTGAGTTCACATTTTTTTCTGCGATGGCTTTCTTCAACTTAACACGGCTGGGACTACAGGACCCTATAAAATCTGCAGTCACTAAACCGGGAACAGCTTCTGCACCAGGCGGAGATCTTGATACAGCGAAATCAACAGCTGCGGCAGCGTCAAGACACGCCAGTCTCAAAGAGCCGGTCTATCCAAACTCGGAAGCGAATGGATCTCACGTAAAATACACTACCCGTCTACACAAACACATTCGACCTAAACTGGGTAAGTCTGCTTAAGATAAAAAGCCTCCGCTTCCATACTCTGCGTGATATGAAAGCGCGATCTTAACAGTGATGATGAGATTTTATTTATTGAGACGGAAGTTGTTTACAGTAATTTTATAAAAGTGATAATGGCCTTCTTTGTTTATATCACTCACTCTTGGTTTTTAACATTTAGTCTTGTTGTGTTGTAAGATTATAGTCGAGAAACAGAAGTTGTTACTTAAAGGGCTTTTTAGTTAGCAAATACCCGATGATAATAAAAATGTGCTTAAAAAACGTTTCTATGACACAAGATCTCCCATGAGGCCTTTCAAAACTTTTGCCGCACATCTATCTACAAGTTACATTTGCAGGCATTTGCACAAGCGAAATTGAAAACCATGCCATCAACCTGATTTTCAGATGATCGTGCAGGCCTAATTTTTAATGCATTCACGTCCGTATCCTTGGACATCCACATCCGTATCTCATATCCTTGAGGCTGCTGTATAGGACATTTTTAGGGGGTGCCCCTCATTCACTGAGTGCAGAGGCATTTTGGAAGAGTACCCTCTTTGTGTAAGGCTGCATATGCACTCATGAAACTCAAAGGAAATAAAATTGTGTTGAGTCTGTACTGAGATCACATAAAATCAATTTAATAATTGTCTTTTCAGATGGTAGTGGCCAACCTGAGAGCATTGCTCCTTCTTTGATATTAATAGACTCTATGGACGATACTAAAGAAACTTCAACATTGTTGTCCCCTCCCAGCAGTAACAGTTTATTCACATCCAGGGGAGAGTAGGATTACTCCCAGGTGCTTCATGTTACAGAAATGGCAATAGCCCCAGCCGTGGGTGCTTCACATGGCTCATGTTAACCTCCAACGCAGTCGTCTTATATCTTCACTATAATGCGTTCCTTTCCCACTTTAATTTGTGGGAAAGGAACCCACGACAAAGCCTTAAGAACGTCTGCATGGGGGACTAGGCTGCTGTGTGCCTTTACCAAGTGCATAAGCAAAGCTTCATATTTTGAACACTGCAACCATTATTTTGCTTTATTTTTTCTACGATTTATTCTTTTTTCTAAAACAACGACTTTTGTCATCTTAAAACAAAAAAAGAACAACAAGAATAACAACAAATTAAACGAAACAGGGTCCACAGTTTTCCAAGAGAAAGGGCAGCCTTCTCCTACTGCAATGCCAAAGGGTCTATTACCCAGTGCATCTGATAATTCAGCCAGCAGCAGGCTTGTGGGATGGTACTCTCCTTCTCTTAATCCTAGTTTTAACTTAAATTAATTTTTGCAGGACCAAATGAAATATACCACACCCAAATAACAACAAATATAAATTACAGTTATTGGATGAAAGATGGAGTCCAACAAGAATCATGGACACAGAATGATCATCATCCAAGAGTCAATAGTGAAATGACAAGGTATCGTTCAATAATAATATTCATCATCATATTACTTCCTTTCATGTAAGATTTTGCCTAGTCTGTATAGCTGGCAGCAGTTATTTATTTTTTAACAGGCCGTGCGAGGGAAATATGTGAGATTTTCTTCCTTTTCCCTTAAAAAACGGCACCTGCTATGTAGGGTAGATTTTGCCCTTCAGACCTGTGTATTTTGTACCTGAAAAAGCATCCGAAGTTTAATTGACAAGTCATTTCAATAACTATACATACAATACCCGGGTAGTAAGGTGGGGGTTGGAGGGGTTTTGGAAGGGTGGTTGTGGGCACAGTTGGAGTTGATGAAGCCATCAAATGTATTGAAATAATGTGTTATTCAATAATTCATGATCTTATTATTTCAAGTAATGTTAGATTTTGCCCTACAGGGCCCAGTTGTTCAAACGCCGGTTAGCGCTAACCCAGTGTTAAATTTTAACCAGGGCTTCTTTTTCTTTTCATCAAAAGCACTCTCTCAGATGATTTTCTATATTTTTTTAGAGTATCCAATCATCAAATTGTAGACAAAGAGAATTAAACTGAATTTGCTTTTTACGCTCACATCTGAGTTGAAATTTCGCACTAACCCTGGGTTATCTTAACCCACCTTTGAACAACCCGACCCAGGTGTATTAATTTTTGTACCTGTATAGGCATCAGACTTTCATTACAACTCATATCAGCAACTATACAAAGGAACCCAATACAGCAAACTGCTAAATGCCTGGGGAGTGGGGTTAGGGGAAGGGTGGTTGTGCCCTCAGGGTGGGGAGAGAAGGAGTGAGGGAAGGGTGATTGTGGGCACACTTAGAGTTGATGAAGCCATAAAATGTATTGCAAAGGACCGAAAGTTAATGCAACCTTGCTTTAACATTAGGGTACGTACATACATACATACATGTACCCTACCAGTCCCATTTCACTTTGTTACATCAAGGTACCAGGACGGTAATAACAAAATCATATTAGAGATTTCTTGCAAAGTTCAATGCATTTCAGATAAAAGAAATGCTGGAAAATTTGCAAAAATGAATGTAAACTGAAAAAAACCTTAATACTTTCTCTAGTTTACCCTTTAAGGACTCAAGTTGAAAGGTACTTGTATGTTATAAACTTCAAGTTCAGTGACTTTGTGTTTGTTTCCTATTTTTCCAGATTTGTTGATGAAATGACACTTACCAACAGAGAGTTCACGTTATTTTAAGCACTGAACAATGAAATAGCTGGGATGCTCAACTTATTTCTCTCCCTCCTTTAATTGTCACAATGTTATTACTTTCTTTAATAGAATATTTCAATGATAAATGTCGTCAATTCATTGATGACTAGGGTACAGTGCTGACTTGTACATGTAATCATTTACAACCACTTAATTATCATGAAGCAGAAAAATAAGAATTCAACATTGAAACATGAAACTCAGATTTCACTTACACAAACTGTATCGATTAATGAGAACATTACCCTTTTATTGAAAAGTACATTCGTTTTTTAAATGTAATGGGTATGTAATTTTTTTCAGTTTTTTGCTAATAAAATACTTTTATAGAGAATGTACATGTATGGAATCAAATCTATTCCTTGTCTTTAACAATAATGTGTTATCAGGGGGCAATAGACAAGACAGAACTGAAAGTAATAATAATTTATTGGTGAATGTAGTTAACTTCACAAAACATTGCAACAAAATGCAATAGAATACATACACCTGTCTGGTGAGCCAAATGCACAGGTAGCTGCATGGCCTTGCATTAACAACAATAATTCAATAACTATTATTGAATGAGGCTGAGTACCATCTGAAGAATTATAGAGATTGGGAGGGTGTTATCCGCCGAGGCCTACAGAAATTTTAATTATTTAAAATATCTGTCAACCACCTCCATTTCCTCTCAAACATTTTGCAGTAAAACTGCATGGAAGAGAAAACACTAGAAACCCCAGAAAAAAACAAACTTTCTTAAAGACAACATAATTTGATACATTTCCTCAGTTTATTATTAGTATTATTATTATATTTTTGTTTACTGTGTTGCCTGTTCAATACAACATTTCTGTTGTGGCTTTGCATCTGATATTGATAACAAATCTTTTACTGGTCAAGATGTACAATTTTATCATGACCAGTTGAAATATTTAATTCCTTTTACCATAATATATTATTTATCAAGGATTCGAGTGACTTAAAATTTGAAACAATATTTAAATAGATCTCAAATTCATTGCATTTAATTAAATTATTATCACTGTATCTGTTGCCACTAAAAAAGTAATACTTACTTTTTTGAAACTTGCAACTCTATAATATCATATATCACCTTGGAGTTTCAAATACTCATTGAGTAGAATGAAAAACCAGTACATTATGACAGCTTTGAGTGGCTGGTCTCTTGGATCATTAATTTTGCAATGCCCATCTCATAATAATACTATACTCATTGTCTTTTTTAATGCATTTTAACATTCATGAGAGTATTAAATAAACCTTCAAGAAGCCCAAAGTCAATAATATTTCAACATTCATTTCTCACAAAATTGGAAATAAATAGCCAAGGACATACATTTGGTTTATAATTTTGCCAGACTTTACTATCAAGTTCAAAGGATTTTATTAAAAAAATAAGATTTGGCTGCCTTGCAGCCGTTTTAATTATTTTCATTTATTGGTTTAAGGACCCTCTAGGTTAATTACACAGTACAACATGAACCCATAATACTTAAAGCTGCAAGCTTTTGTTTTCTTCTTTTTAACCTCATGCAACTGTGACTTGGAAAACACAAAAAAGTGTTGGGAACTGCAATTTAAATCTTAATATTTCCAACATGGTCATGACTTCTGATCTTTGATTTTTAAGAATGACGGTTTCAGTGTCACACTGTAGAGTGACAGACTACTGATATTCAAGACAGTGAGAGTGCCTTAGCTCATTTTTTCTGCTCATCGTTCTACTGTGTTTCATCCATGTTTCCTTGGTTATCACTTGTCTCTATGGTAACATCAGGCGGCATTGGACTGCTGTCACCCAGCATAGTACCATAAACATTACAAGCGACAATCAAGCAACACAACACAATTGGACCAATGATGGCTCCTTCAAGACCCACACAATAGATTCCTCCTGCAACAGCTAAACCAGTCAGGTATGGGTGGCCACCCCTGTTGATAAACAATAGTACAGCAATGGTCTTAACAAAATACCGGTAAGATGGAGTGGAATTTACTTGAGCTTTTGATTTTGCTTTGTGGGGTTAAAATTTTGAGCCACCTATACAGTGAACTAATACACTACACTGCCGATCAGTTCAACAAAGTTTGAAGCCTTGATACAATGCAGTACTGTGGTTGTTCATGATATGCAATATTAAACAAGTGCATACGGCCCTTATATCATACTTCATTTTAAGTCAAATTCTTTCATTGTTGAGGGAGCTCACTTCTGAAAACTTGTAGAAAATTTCTTGGTATAAAATATTGTTAATTTCAAATACATTCGGGTAAAATAATATTCTTAACTTTCTTTTTTGTTATAGTACCATACACTTGAAGTCAATGTACAATAAAGGCTGTGCTTTTGTTATGAACTGCCTTAAAAGGACCAGTTAGATTGCTTTCATTCAAGAGTTTACTGATACGTCGCTTACAAAAACTCTAAAAAAGACAATGGAAAAATCACAAAAGTTTTTGTCGTAGCTTATGAGAGCTTTTTTGATAACAGAACTTATAATAAACTTAAGTTCAACAGTGTTGGTTCTAATGAAAGTGATTGCAAGAGGTGAGTTGGGTGTACTTCATCAAGAAAATGGACAATACCATGTTATGTGAATTTGGGTTTGCAAATTAAAAACTTACAGCAATTCTAATCCTGGTAATAACATTTTTCAATAAACTACGTGTAGTAGGGCCCAGCAATAGGATTGTAAGTCATGAGGTGAAGTCACTTTTTCAAGTGTTTTTCCAAGGAGGGTCAGTTTATACAAAATGATACTTTGAAACAAAATGAAGAAACTGCATACCCAGTAATTTCACTGTAAATGGCAACATCCACAAAGTATGTTGGTAGAAAATGGCAGACTGCAAGCACAGCAGCCATTATTCCGTGTCCTTGTACCAGCCACAGTTCAAGTACAGCAGGAGCTGCTGCCCAGTATGTACCAATAAATGGAACAACAGCAGTTATGGCTGCAAATGCTGAAGGAAGAAAAACAAAGATATGCAATCCGATCCAATGGTTGTTCTAGGGTTGATATTGATTAGTTTTGAGGTTTTCAACTCAACAACATTTCTGCACAACCTAAACCTAAGCCTAAGTCGCAAACTTTTCTGTGCAAGTGTGTCACGAAAGTTGGAAAAAGAGCAAAAAAGAGGAATGAAGGGGAAGGGGGAGGGGAAGAAAAAGACACCCTTGACCGCAAACCCCATGATTCTGAAAAAAAAATTAATGTGCAACTTCTGATTGGTGCAGAATGGTCATGTTAACTGAAAAGCAATCAGCATATTAATCAAACTGGCTACTGTAAGTGCACTGTTGATATTCACATTGAGGCACGGGGTATTATTTCACTTTACATACTGTAGGTTTAAACATTCAATTTTCAACTAGAATAATGTATTAAATAGTCATGCGGTAATTTATTAATTTGAAACTACTTTTCAGCACTAGCCACACAACATGTAGATTAACAATAATACCGCCAAAAAATAAGACAGACAGGGTATATTGTGCCTGTTAGCACTAGTGGTGGTGGGAGGGGAGGGGGTGAGGGCATGATGAGCCTACCAGAAGGTATGTAGACAATATTAACACCAAATGTTGTGTGGGTGAACCATGTATAGATGCCATAGAACACTGCCATCTTAACTGCTGCTCCAAACACACCCCTACAAAAATTAGTATGTAACACATTACAAGATAAAATTAAAATAAATAACACTACTTATTAATGTACAGTGTTGTTTATACACTATTAAGTTGAGAAATCACTTCTTTAGGTATCTGATATTAGGAACCCTACGAAACTATGACGGCAACATCAAAAAGCAATAGGTTTAGTTAGCAAAACAACAACTCTGCACGTGTATCGTGCTTTCTTGTACATTTCTTTGCTGTCCCTGCATGACTATGACGTGAAATTACCAAATTTTAATAATTTATTCTGAGGACGGGAACGGTAAGGCGATACATTCTACCATCTGTGTCTGAATTCGGGTGTGGCCCCCTCTCTTCAGCTCCAATATAAATTCCCTTCTTTTAAGTAACTCGGCGACTTGAGATTACTGCGAAATGGTTTGAATGAATGGCGAGTCTATTTTTCAGCGAGGTTTTCATGGTCATGCTGTTGTTGGATCATAAGATCCCTATTACTACTTATTCTAATGGATGAAACTTTCTCTGTGTCAATAATCCAGAAATCAGCGCAATCAATATAAACACGCATTCCAAAAAGGCCAGCAATGTTAATTGACTTTTGAGAAAAATTGCAACTTCACTGACTGAGCTTAAAAATAGTGTTGCTCCTGGCCTGTTTGGCACGCAGCAACCTTGTCTCCAGTGCCTTTTCTACAAAGCAGAACAGCTGAGAAGGGGGGAGAAGAGCAATCTGTGGAGAAAGCTGCTACAAATACTTCAATAGATTTTCTTTGCTTCTGCTTGCATTTCAGAATCCATATCTGAAATGGCTGTAAATCCATCCTAGTTAAAACATTGGATGAATCTGTATAGGGTGGATGTACAAGAGCAACAGAAGTAGTAGTGGCAACTTGGGCTTGAGCAATTCATTCATTAGAAGCAATACATTAAGTGTACTTGTATAGGTAGCAAATATTCTTCTTCAAATGTTGGCTACCCACTTATTATGACCAGACTAATGATAATACCTTCCCAAGATGTCTGTCATGAGGCAAAGGAATTCAAAATCTTTGGTCTTTTTTCAGTAGCAGTATGCAGGTATTTCAAAATGTAAGTCTAAATAAATTACAATTCTAACAGCCCAGAGAGTCTTTATTGACTGTTTATACAAACCTGATAGCTCCATATGCAGAATCTCCAAATCCAGATGTTCCAGTAGCTGTTAATTTACCAAACCATTCAACAGGCTTGTACTGCTCCCCAGAGAAACTCAATAAATAAAACAATGCAGTTACAAAAACGATCTGAAAGAACACAAACAGACACCACTGAATTTACTCAGAGTCAACAACAGCTTTTGTCCCCATCAAAGGGCTATGTCCAGTCAGCAATTATTGCAGATAATACCGTACTTGAAATTATAGTTACCTTGCCTGGTCATCTGTGCTTGTAAAAGAAAATTTATTTTGAAGAGAGCTTTTTTTGTGTTGAACAACATTCATGTTTTTAAACAGAACGAAAGACAGACAGGATGGAAGGGAAAGTAAAGGATATACCTGCACATTATTTACATGTACAATATGACTGGCATGGAAATCATCATAAACTTACATATTACAAAGACTTTATAACACCACAAAATAATGATTTCATAGTATGCTATTACTTGCACAAAACTTACCATGGACAAGCCAGTGTTGAGAAGGTAAGCACCACTGAAGAACACAATAGATAGAACAGTGGTAACGAGGTTAAAAGCAAAACTGATGTTTCCTTTCAAAAAGTTCCAAATGGACTCCAACAACTGAAAGCAAAAAATGAAAATTACAAAAATGTCAGACATCACAGAGTATAAACATCAGTCATATTATTTTACTGTTGCTAAGGTATTGTTTAGTGTAAATTATTTACCAGTTCCATTACAATAATGGAAAACAGGATTACAACACTACTGCATGTATACACATAAGACAACAACACACTATAGCTCCTTAATTCTTTTATGTTATTTTTTTTTAAAGTTAAAGTGAAAAGGACAAAACAAAATAGGTTTTGACTGAAAAAGGCCCATTTTTAAATTTGTTTCTTTGAATCACAAGTCAAAAGCCAACTTTTAGACTGACGATAAAGTTCTATATAGAATTGAAAGAGGTCACAACAAAATGATGTACTTACAGACAGCAAAGTTCCCAGATTTTCTCTTACATATGAAAAAGCGACTCTCAAGTCAAACACATTAAACAGGTTCATCAGGTTTTTCCAGGAGAACATATCAGTCACGTTTATACTCTTTGGTTTCTCTACTGTTGTGATTGTTCCATTGTTAGAGTCTTCTTTTGTTGCCGACGAGTTACCCTGAGAATAAAAAACAAAGCTGTCAGTCAAACAGTATACACCAAACTGGGTCAAAAGGTTACAACATTTTCACAACCAAAAAAATCAAAAACATTAGTGCACAAATTTTGGTCAACAACTTGATGCTGAGTATAACTATTAATATTTCTTTGTGATGATTATCATCACAGAGAAATATTATTAGTAGTTATAATCAGCATTCAGTTGTTGACCAAATGCTGTCAGTTACAATGCTCTGACAAAGTTTTCAACTGAATTATTTAAAGTCAAGGGGAGGGGGACAGATCAGCTCAAGGGAGTAGGAAGGGGGACTTGGTTCCTATCCTTTTTATGGACACCCATAATTTTGCTTACCCAAGTTAGCCATGAATCATATATACGATCTGTCAGGTCAAGCACTTGTTCTTGGATGGCACTAGAGTTACTGTCACCAAACATGGACTGCACCTACAGTGGAAACAACATAACAATATTATTACACATAATTCAACAATTTACTTTTAACAGTGAAATCATAGAGACCATCTCTTCCACAGTTGTAAAGTCACAGGTTACTACATTAAACTTTATCTATAACTGTCAAAATCTAAGACAACAACAATAAAAAATACTACTGGTTTCCATATCAAAGAGAGCCTGTTTTTCCAGGAATAGCCTATTTATGATCAGGAGGACTAACAAGAGGGCCCTTTAAAGGAAAAATAAGATGTGTCTTAAATAAGGCGTGAACTGTACCATTTATACGAGCATGTCCTATCTTAGACGAGAACAGCTCATATAACTGGTTCGCGTATTATGTCTGTTTGACTCGTTTTCATGTGAATGTTGCCCGTAGCAAAGGCAATCCAACGTGGTGCGCCAAAAATTTACGCATGCATACTATGCGTTCGCGTCTTATGTAAGATGTGAAGGTCATTATTTTATACAAAGTTTTTCTTGTCTTAGCTAAGGCGCATCTTATCTAAGAACAGGTGTTAAGGGCTGTTCTAAAATAAGACGCGTCTTATTTTAGACGAAATGTGCCGTTTGTATGGAAAGTTCGTGTCTTATTTAAGATGCGTCTTATGTAAGACGCGTCTTATTTTTCCTCGTGTAAATGGCCCTAATGTCTTAACAATAACAAACATAAGTTTTTAGTATTAATTTCACAAATTTTTATTTCTTTTTTTTATTTCCTCGATTTTTTAATACAGGTAGATGAACTCACTTTCTTAGTTAGAACTTGTGACTTTAAAATAGAAACAAATTTGTGGGGAAATTTACATTACTCTCAATTACTGTCTCTAACTTCTCCAGCTGGCTTAAGAAGAGATTCATTTTAACAATGACAGACTGGCCTTCACCTTGGCTGCTATGAAAGTTCTTCCATGTTTGTATGCCCTTTCTATAGCTTGTTCCATGGTGTTTTTCAGTTCCTTGTTCTCCTGAATCCAACTAATACAATCAAATAACAATAATCAAGAACACTTTGGAAGTTACTGATTATTATTTTTATTATTTTAACCACGACAGGATTAGCTCAGATGGTAGAGTACTTGACTGTAAAGCTGGATGTTGCACGTTCAATTCCCAGGGCTGGACCAATACTCAGGGTTTTAAAATAACTTGGAAATGAAGGGACTGCCGGTGCACAGCAAATGGCTAGACCTTTACATGGCAAGGATGATCACGTAAAAATAAAAAGTGTCCCCAATTATTACTTTTGTGCTAAATGCATTGACATTCAAATAACGTGCTTTTTATAGTTTACACAACCGTAAGTATGAATTGTAATAAAGATCATCCTCATGCCTGACTTCTCCAACTCTGTTATTGTGATGTTTGAATTGTTTTCCAAAACTTTTTAACACTTTCTGTACATGTACTGTAGGCTCTAGTCTGAATAAGATTGAAGGAGCTACCACCAACACTTACTTACTTGACAAGCTGGGGATTGTTAGCCATAACTTTGTTCACTAAGTTTGCACTCACAGATACTAACTGGGCACTTTCATGATGGACCTGAAGAATGAGGAATTAAAATAATCAGCACTCAAATTAGAGAAAGGTAGCTTACTTTACTTTCACCTAGTAGTTAAGAATATCATTCATAGTGTACTTAAAGAAGAAAGGCAAACCAAATTAAAGTTTTTCTGTACAAGTGATCATGTTAACATTGTTTAGCAAGGAGAGATGGAGTCCTGAAAATGCTCCTTAAAGGCACTAATTACTTATGGTGATTTTGTAAAAATGGAAAAGGAAGTTGACTAGCGATTTCAGGTTTAAAAATGTTCTTATTTTTATTATTGTTTGTAGACTGATATCAGTTAACTAAACCAAGAATCCAGCAGAAACCATGGAGATCAGTTTAACCCATTCGTTCCTGGAGATTTTGCCGAAAAACACGTTTTGAAGCTAGTCGAGCGGTTTTCTGGTCACTGTCGTGCTATAAAGGGCTAAAACTTACCACAAACCGGTTTACAGGTCATACACTTGGCGGCCTTCTGATCCAGATGCAAAACATCAGCTTGCGAAGTTCGGGCAAGTGCAGAAAGCAAAATTTCGAGATAGTTTTTCCGTTTAAAAGTGACACAGCAGTCTTGACTTTTACTTTTCGCTTTCTCTCCTCCCTTCTTTTTTCGCTTTTCTTGCCTCATTTTTTTTTCTTTTGCTGGGCATTTAGTAGGCTTCATTTTGGTGGGAAGAGTTTTTAGGAAAGCTTTTAGGATCTTAGGATTAGGTGAAAGGAAAGGTAGGTGGACAATGGAACAGGATTTTCATGGAGATTTTCAGGTCAATGTCACGTGGTTTTTTGCTTCTTTCTCTGGTGTCCTTGACTGATCTCTTCACTCTACACAAGTTAGCCAAGAAAGTTGTCCTTGACAGTTAAAACTGATGATGTCACAAAGGGTAGAAAGGACCTGGATCCGCACGGGCGATTACGGGCGGTTCAGGGGCGAATGGGTTAATCAAAATGATAATAATAAATTATTAGACTATTCACAATCCACTATTTTTCTGTAAGATCAAGATCAAGAGCTTTCCAATAATTATTACAGTCGGCCATCTTGCCTTTAAAATAAATAAGTAGTGAGGGGACGGGTGTCAGAGGTTTCAAATTGTCCATCCTGCTTAAAGTTGCCACATTCCTGTTTACAGTGGAAACCCCCTTATGGCCACCTCAGTAATACAGTCACTAGCTTTGTTATTACGGCCATTTTTTTTCCCCTGGCAAAATGGTCATACATTTTCTTATAAAAAACCCTCGTTAATGCGCAAATGCAATAATAAAGCAAAAAGCCACATTTTAAAATCTCAAACAGTAGAATATTTTATAACTTCACCCTGTTAAATACTATATACGGCCACTCGTTCAAAATTTAGAAAATGAAAAATAATGCCTATGACACATTAATTTCCCTGACCTAGCAAGCTGAGCCAGTTCTTGTATTGTCTTTAGACTACAGTACACTCAAAATGCATTTGCTGTGGTTTAATTGAAATGTTTCAAGTAATAAAGAAAAGTTTAGAGTAATTTTTGTAATTACTCTAGATAGCGATGTCTACATTCCGGGTGTTTGTTAAAGATAACAGTTGTTCAAGAGGTGCGAATGCGATGCAAGGCTGTGCTCTTAGGAAAATTGAAGGGTGCCCAGTGCTCTGAACCTGTAAAATCTAGCATGCCCATCTAGTCGCCCAGGAGCAACAGTTGGGCGCCACGAGCCACTGGGCTCTGCTAGAGCACAGCCCTGCGATGTATGGTGCATTTGTCATTCCAGCCCTGAGCCTGCCCTGGTAATACGGCCACCCCATTAACACAACCAAATTTCTATGACCTATTGGTGACTGTATTAATGGAGTTCCACTATACTATGTTCCCACCCATTTAACTAAAGGGTTTAGTTAAACATAAAAAGGAAATGAGATACCTGTACTGCAAAGAAAACTGCAATGAGGGAGAAGGCCACAATAAGGAACAGCACCATAAAAATACTTATGATATTCTCCATGGAATTATCCATTATACTGTTGATCTAAATGATGCAGTATTACAAACAGTTGAAGTGAGTACATTGAGCAATAATGAAGTAGAAACTAACATTACAAATGAAATATTGCCTTTGCCATTTGCTTTGCACAATGGTCTCAGATGGTAAAGGCCATGTCAGATGGGAAATCTCTCGACTAAAATGATTAACTGTCCATATGGGTAGACCTAACTAATAAACGTTTTTTAAATATTACTTCCTTAATAACAATAATAATAATGATAATAATAATAATAATAATAGTAATAAATACTACTTATTAACTGAGAGCGAGGTCATTACAGGGAAATCTCAGACTGAAACCTTGATACATTGACTGAGTGATAGCGAGGTCAACACATCAAGGCCGAGGTCTGTGATTTCCCAGTAATGACCGAAAAGATGAGGTTATCTACCTATGTATTAAATGACATTCATTATGGACCTGAGCCAATGATCAATATTAAAACCAACAACTGGTCAGTGGGTAACTTGAAAAAAACTTGTCGCCTCAATGAGGTTGTACACTTGAGCCCATGAAACAGTTAGGTGACAATGGTCAGTGGAGACCCTTTTGACAGCTGTCAATTGACCATAACATGGATGTCCATAAGGACGTCCACTATCAAGTTAAACACAGATTGAATACGGCTTGGACACCTAGCTAGTAATGCCCAGTCATTACAAGAATAGACTCTTCATAGTCCCCTATTTTTCTGTGAGATCGTTGAGATCGAGCGCTTTGCGTTACGGGCTGCCATCTTGCATGAGTGTCAAAACTACTTGGGGCGGGGGTGGTTTGGGTTTGAAGCGAGAAAAATAGAGGGACTGTAATAATATCACTGCAGCTCATGTTTAGGGAATGCGTTGTACCAGCAACGCAGGTGTTTGATTGGTCTGTGAACAGTCTATACAAGAAAATAATGCCAGGTCATTACAAGAAAACAGCCAGAGTGTGTGTACTATTGTAGCCATATAATAATAATAATAATAATAATAATAATAATGATAATAATAATAATAATAATGATAATAATAATAAATAATATAATCGATTATTAATAAAATTTAACTTACTGTCCGATCAACTTTAATTCCTCCTTTAAACAAACTACTCAGCTGTGTTGGAATCAGTGCCTGTTTTCTTTCATTTGCCCAACTTTTGAGTTTTTCCCACTGAGAGATGATAAAAACCCACCATGAACTTGAAGTTATTGATGAACCCCAATATGCAAAAAGCTGCTTCAGTGCATAAAACATTGCTGGCAACAGCAAAATCATTATGTAGTTCCAATGAAGCCAAAGGCGCGAAAGAAGAATTCCCCAGAATAGAGCCACAAAGTATACTTTGCTCTTGTTTGTAAATTTTCCCTCTTTCTTCAGCTTTAATTTTGGCTCCAATTCTTGTATTCCTCTGCGGCGCTTTGAGAGCCCTTGTCCCTCAATAATGTCCCTTCCATCTGTACAGTCTATGGCAGCTGAGGCCTGTGGAGGAGATGAAGTAACAGAAGATGCCGACTCTTTCTTACTCTCCTCAGAAGAGTCCTTTGATTTTGAGTTTGGTAAAGAGGTGACCAAGGCAGTAGCTGCTATTGATAGATTTCTGAAGAGTCGCTGTCTTTTGGTTTTCCAGTCATCTTTATTAGCAACTGAAAGATAAGACAAACACCACAATGGATATAAAGCCAATAATAATATCAGTATACCAAAAAAGGACAGAATGAGTCCGTCTCACCAAAATACAAATAACATGCTCTTGGATAAAACTGCCATTTGGTCACCTTCCACAATAAAATGAACACTATTTTTCGAGTATTTTTATCAAAATGTAATCTTTTTAAATGGAGTTTGTAAGTTTTTATCCCTAAAATATATCTGATTTAGCTCTCTTGTACAAGCAAATAACGAAGATACAGAAAAAAATGTCTACGTATACGCTATCAACTTAATTAATGTCAGACTGTGTGGTACCAAAATAGTCTGCTACACCGCCGTTTTTCGTGTCGTCACGCAACGCTCCTCCGCACAAATGGTTTCTTCCAAAGCATTCTGGCGGTCCGGACGGCATAGTCTTGCATTGCCTGCTGTATTTTCCACATCATAAGCATCCCATTTAACTGTAGTGATACAGCTTTAAGAGTTACCGATGCTAAGATAGGCCCGAAAGTTAAAATTTTTGTGTTTCGCTATGTTTGTTTTGTTTCCCGAATTTGGCGCCAGAACTCGTCCCCAAGATCTTTGGCCTTTTCTCATCTTGGAAACCGGGCTGAAATTTCTCATATGAACCCAAGGCAAAATTCATCCCGGTAACCGAGCCAGCCCGGTCAACTGGGCTCATATGAAGAGGCCCTTAAGACGCGGAAAAACATAAGGTAAGATTTCATAGTGTGAAGCTTCTTTCATCACCCCAATCGATTTCACGGCGTGAAAATTGTCACTCCTATACTATATTCACGGCATGAAAGTTTTCACTCTATCTTTCACGGCATGCTAGTTTCACGCCGACAGTGAAATTCACCACAGAGTGAACACGGCGTGAAATTTTGAATTCACGCCGTGAAAAGTCCAATTCACGCACTGTGACCGTGAAAAAATTTCCCGGTTTTCGGTGAAATCCATAAGCCCCCTTTTCGCGTGAAGGGTCACATATGTGATGGCCTTCTCGGGCCCCATATTAATGTCACGCAAAGGAAACTTGGGAAATTAGAAAGAGCTATATTTTCAAAACGGAAAATGCTATCACGTTGAAAACTTGCACAGAAGTTTATTTTTAAGAGATCTTTTGCTAGATGGAGATAAAACCTTAAGAGTCCTTGCGATTTTGGAGTTTGGATTTTTGTGACATCCCTTGAAAACCAAGGTTTACCTATCTTTAATTTGTACTTGTATTTTCACACTGCTTTTTAAAAAATGAGCTGACTCTGTTCACTTTGTTAATTTTTTGCTCAGAATATCTTGTTAAAGCTTTTTTTAAGATGATGTGTCTCAAATCTACTCTTAGTGCTCTGTATCTGTATTTTTTCCCATATATCCCTTGTTTCTGCTGTAACTATCATTGCTGGCACTCCCTCCATTTATCATTGTGCTGTTTTGTCTCTTCATACTTATAACAAATATTTTCTATTCGGCTGAGCATAACAGTAGAGAATAGAATTGCTAATAATTTATTGTTAAAGTCTGCCTGAACTTAAAGCTTTCTTTTCACCTACATCTCAAAAATCAAAGAAAAAGCTTTTTCATTATTTACCTTGGTCATGCCCTTCAGAAGCAGCAGTGAGGTATCCAACAATAGAACAAACAGCAAGCAACATGAAAAACAGAATTCTGTAAGAACCAGTTAGCGATACAAGATGAAGCAGGAACATAATCCAGACAGGCAAAGAGAAGAAGGAGATAATACTTGAGGAGCTTGGTGTCCAAAAGAATACCAAGATTAGTACATAGCCAAATATAATAGTCCATATCTAAGAGACATGAAATGAAAACGGTACTGTTACGTGTTTGATCATTTACAGTCCCCTAACACCTCATGTGATTGACAAGATCCATTGCCAAAGTAGCCTCTCAGCAAGCTCTTGTGGGGTGCAGGTGGGAAGAGAATGCCTCTTTCTTCTCCTGCCCCCTTCCCCCTTAAGAACTTGCTTGCAGGGTGTCACCAAGGTTAAAGACTATATGAGCCTTGTCTAGTTACCATTGCTAAGTTTAGGGTGTTTTGAGATGTTGCAAAACTATACGATTGTAAGTCAGGTAAGTTATGTTAACATTGGTGGTGACAACACCATCTTTAGCACCACTCATCCTTCCCTTCAAATAATTAAAAAAATGCTTTGTGGTCTATCTGGGCAGGCACATAAATGCCAGGTCAGGATGAGCAAAACAAAAAGAAAGTAAGGTAGAAAATTACGGTGTCAGGACTGAGAAGTGAGAGGGTAAATCTCTCTGATAAAGTGCTAGCAATCAAATTATCATAATGCCAGTTTTTGAATTGTTTTACAATAGCCCTGCTAATCTAAAATGGGTGCAAAATGGAGTGAGGATAAGGGTTCTAAAGTTTCCAGTGCCTCAGTGATGAACCCCACCTAAAAATACATAGTTTACCCCCTGCCCCCTCAGGTCCTGGCCCATTAACTGCTAATATAAAGTACAGCCAATGCTCCCACTTGCACAGGCAGGCAACCTCTTAAAACAGAAAAATGTTCTGCAACTAGAGCCGCGGGCTCAGGCAAATGTATCTCTTAAATAGCAACACTGAGGCAGCTCTTTCGTTTTCGCTTTTGTCACTGATGTACACTCCATGAGCATCTGATCCTCAATTTTACAGTAATCAGTAAAAGAATTGATACTAACCAGGAAGGGATTGCTAAATATGTCTAACAGCATGTGGACAAACGAACCACATCCTTTTAAAATCCACACAATCTCATTAAACGGCTGAATAATGTACAGACCGTAAACAACAGCGGCAATCAGGGAAAACAAGATGAAGTTACGTTTCTTTTCCAGGAAAAAAGATCCAACAAAGTCTGAAAATTTATTGCCTAACCGAAATGGCACCATCATCGCTCCAACCACCAAAGGTGTCCTAGATTCTCTTAAAGAACGAAGAAATCCTCGAACAACTAGAGTAAGTTTCCATTTAAACGGAAATAAGAAGGCTCCACATAAAGCTGCCCACAAGAGAGGACGAATAAATGGCCCCAGAACATAGTAAACGGCAACAGCAGCACAACCGCTCAACGCCACGAATACCAGAGCAGCTGTGTTGTAGAAGGCCAGCTTCAACGCCTTCTCGTTTTGTTGCTTCCCAGCAGATGTAAAGACAGCTGAAAATGGAGAGCTGAAAGCCTCGAAACTTCTTTGCCTTTTTGTTGTCTTTAAAGCTGCCATTTTTGTGACATATCAAGAAAATTTACGAGAAAGAAATGAAAAAAGAAGGCGACATGGTTGCAAACTGCGCGCTTCTCCAATAAATGTTTTCTTTACCCCCAAATATGGTCATGAGGTTCATTTTTCAACCGGGTGTAGACTGGTGCCGACTATCTGGTGGGCTTTGCCTCTGCTTCAAAATGGCGTACCATTCTGCAAAGAAACTTGACGATCTCCGCTTCAAAGATGACGGCCTTTCCACTCTCACTTCAGAAGAGCAAGAGAAAGTCGAACAGCTGGTGGGAAGAAATTATACTGCGTACTTTCGAGTCAAAAGTCTAGACCCGGAAGTGCCACTATTCCGCCAGAAACACGTTCACTACCTCAAGCGAGGTCTGCATCATCTGTCTGAAGCTTATGAATGTTTGGACGCCAGCCGACCTTGGCTTTGTTACTGGATCTTACACGGGCTGGAACTACTCAATGAGTCAATAACTCCTGAAGAAATCTCTCGAACTGCTGATTTTTTGAGACGCTGTCAATATCCTTCTGGGGGCTTTTCAGGGGGGCCACAACAAGTTCCTCATCTTGCTCCTACATATGCAGCTGTTTGCGCGCTCTGCATCCTGGGGACGAAGGAGGCTTATGACATCATCGACCGACCTAAGCTGAAGTCTTTCTTGCTGAGTCGCCGTACAGCTGAAGGCGCATTTACAATGCATCGCGATGGTGAGGTAGATATCAGAGGTGCATACTGCGCTGTAGTTGCAGCGTATCTTACAAATATCGTCACCCCAGATTTGTTTGAGGGGACAGCAGAGTGGATCACCAAATGCCAGAGTTATGAAGGTGGATTTTCAGGAGAACCTGGTTTAGAAGCCCATGGGGGATATACCTTCTGTGGATATGCGGCATTGGTTTTGTTGGGTAGACAGGATTTAATTGATAACAAGCGTCTACTTCATTGGGTGGCGAGTCGGCAGATGCGTCTTGAGGGTGGTTTCCAAGGGAGAACCAATAAACTGGTAGATGGCTGCTATTCTTTCTGGCAAGGTGGAATATTTCCTTTGCTTCATACCGTTCTTGGTGCTACTACAGATGGAAACTCACTGAGTAATGAGAAATGGATGTTTGATCAAGTTGCTCTTCAAGATTATTTGTTGATGAACTGTCAGCTTCATCACGGAGGACTTGTTGACAAACCTGGAAAATCACGTGACTTCTATCACACATGCTACTGCCTCAGTGGTTTGTCTGTGGCTCAACACTTTGTCAACAAGAATCAAAGCAATCTAACCATAGTAGGAGGACAAGAGAATCATCTGGCTCCCATTCACCCAGTATTTAACATCGGTGTGCATTGTGCAGCCCAGGCTTTGGCATACTTCAGGAAACAGCCACTTCTGTGAGAGAAATCTTATTGGAATTGACGATCATTTAGTTTTATTTTATAGCAATTAATTCAAATTGACCTTATTTTGTTGGCTCCATTTATGAGTACTGTTCTGTTTTAGGTTATACAATATCAATATACTGTCTAGAGGACAGCAGGGCTGTCACTAAGGTTTCAAGTTGTTGGGTATATCAGTGAGTATGTTTAGCAGGAGAGACACGCGCATCTCAATGACGGATATTTCATACTATAACTGGTGATGTAAAATCTGTCCAGAATTTGGTCAGGAGCCCTCTATACACTGTTAATAGTTATTGTTTACAAATGACAGACAAGAGACAAAAGGTCACAAAAGTCAAATGTAAATGTGATGAATCTACTACAAAACATTCATTATTCGTGGAATACATTGACAGGGTATATTCTTCTTCAGAAGAAACATTTGAGTGTTACTGCAGCTCATTTGCAGAAGAACTCAAAAAACCATAATAGACCAGAAGAGACATAAACATGAACAAATTTACATTTCTACCAGAGTAATTATGTAAACATTGAGTGACGTACTTAGAAGGGAGTTTCTGTCATTGAGGCGCAGATGTCTCTTGGGTGAAACATCCCTAGCAGTGAGAATCAAGGAGTGACAGTTGTATTTCCAGGCAATCCGGTTTGGGCACCAACTTGGGCTGTCTGTAATGACAGACTTGGAGGTATGTATACTCCACCCAGCAAACACTAAGTAAAGGTAAAAGGAAGTGGATATTTTGTACAACAGCCATTGCAGTAATAACAAACAAAAATAGTGTGTTGTTTTACTTATCAGTGAAATTTGTCTTTCACAATATTGCCTTTGCTCTTCCGTTATTTGTATTTTCTTTGGGATGAAAGTGCATCCCTTTTGAAATAATAATTAATTATTGGAATTGTTTTGAAACAAAAACAAAACAAGCTTTTTTTATCAAGTGTGTAAGTTCATTTTAGCTGAGCATTCAAATAGAACTTTTTTATAAGAACTATTAAGAGCAAACAATTTTATTATTATGGATCAAGGTTAAGGCTGTGCTATAGTGGCGCCTGGTGGTCCCTGGTACCTATCTTTTGCCCTTGGATTTCTAGAAAATCTTTTTTTTTTCTTTAAAGAAATGCTGGGCACCCTAGTTTTTCAGTTTTCATAGAGCCCAGCCTTAAAGATAGTCATCATGGTTTGTGGGGAAGAAGTCCCCACCAATGATCAGTGAACTGTAATGGCTTAAAACTTCACAAAACATGATCTGTGGATTTTACTGGACTAAAATTATTTAAATATCCATGTTAGAAAATGTAATGGCAGTTTTCATAATACCAGCTCTCTAGGCACATGAAAAGATCATCAGGAGGGTTTGTGAAGAAGGTCTACAGTAAAACCCACAAGTAAGAACCTGAAAATTAAGAACCTGTTAGCCTAAAATTTGCCATTTATACCCCCTATAAACAAGAACCTGTTTAGAAAATGAAAAACGTAGAAAATGAAAAACAGGTTCTTATGTTTGAAAGTCATATTAGGGAAAGCAGCTGCAAAACTGTGCAAGAATCCTGTTTGGAGAATTAGGAACTTGGCATTGCTGTGCAAATAAAAGTGCTAATTTATTGATGTAATAAAAAAAAATTAAAAAAAAAAAGTGCAAGAGGTTAATATTGTTGTATCTCATTTGAAATTATTATTGAAAAATAGGCTGATTACCATCTTGTTTTGTGGCTTGTTTTTTTAAAAATATTTTTTATTTTTTACAGAAATAAGAACCTATTTAAGAACCTAAATAGCCTAACATTGTGTTAACTACCATTTAAATAAGAACCTGTTTAGGCTGAATCCAGAAAATGTAGGTTCTTACTTGTGGGTTTTCACTTTAGTGGTGAAATCAAAAATACCTGATAATGGAACCTCAAACCTATAATCTCAGCCAAAAATCCTTGAGACACTTGATTTTCTTTTGATAGACATTGTCAACCCCCCCCCCCACCCCTCAGTGTTCTTTAAAAGTGCACTTTTACAAAGCTCTCAAGTGATTTTCAACTTTCTGATGGGGGAAGAGGGAAACCAATCAAGTGGTCCAATGTATTGAGGCTGGCTCTCAAATTACAAGTTTTGTGCAGTTTTAAAAATATTCCAGTGTGTTTAGAGGTGGGTAAAATTATATTAAGGTATTGGGAAGAATTATTATGTGTTATAAAAAAATTAAGTTTGCTTGCTTGCTTTCTTTTTGTATTTGGAGATTTTGAGTGTCATTTGCTAAATAGCTGAAGGGTATTCAATATAAATAAAGATGTTGTTTAATATTTATAAGAACTTTTCTATTGCAAGATGCCCAGTCATAAGTGTAATCATATAATTTTTTATTTATTTTGATTATTGTGAGAAATAAAATTGCAGGAAAAGATTGTACTTGTACTGGTCCCAGAAGGGATATTTTTTTGGGGGGAGGTTGATTTTTGGCCCCATCCAATAATGCCCATATCCCTGTCACCCCCACCAACTCTGGAGGTACTGGTCTTTCACAAAGTGTCCTTTACTATGTCACGCAATGCTTCTTGGAGAGAACCATTGAGTAGTGACACAAAGAGAGGCTGCATTTAAGGCTTTTTTCTTTTTTACACACTGCAGCGTAGCCTGCTTAGCGGCGTTGAAAGGGGTAGGGGACTCTAGAGAGTCAATTGTATGTGAAATATTACACTGCACATACCAAGACCCTCTACCCACCCCCCCACAATGCGCGTGTCCGCAATTGCTCCAGGGTTTCAACATTGTATTCACCACTTGTGCATTTCCCATAAAACATCATGTCCCATCCCCCCTCCCCGCTCTGCAAAGAAAGAAATTGTATAGCCTTTGTTTTAATTTCTCCTGGGTATTACAGTCATCCTATATAACCACAAAGTGTTCTAAACTCAAGTGGAACCACGAGCTGCAGGCGAGTTGCTTCACTGCCAAGTTTTGAACATTAATACGTCATTCTGTGTCTGTCCAACAATTGCAACAAGTCGAAAACGTCGACAGTTTTCAAAGTACATCCCGTTGAAGCTTATTGGAAAAATCTCGCGCTAGAAAGTGAACTAACTCTCATCGCCCGTAGCCCAAGACCAATCAGGAAATTAGGGAAAGGGGAGAGAGGAATATGCTTTTGCAAATGGTTAGCCTGCGTAGCAAGCGTGTCCTCGCGAGTTCGTCGAGAAAGTTGGGACGAGAGCAAAAAAAAAAGGAATGACGGGGGAGGGGGAGGGGAATGAAGGAATGAAGGTTTCCTCTTCTCCACTCCCCCTCCCCCTTCCACCTTTTTTTTTTTTGCTCCCGCTCTAACTTTCGCGCAGTAACTCGATTGGAAACGCTTGCTACGCAGGCTAGCAAAAGGTTGTCACTGATTTTTCAAACTTTCGTTAAGATTACGCAGATGCTACGGCCGGTATTTATGTCCAAGGGCTTAAGTCCGCCACAGAAGTTGCATATAGATTCCGTGCCTACCTCAGCTTCAGGCCCGTGATCCCGGGGGCGGGGGGGTACTCCTTGGAATTCTTGGTGGGGGTGTACCGACCTGACCTTACTTTTCAGACCCGTTTTTCCACTTCGAATTCGCATATTTCTCTTTCTTTCTTACTCAATTGGAATTGAAACGATAAATACGTTCATACACTCCTGTAGTTTCTTCAAAAACCATAACCGATTCCAGACCACAATGGCCAAAGTATATACCCACTTTCAGACCAAAACGGTACAAAAACCATACCCTTTGGGGCGGCATATACCTGTATGGCTCATATAAGGGAGTATCCCCCCAAGGACAGTGATAAGCACTTGTTCACTTTGCTGTTTTATTTTATCATTGAAGGTCACGTGATATGTGATGGTACGTTCCAAAAAACATTACGGGCGATTGGTTTCAAAAGTATTAAATGAAAAATTAACCAAGATAGCCGCTGTCGTTAAAATGAGCTCTCCACCGCGACGATCTAACGGAATAATAGGGGACCAAACAGTGTCAGTCTATGTTTCTTTGCGGTGATACTTTTTTTGATCATGAGGGTTTGTACTGCTAGGACTCTTCGGAAAGTAATATTATTCAAAGTTATGTTTCACGCCCCTAGATCCGTCTCCGATATCCTATATTCTAAACTTAAACTTAATTGGCACTTCGATGGATTGAATCAATCTGTTATTCAATTAAGGGATGCATTTATATAGCGATATCAATTGCGTCTGACTCGATTAACAATTGCGCAAAGACAAAATGATTTGGGAAGTTGAGTCTTTTTATTATATGTTGATCATTAATTAATTTAAAACCGATTCTCAACGGTGACATAAAATAAGTGTGAGTTATTGTGGCAAGAGCCATAATGCCGGTGACTAGTTAGTGCCTAACAGACATCCTCGTGTAACGTCAGCCGTTTAACAAAACCGCGTTCTAAGTAAGCCATTTTCAGTTTGCCAAATGCTTCTATCGACACACCATTTACCGTAAGCACTTTCATGAAACCATATAGCGTGGACCAGAGAAGCATTTGTCTTCTGCATAAACAACTAAGGAAGAGACCTAGAGGTCCAAAGATTTCCTAAACCGCGGTCTAAGTTAGAATTCGTCTGAAAAACCGACCCGTACTGTCCACATTTCACTGCTGGTACCAACGTTTACTTGCTGTCGTGTTCTTTGATGTCGCCATTAATTATCCGAAGTATTTCTGTCGTTAATTTTTTTTCTAGATGACGATAAACGTCGTGTTTGTAACTTTTAAGAAGTAACATTTTTCTGCGCAACTTGAACTTTGAAGTCCACGCACGGAAAGCAGAATGGCCCAACGTTTTGAACGGGTACACTGTCATCATCACCTGTCACGTCCGTCTCCAGGGCAACGGAGTAGTTTTCCAGCAATATAACCAGTAAAACTTTCATAAAGGTGTCTGCAACCCGGTATCCCATACACCTTCGCGTTCCAATACCGAAGCGACACAAGCTTTTGCGCATGTTCGGTGTTTCGTCATCAAATCTTCGGGGATTGAAAGCTTCCGTGTCGCCCCAGACTCCCGCGTTGCTATTGACTGCGCTGTTGTCAACAGATACTTCGACCTAAAGACAAACGAGAACAGTGTTTGACATTTAAACATTTACAGAAAGTAGCTGAAAACAGTTACATCATCTCGAAAACTCTTGTTAACTTTTGGCAATGATGATCTTTAGAGATAATGGTTCTATCATGGATCAATCTGGTATCCAGAGTCTTGCCCCGCTGGTCAAAAAGCCAGAAGACCCTGGCTACGAGATTGACCATGATTTCTTCAGTTTAAAAACAGGAATTGCGCAATTGAATAAACAAACGTACAGTAGGAGGAAATATAAAAATGACTGTATCTATAGATAGTCCCTTTTGATATAGATCATTTTTACTCATGTGATCAGCGGCTATACAAATTTCACGGAACAAAATAAATTTTTTACATGAGAAAAGAGTTGGCAAACTAACATGGCCGCCGTTTCATCGTTTTTGTAAACAATTTGCGACCTTTACGTCCTCATAAAATTTAGCAGAAGTTTTGTTTTTAATTTGTCAAGGGAAGATTATTAACGGGCCCAAGAGAAATTGAAAAGAATACTTAAGCAAAATGTTGTGGGTCAAACAAAGTGCATTATGGGCAACATGAAAGTCGCAAATACGGCCGCCGCGACGTCACGTGCAAATGATCTGTTCTTGGATTTATGAGCATAATCAAGATAAATGTTAGATCTTTGACCATTTTTCATCGTCTGGATAATCACTGGTGCGTTGGTCAAGCGAGTAAACGGTCGGCGTCATGATATTAAGGAGCTTAAGCAACAAAGAAGGGGATGGCTACGACAACGTCACTAAAAAGTGAATTCGCGCTGCGTCAAAGTTAATCGCGCTTATTCCATCTCGCTCAATTCATCAAATACTGGCAAATTATTCTGGAGTTGAATTCTAAAAGATGGCATAAAAGTTCCGGAAAAGGAAAAGAAAGTCGTTGTCTTATGTTCACGTCCTCCAGAAAACATGAAATTAGGCATTTTCACGTCGCTGTCAGCATGCAGTGTACAAAAAAGCGTGATGCACGTGTAAAGTTGTTTTTACGTCTATTCAAACTATTGCGTTTTTGCCTTTCTCGTTACCGTCGCCGTCGTCATTGCTTAGGGCCTGTTTACATGAAGGTGGGGGACCCCAGGTAGGTGAGGTAACTCGCTTAGGTGGGGTAACCCGCCTGTCCATATAATCTCTCATTTTAATCTCATTTTACATGATAGGTGGGGTGACCCGCCAAGGCCGGTAGCCCGGTCTGCCAGACCGGGTAACCCTCCCAGCCGGGGTCACATTTTGCCATGCAAACGTTTCAAGCTAGGGTAACCCGCCTGGGCGGGGTCGGATTCATGATACGTCAAATTCGCGCAAAATTCACTTGAGCAGTGGCTTTGCATCATTATTAAAGACAACAATAGAAAGCCACAGCACTAAAGGTTGCAGCAAAAGCAGTATGTAAGTGTAGAGGAGTATTAACAACCAAAACACGTGGTTTGCCAGCATTTTTCTTGTTTACGTGCTTAGCTGCCATTCAATAATCTTGAGAAAGTGTACCCCGGGATGGCGGGGTTGTAAGATTGCATGTAAAGGAGGATTAGTGTTTTTCCTCACCTAAGCGAGTTACCTGACCTACCTGGGTTCCCCCACCTTCATGTAAACAGGCCCTTAAGCTCCCTATTTGAATGTCTAAGATAGGTCACATGACACCTAACCTTAAAAACAGCTTTCGAAAACCCAAAGCCAGCGGGGAGACTGTTCATGCGCTTTAGGAGGCCGTAAGATACCCTAATAACCAGGAGCCCTGCTTTCGCACGCTAATCACTACTTACCCCAGGGGGACTTTGGAAATTTCCAATAACCATTGGACAAGTCACATATTCTGGAGTGCTTATTACCATTACCGGCCTCTTCCTGGCTGATTCTTTTACCACCTTACCCAGGAAATCCAGTTTAGTTAGTGTCCCTAAGCTTAACGGTTCTGAAAGCTGAAAAGATAATAAACTTGAATAAGAAAACAAACACAACAAGACGTTGAGACATTTGGACATTCTCGGAAAAAAATTCTAGTCCTGAATTTTATTATCACGTGGCACCAGCCAAAGGATTACAGCTTCCCTCATCATTCGTGAGGAAGCCTGCTCACGGGCAAAAATTCTTGTTTTTCCATCTGTGATAAGCCAGTCAGAAAATGAGCAAGCATTCGCAAAATATCTGATACTTTTTTAAAACACCTTCAGTTTTAACGTTGCTGTCTTTTTTAGGTGTAAAAAGATGCTGACTGCTCTGCTCGTTCCCAGATTAATCGTAATCGACGGAGTTATAGGCGGATTCAGAAATCTCTTTTTACAACATCGTAAAGCTCTGCGGTTATTTCAAATTTAAAGTATTGGCTTTATCGAAGGGAAATTTCTTTTATTGCACTCAGCTTCAACAAAAGGAATTCGCTGAAATATCTACTTACTTGAGAAATGGAATTCTTGATTTCAACTGTAAGATTTTTTTGTACATCTTTATGGAGTGCTACATGGAAAAGAAGCCAGGAAACAGCTCCGCATGTAATATCTACATTAGCAAGGGAAGATTCCTCCAGGGTTTCTTGAAACTAGACACAAAAAAAAGTCTTTTAGTAAAATTTGAATTACGGTAAGAAGTGCTGCTCTACTGTAACTAACGCCCTAAAAGGAATTGAGTTTGAATCGCTCGATGTGAAACGTCTGCAACTCAGAAAGTTCAAAAGAAACATGTCTGTTAGGTACCCAGTTAAATCATAAAAGGCCAAACTACATTAAAAAGGTCCTCTATTAAAAGGGCGTTGTCAGGTTGAGTTTCACATTTCTTGGTAAAAACTAAACTGAAATAAAAATTCAGTATTCTCAGTGACCTATTCTCATACTATACCCTTAGAAATTTAAATATCAAGCGACTCCCTCAAAGGAAAAACAAATCGTGAGAAGTTGGCCTATGGCTATCCTGGTTATGGAAGGCCAAAAACACGCACTTATAGTGTAGGTAGAGAAGTAGAGCAATTTTTCACAAAACGGTTCAAATATGTATGACGGTTTTAAAGAAATACCAAACCATCATTTACAAGTATTTCGTATTTTAAAAAGTTCTTGAGAACTACTAACGAATAGGAACTAACTGGAAAAAGACAACACATTATACAAAGTTATCCTAGATTCCACTCGCATTTTGATACCCGAACGTGAAATTGCAAAATAATATTATACATATAGGTGTGGTCAACCAGCCAACCCAAACCTTTTCGTCTAAACCCCCAACATTACCTCATCTTCTGACAGTGCCTCCGGATTTTTTGCAAGAGTTTGCTGGAGCTTGTAAAAAACACAGCTTGTGTCTCGAAGTTTTCCTTCGGCAAAACGCTCCTCAAAGCTAAGTCAAGAAACGAAAGTAGAAAAGAGGAAATTAAAATTTTCACAACGAAAACATTTGCCTATTGGTTGAAATGGTCAAGGCCGTGCTATAAAAAGGGTACAAAAACTAACTACAAAATCAAAATGGAAACGGAGAAGTAGACTTCTCACTCTTCCTTTGCTTCCGCCATAACTATCTTGTTTGCGTTAACTAACATAAAATGAACCCTTCTTACCGCTTATTGAATTGCAGCCACCGCTTTTCAAATTGCGCCAGTTTGCTGTTAGTGCTTGTAGGCATGTATTTATAAAGCGGAAACTTGACAAAAGGGTTTGAGAAAGTATCTCCGATAAGTGATTCCACTAAAGCTCTGAGATCGAGTAACTCCTGAAGCTCGTCTGCAGTCATGTCTCTTCCGTATGTGAACTTCATTAGTATTTTAAACGTCAGTTGAATCAGATCATCCATTCTTATGAGACCCTGCAATGACAAAACAAGGCAGGTTCCACAAGCTGAGCTGAATTTATGGCAGTCTTGCGAAATCTCGGGACGCTGCCCCCCCCCGCCCCCCCCCCCTCATAAAACTATAAACCTTTGTAGAGTATCCCCGCCCCCACCGGGGTGGTAGTCTTTTCTTTTTAGGGGAGGAGCGTTGCGTGGTGGTAAAAAGGAACTACTGCGTAGGAGACTAAGCATGTGGTGACTTATTCAAATTACAATACACAGGTGCTGTGGAACGTGTGTTGGTCTGCTGGTTATCCCATTGAATTACTGAACTGGGACATAGGGTCTGAGGCAGAACGTTGTTCCTTGAGACTAGAAAGTCTGCCCTATACTGCCGACGTAAAGCAACACGTTTACATTAAAGAGTTCTTGCTCACTGTTACGTTGTGAGCTGCAAATGGCGAAACCAAAGAGGCGGGAAAGATGGACATGTGGTCATCTCTCCGATCTCTGCCTCTTGCGCATGCCCGTTAAGGTTAGGTGACGCTTTATCTACCTCATCTTAAGGGTATTACCACAACGTATCCCATCCAGAAATGAGTACAAATACTCTATAGCGCTTCACATAACAATAATACAAGCTGGAAGCTCCGTTTGCTGCTTTTACCGTGCCCGCCCCATGCCCCCACCCCCCCAAATGGTTTTAACTGTAACCTTTGAGGGTCAGGATTCGGGATTTTAGAGCAAAAAGGCGTGAAATTCGGAAAACAAACACAGGAAATTGGGTGACTTTTAAGTGCTGGTTTTCACAGAATGTTGGTTTTCAGTGTTGGCTTTCGCAGAACTGAAATCTGGTGAGGAAACTGAGTTGCTTTCCTTCAATGTCGGAAAGCTATTATTTTCATCCATCCTATCAGGCGTCGATGATCGCTGCACTTTCCTTTAAATACCCAGCTATTTGCCACAGATCTCCAGGAGAGAATCAAGATCATCAGGCTGTAGGCACCTTTTGAAATGCGCGGTCGGGACTGGGAACCGTCAGAATTGTTGAATCAAGGAAAAAATTAGGATGGGATGTTTGGGTTGCATGAATAGCTTTATCAGGACCCTTACGAGACAGATCTATTTTACATCAAGGTTACTACATAAAAGCTGAAGAGCACTTAGCCTGCGATCACGACCTCAATATTTCTCTTTATGTTTCTGGAAAAGGTACAAAAAAATGCCTGACGCTCGGGGTGGGGGTACTTGGGTCAATTCTTGATGGATATGTGTCGCTGGCCTGTGGGAACCTCTTCTTAATTCTATTAAGGCACATGCAATTTTCGCAATACAAACTTAGTTACTTTCTTTTGACGCGGTAACAACTATTATAACCGCAAATCTTCCTGTTCAAATTCCTTAACCGCAAAATTCCAAAAAATTTGCGACCCCCTTCAAAAAACTCTTAATTCAAGCAAATCATAGTCAATCCAGTGGTGAAAATGCGATCCCGTCCAGTGGCACACCCATTTTTAAGGGAAAAGCCCTGGGGACGAGGTTGGCACACTCCCATCATATGGCACATTAATAGGAAGCGTTACTAGCAGTTATGAGGCACCCGAAAACATTAAATTAATACCTGTTTATCTTGAACCATCTGATTTAAATACTGTTTGCATTCCTGTTCCATCATAACCACTGCCTGTGCCACACTCTCTGTGCTGTAACACGGATCAAATGCACTCCGTATCCGCTTATGAGCCTCACCACTTGCCGTCCCGGCTGCGTGACCAAACAGCTGGCGAAACACACTTCCCAATCTGAAGTCTTTTAAACGCTCATACTTATGCTGTTTTGCCATGAATTTCACAGCGATTTGTGGTTCTGTAATGATTCTGTAGGCAAGAGAAAAAAAATTAACACATATTTGGATCTAACGAAGTCGATACTTTCATTCAAAAGCAAAAACAAACAAACAAACAGAACAGTTGTGACAATTAAGCAACTGAAACCCCAGTCACGCTTACAATATCACGCAACGATGTTGCCATTGCAGTTAACTGGCAAGTACACTTACATCTTAGCCAAAACGCTCGCAAAAAACAATATGTCTATATTGGAGACTATTTAGATGGCACGTAAATTAGTGAAGGCCAGTCAAAATTTGCCCGTACAGCCCTGAAAACTACATCGTGCTGCAAAGACAAAGAGTGCGTCACGCTACGTGACAATCCCGAAAACGAAAATATAAAGAGAATTAAGTTTTAAGCAGTTTGATGAAATGTTAAAAATCAAAACAAAAATATCTAAGCACAGGGCGCCCACACAATCTGTTTGTGTAGCCGATTGTTATTTTATAGTAAATGTACTGGATTTACCGTTTGCTTCACCTATAGCGATATATCGCTAACTATGTACATAAATCAATGATAAATAAACGTTGAATTACCTTACCTGTGGTATATAGTCGTCGTTTTACCTCAAAAGCGGTTTTTTGAGCGATTTTGAAGGAGTTCAGCTGGGAGTTGGATTTGGCCGTTGACTGTATATAAGGAACAGTCAACGGCGAATTCAAACTCCTTCAAAATCGCTCAAAAAACTGCTTTTGAGGTAAAAGGACGACTATATACCACAGGTAAGGTAATTCAACATTTATTTATCATTGATTTATATACATAGTTAGCGACATATCGCTATAGGTGAGGCAAACGGTACATCCAGAACATTTACTATAAAATAACAATCGGCTACACAAACAGATCGTACGGGGTCCCTGTGATCTAAGTTGAAAATATTAGTTACAATACTTACAGTTTTGGAGGCCCGGGTAAAAATCGGAGCAAGTACATTCCGAATTTCTTCAAGCCTTCATCTTTGAATGCTATGAGTGTTGGTGAAAAGGTCCTGAAGCCAGTTCCTGCGATAATTTCCCCAGAATCATTTTGCCAGAAGTAATTCTATAACATAAGCGATCACGCGAGATGTTAAAATCAGTAATCATTATGTTTTTGTTTTGTTTTCCCTTTTGCAAAAATGAAACTGGATGAGAGTCCGAAGTAATGAAAACGAAACAGACCGAAATAGGAAGTTGACAAAACCTGTTCGCTCCCTTCGCTCCTGTCCAAGAAAACCTGTCTATGAAACAGCCACAGAGTGATTTCAAGGAATTTCCGTCCTTTGTCTCTACATTCCAAACCTTAAGTTGTTCACTCAGTTTATAGCCTGAGCAATCCTGCAGGCTATACAATTTACGACGAAGAAAGCTTCAGTGACTGTTTACACGTTATTGTTGCGTGACGGCCATGTCTTGAAATTTGGCAGGAAAATACAAAACTACATGCTCTACCCAATACTTTGCAGCCTTCTCTTTCTAAGTCCTGGCTTCGTTTTTATTTTTTTCCTTTTACACAACGGATTACTGGAGGACAAGCAAATTGAACGCCAGAGGTTTAGAGAATGACTTGGCGATCATCATAAAGTTAATAGAAGAACATATAAGATATTGGTAAACATGACTCATACGTAAAATTTTAAAACTTACACAAAAAAAAGCCTGTATGTGCCCGTAGGTCCGCTTGAGAGTGCGTTAGCAATCAAGCAAGGGTGAAAACGGCGTGTACGGCTCGCGCGCTTGGCGCGGGAATCGCACGCCGTCGGCTCTGCCCTTTGAAAAACCGTTTTTGAGAAAAAAAATCTTACCTCCATAAATCTTTTGTAAATCCACGATATCAAAATCACTACGACAGCAAGGGCAGTGATAGCAAGGCCGAGCATCACCTTGAAATTTGAACACGATTGTAAAGCGATGAAACGAACTCTTCGCAAACTGAAAGCCACTGAATTCTTACGAAATGTCACACAAGTTTATCACTTTTTCAGTTCCGGTCTGGGACTTCCTAGAAGTCACATGCAGACTGAAACAAAAGCGTAATTGATAAATCTTGGCATGTAACCGTCTGCAACGACTATTTCGGTCAAAGGGAAATTACCGATCGATCAATTTTTAAATGGATCGAAAATTGACGTGTGCGAGTCTCATGACTCTTACGATAAAACCGAATTTTATTAGTGACGCTCTGATCGAGATTATATTCCCTTACCTACACTCCCGCCGTTTACTTACGTCAACAAAGCTAAATTTAATCCTTCTTTAATTTCTCCACATTTTCCATTTTCCCTGCTAACTGATATGAGTGTATGCAGGAGTGGGTTCGGAGAAAAAGCAAGTTTTAAACGATGACAGCAAGGTTCAGAGCAGAACATTGTATAAAGAACAATAATGTACGGTCCATGTGGAAACGAGCTTATGAAGTACTAGGATATTCTAAATCGCACTGAAACGTAATTCAGTCTTCAAAGAATGAATGAGCGGAAATGCCTAACTAAACTAAATGTTAAGCTCTGGGGATTCAACAAAGTTTTATGTGGGGTGGCTGCGTCTGCCTGAAATATTTGAAGTAAAGACCTTTCTAAATACCTAAATGACACATCAGTCCCTACCTTTTCATATACTTTACACTTGTTAAATCCCTACGCTTTTAAACACCTAAAGCCTGATAAAAGTTACCCCTTTCGGGTGGAGCTTCTCCGTAGAGGCCATTTTAGAGAATACTCCTCCCCCCATGATATCAAATTTTGAAGCCAAAAAGGCAGATATCTTTACATTTCTATATTTTAGTCCACTTTACCCTATAAGGAAATCAAAGGAATACACCTTCCATTTCTTTGTAAATCATGACATTCGTGCACTTTCAACTTTCAAATTCACAACCGGTATTTCTGGAAAATGAGCCGCGTAACTTCGACGCTAAAGTTAGAACACGTCACGAGCCATTTTGTTCCCGGGGAATTCGACTCAGCGATCGTTCCCGCGAATCAAACCATGATTGGCTAATTGTTAATTGCGAGGGACGCATAAAAGCTGCAATGTTTTGCTTGTGCAGCATGTTAAGCTGACTGTGAGCTCGAAATCCACTTACTTCATTTCTTTCTTCCAAAGAAATAGCCCCTCATAAAATGGTGCTTAACCTTGTTCAGCTTGAAGAAAGTCTCGTTTTTCAAACAGGCCAAGATGTTATGGCGGGCAACGGTGTAGTATTGTTTGGAATGAGCCCTGGAAATCCATATTTTAAATCTCATGTTATTGAGGACTATGTGCAATACTTGGGGAAGGAAGAAAGACGAATCATTGTGGTTGTACCACAGCAGCCAGCTGAACATACGTACAGGGCTCTGGGGAGTAAAGATGCTGTGAAACGAGCCAAGAAAAACTCTAGTCAGCTCAAGTCGCACTGCAGAAGAGCTATTGATAAGGTATGTACAGAAAACATTATAATACTGTCACTGATTAATTCTTGATACTTTAAGAAAGCTTGAAAAAGTACGGTTAAATATCCACCACAACATTTGTGTCTTTCTTTATTTTTTTATTCTTTAAAACTGACGCGCACTCGCTGTCTTTCACAAGCTGGATACAAGCTAAAATTTGCAGTTATTAATTGTTTTTTCATGCCCCTCTCCTCGCTGTAGGGGTGACGTTTTTCAGTGAAAACCGGACTTGCACTATTGTTGACATTCACCAATTGTGCGCTTGCGTGAGTGACGTCACAGATGTGCTTTTTCTCACTTGAAAACCGTAATAACTAATGAGGCTAATGCACAGTTCCGCTTTCGCAATTTTGGTCAATCTTGTGTCTATATGTACGTACATGTCGACAGAATGTTGTGTGCTTTTATGTAGAGACGCGCTAAATTTCACAGAGAACAGACAGAAATCTAACGGAGTATTTCTCGGAAAAAGTGATGGGTTTTAGGGGGGGCGGTGAATAGTAAATGATATTTTAAAATTGGCCCTAAACACAACTTTTATTGACTTTCAGTATTAAAACAATAAATTAATAAATAACGATAACAAAAGTAAAGGAAACATAAGGTTTCTAACCAGCTCGTAATAAATTAAACGCAAGGAAGCTTGGATATAAAACAAATTAGAAACTGACGATTCCGCCGCATGTCTGCAGGGGTATAAAAGAGTTTTATTATTTACAAAACTGATCTCTCCCTAAGTTAGTTAAGGGGTGTGGGGTTAGGAGCTAAACTATTATTGCAACTTTTTTCTCGCTTCGAAGATGAACGTGTCGACCTGCGGCCGGCACGAAGCATCTCCGCCGCACGCAAGGAAAAGAAGCGCTCTGTACTCACGGTTAGAGAAATAATAATTTTACGGCTTTTCATCATTCAGTATGGATTAAATCATTATTTTCTACCGCTGTACAGGTGTCCAAGACTGATGATGTTGCCGGAGAGTTTTATATGTTGGACTGGACTTCAGAAGTAGACAAACATGAAGCTTACATTGCAGCCTTAGACTATATCATCAGTTTTTACAAAAGTAACTCTTACTTTCGCCAGGACGTCGCACGATCGACCGCAAAAGTGTTAGGAAAAGATTCTACATCCTCTGAGAGTGAATCAGGTAAGCAAGTGAAGGAGGATATCAGTGTTTTAAAAGTCGAATTATCTAAACTTTTTCGGTTTCTACTTCTTGAGTTGTCTTATCACTTCGCGGTCAATGGATTTTGAAACACGGAAATCTAATGTAATCTAATCTACGGTTTAAAACCCGTTGCGAATGGTTGTCGCGGCTTCGACGCACAATTTTCCAGGATTCAGGACTAAAAAAATAAAAAAGTTGAGCCAACCGGTGTACAAACTATGTTAAGAGCATGAAAAGTGGTGGACATTCCCGCCACATGAGTAGATCTCCGTAATTTAAGCATTTTTGTTTTTGTGCATCTGTTTTTTTCCGTTTTTGTCCAGCCATAAAATCTTGTCATTTCTTGCTATCGTTCGGTTGTCTGCCCAGTTTACTCGATTTCTATGCATGACCCCAAAAAACGGGGGAGGGGAGAGGCGGAGATAAACTCAGTACATGTACCAAGATTTTGCCTTTCGTTGCATAACGCTTTAAATACCCTCCCGGTGGGGTATGCAACAAAGTTTTATACGGGGAGGCTCCAGACCCTTACCCTTGTATATACTATTTCTGACAAAAAAGGTACCCCTTTTGTATACCTTTTATTGACAAATGCTACCCCTTTCACATACCTAGTATAACACCTTTGCATCCCTTTTAATTACCGTAAATGAACTGTATTTACTATATAAATACAGTTGAACCTCTCCTCAATGGCCTGGTCGTTGTAGACAGATGAAAGTTGTGAAGAGGTGGCCGTTAGTGGAGGTTGGACTGTAAATTACAAATCTAGAATGTTTTCTCGACTTTTTTTACAGCCATAAAATGTGACTGTTAGCCCTTTTGGAGCTTTTTACAAACTGAAATGACAGATTCCCTATCCTTTTATATACTTCAACTTCCGAATTCCATACCCTTTTATACAGCAATGATATATCTGAAGCCGGAAAAAGGTACCTCTTTCGGGCGGAGCCTCCCCGTATAGGCCATTATAGGGAGTACCAACCCCCACTCCCCACCCCCACAGTATACTCTTCAATGAAGACTGACCAAGTCCTATTTTTAAACTTTAGAATCCTCAGATTCTGAGCTTGAAGACAACGAAAGTGTGCAAGAAGGAGTTTACTACCTCCTGAAAGAACTAGCCTTCATTATCTCCAGCAAAGAGATGTTCAGAACCGAAAGTGTGGCAGTTATTTATCATCGCAGCTGGCCTGTCTATGAGAAATTTGTAAACGGAGATTATGATGGAAAGCCAAAAGAAGGATTGGGACTTGCAATCATCAACTATGATCTAGTGTAATATAATAAATATTATAATGGACATTGTATGACTTTCTTACAAAGAAGGCTTGTTAGGGAAAGTATTAACACATGTTTGCTTTTAACTGGTCAGTAGCACACTCGGACTGGACCAGTAAGCCATAAGCATGCGCGCAATCATGGTCCTTTTCTGGGCAAATCTCTTGTGAGAGAGCATTAATTCCATAGCAATTTCACGCAATATAAGAGTTTAACTGGTTAATAATAATAATAATAATAATAATAATAATAATAATAATAATAATAATGATAATAATAATAATAGTAATAAATTATGTACATAAATATTTACAGAAATATTTGAAGTAAGAATTAAGCACTATTAACAATTATATAAATCATAAAAATAGCAATCGTTTTGTCAATAACGATTTTGCAAATACATTCCTTGCAGCTCAGATGCAGTCAATGACTCTTGCAGGCAGTCCAGAGTTTTAAATCAAGTCATTACAAAAGAGAATTATCCATCTCTGATATTAAAAAATAATAATAAAATAATAATATTTATTTATTTATAATTATATCAGTGGGAATCAGTTATTCTGTATTCAAACTGTAAAATTATTTTCTGGATTTTGAGAAAGATTTCTATTAAAGTTAGTATTTGCTGGCTGCATAGTTTCAATGTAGTCATTACTAAATTCTTAAGCACAGAGGACATCACCACCCCTTTAAAATCTCAATATGCTTTTATGTACCCAGCATTCCGGGCATTTTCTCTTGGTGTGTGATTGTTTTTGTTTGTGTAACCACAACGCTGAATTCTAAAATAGTCGAGGCAGTGGGGTGACTCATAAGGGGCAGGGGAGGTGTTGGGAAGAGAGAAATATTTTTTTCTCCCCTCCCCATCTCCTTCTTCTGCCCTACACCTACTCCAAGTGTTGTAATTTGTACACTCTCGCCAATCTACCTGAGTGATAAAATCAAAGATGGCATGCAGCCATGGCAACAATAGAGTTTCCATTGACAGCTACCCCAAAGCAATAGCTTGGGAAAAATAAAATACCCAGGTTGCTAGCCAATAGACGCTCATTGGCGAAGGCCTTGATGACAGAACCGGACATAGCTCACGCTGTGAAAGAAATTTTGAGGGCATGAGTCGTCTACGTCTTCGCCTTTCTTCGGCCTTGGACATTGAATTAGCGTAAGAAATAACAGCGAGATAAAAGAAAAAAACGTCTCTTTGATCAGCTAGATCCCTGCGCATCTTGCCTTCTTGAATTTACGCTCCAAAAAATTCAGCTGGTGTGAAAACCTTGGGAGCCGATATCAGTAGTGTGAACTTCCCAGAATTTTTCACCTAGGTAAAACAAAACCTGAGATGAATTTACCTCAGGAGATTTTTAGGAATTTACCCTAGGTAAATCGGTTTTACCTAGGTAAAAGTGTGCAGTGTGACCACAGCTAATTATACTATTTAAAAATCTGACACTATTATAGCGTGGTTTACCTGTAATCGCTGCGCACTGGATCAAAAGAAACATCTTGCATTAAAATTGTCCATTTATGGTAGAGCCAATTCTATAAGACTGAAATGAATGTTACGGACAGCGAGCGCGTGCCGCCATCTTTGAGTTGAAAGCTGAGCCGGAAGCTGTCGAAGCTGAGGTGATTGGGATTGGGGAGGTGTCACCTGAGGTGCTGACCAAAAGGAAAGCAGGCTCTAGGATCGTAGGATAAAAGATAAATAAAAATAGACGAGTGTTTTCTCGTTTGTTTCCACCACTCCTTTTCATGTTCTTTAAATCTGAGACTTAAGCCCAAGGCCGGGACCTATTACTCACTCCCAGTTAACGCCGCGCCTATATTAATTATTTCCCTGTTTTTTAGAGTTTTTCTCCTCGAAAGACCGTTTTTTTCCCTTCACAATTTGAGCAACCTTAGCTTTCTATAGGCGAATCTTTGTTTACACTTTTTGCCTCATTAACATATGCTTATAACCACTGATGACGCTAATAAAATAAAAACTCTGAATATTGAAAGGGCATAACAGTTTCAGTTATCTCTGAAAATTTGAGCCCAATACACCGAATGGTTTCGGAGAAATTCTCTTCAAACTGAAAGTAGAAATTTTACAGAGAATGTATGGCTAATATTTTCTTATTGCTTGGAAAGGGTTGAAAATTACACAAATTCCTCAATTATTCAGCTCTTTCAACTTATGCATTTAGTTCACATATACGGTCACGGCTTCTATGAGTTAACTCGTATGCTAACGAGGAAAACTGTAAACAGTGACGTCAGCAAAGATTCGCCTATATATTAATGCTACAGAGAAAAAGAGGAAGCAAAAACCATAATATTCTCGAGATTATAACTCAAATTCTTGTTTTTTCTTATTGACTTTATTCGTTTATCAAAGGTCATAAATAGATTAATTAATTCATTAATGCATTCCTTCCCTCCTTCCTTCATTTATTTATTCATTTATTCATTCTTTCAATTTTACGTACATTACAAACCTGAGGTAAGCTGTGCCTACCTCAGCTTCAGGACTGGATCCGGGGGGGGGGGAGTACTCCTTGGAATTCTTGGGGGGGGTGTACCGACTGGTTTTCCAATCCTGACCCTATTTAACACTAGAAAATGTCACTTTTCACACCCGTTTTCAGATCGGGCCTTTAAGAAATTATGTCATCCCAGTTACTAAGATTAGAACACTGACAAAAAATATTAATTAAAATCCACTTCGAATTCGCATATTTCTCTTTCTTTCTTATTCATTTGGAATTGAAACGATAAATACGTTCATACACTCCTGCAGTTTCTTCAAAAACCATAACCGATTCCAGACCACAATGGTCAACGTATATACCCATTTTCGGACCAAAACGGTGCAAAAACCATACCCTTTGGAGCGGCATATACCTGTATGGCTCATATAAGGGAGTATCCCCCCCCAGGACAGTGATAAGCACTTGTTCACTTTGCTGTTTTATTTTATCATTGAAGGTCACGTGATATGTGATGGTACGTTCCAAAAAACATTACGGGCGATTGGTTTCAAAAGTATTAAATGAAAAATTAACCAAGATAGCCGCTGTCGTTAAAATAAGCTCTCCACCGCGACGATCTAACGGAATAATAGGGGACCAAACAGTGTCCGTCTTTGTTTCTTTGCGGCGATACTTTTTCTGATCATGAGAGTTTGTACCGGCTAGGACTCTTCGGAAAGTAATATTATTCAAAGTTATGTTTCACGCCCCTAGATCCGTCTCCGATATCCTATATTCTAAACTTAAACTTAAGGTGGTACCGGAGGCTAACCTCACCATCTCCGATTGCGTTAATTTTTTGCGACCTGGTAGATCACATTTAAATGAGACCGTGTGCCAAGTTTCAAGTCCGGGAAGGTACGCGTTTCGGAGATATAAACGAGAAAAGTTCTGTTGTTATGGGCCATTTCGCGGGAAAAATGGCACTTCGATGCACTGAATCTGTTATTCAATTAAGGGATGCATTTATATAGCGATATCAATTGCGTCTGACTCGATTAACAATTGCGCAAAGACAAAATGATTTGGGAAGTTGAGTCTTTTTATTATATGTTGATCATTAATTAATTTAAAACCGATTCTCAAAGGTGACATAAAATAAGTGTCAGTTATTGTGGCAAAAGCCATAATGCCGGGGACTAGTTAGTGCCTAACAGACATCCTCGTGTAACGTCAGCCGTTTAACAAAACCGCGTTCTAAGTAAGCCATTTTCAGTTTGCCAAATGCTTCTATCGACACACCATTTACCGTAAGCACTTTCATGAAACCATATAGCGTAGACCAGAGAAGCATTTGTCTTCTGCATAAACAACTAAGGAAGAGACCTAGAGGTCCAAAGATTTCCTAAACCGCGGTCTAAGTTAGAATTCGTCTGAAAAACCGACCCGTACTGTCCACATTTCACCGCTGGTACCAACGTTTACTTGCTGTCGTGTTCTTTGATGTCGCCATTAATTATCTGAAGTATTTCTGACGTTAATTTTTTTTCTAGATGACGATAAACGTCGTGTTTGTAACTTTTAAGAAGTAACATTTTTCTGCGCAACTTGAACTTTGAAGTCCACGCACGGAAAGCAGAATGGCCCAACGTTTTGAACGGGTACACCGTCATCATCACCTGTCACGTCCGTCTCCAGGGCAACGGAGTAGTTTTCCAGCAATGTAACCAGTAAAACTTTCATAAAGGTGTCTGCAACCCGGTATCCCATACACCTTCGCGTTCCAATACCGAAGCGACACAAGCTTTTGCGCATGTTCGGTGTTTCGTCATCAAATCTTCGGGGATTGAAAGCTTCCGTGTCGCCCCAGACTCCCGCGTTGCTATTGACTGCGCTGTTGTCAACAGATACTTCGACCTAAAGACAAACGAGAACAGTGTTTGACATTTAAACATTTACAGAAAGTAGCTGAAAACAGTTACATCATCTCGAAAACTCTTGTTAACTTTTGGCAATGATGATCGTCAGAGATCATGTTTCTACCATGGATCAATCTGGTATCCAGAGTCTTGCCCCATTGGTCAAAAAGCCAGAAGACCCTGGCTACGAGATTGACCATGATTTCTTCAGTTTAAAAACAGGAATTGCGCAATTGAATAAACAAACGTACAGTAGGGGGAAATATAAAAATGACTGTATCTATAGATAGTCCCATTTGATATAGATCATTTTTACTCATGTGATCAGCGGCTATACAAATTTCACGGAACAAAATAAATTTTTTACATGAGAAAAGAGTTGGCACACTAACATGGCCGCCGTTTCATCGTTTTTGTACACAATTTGCGACCTTTACGTCCCCATAAAATTTGGCAGAAGTTTTGTTTTTAATTTGTCAAGGGAAGATTATTAACGGGCCCAAGAGAAATTGAAAAGAATACTTAAGCAAAATGTTGTGGGTCAAACAAAGTGCATTATGGGCAACATGAAAGTCGCAAATACGGCCGCCGCGACGTCCCGTGCAAATGATCTGTTCTTGGATTTATGAGCATAATCAAGATAAATGTTAGATCTTTGACCATTTTTCATCGTCTGCATAATCACTGGTGCGTTGGTCAAGCGAGTAAACGGTCGGCGATGCAGGTGTAAAGTTGTTTTTACGCCTATTCAACCTATTGCGTTTTTGCCTTTCTCGTTGCTGTCGCCGTCGTCACGTGGTTTGCCAGCATTTTTCTTGTTTACGTGCTTAGCGACCATTCAATAATCTTGAGAAAGTGCACCCCGGGATGGCGGGGTTGTAAGATTGCATGTAAAGGAGGATTATTGTTTTTCTTCACCTAAGCGAGTTACCTGACCTACATGGGTTCCCCCACCTTCATGTAAACAGGCCCTTAAGCTCCCTATTTGAATGTCTAAGATAAGTCACATGACACCTAACCTTAAAAACAGCTTTCGAAAACCCAAAGCCAGCGGGGAGACTGTTCATGCGCTTTAGGAGGCCGTAAGATATCCTAATAATCAGGAGCCCTGCTTTCGCACGCTAATCACTACTTACCCCAGCGGGACTTTGGAAATTTCCAATAACCATTGGACAAGTCACATATTCTGGAGTGCTTATTACCATTACCGGCCTCTTCCTGGCTGATTCTTTTACCACCTTACCCAGGAAATCCAGTTTAGTTAGCTTCCCTAAGCTTAACGGTTCTGAAAGCTGAAAAGATAATAAACTTGAATAAGAAAACAAACACAACAAGACGTTGAGACATTTGGATATTCTCGGAAAAAAATTCTAGTCCTGAATTTTATTATCACGTGGCACCAGCCAAAGGCTCACAGCTTCCCTCATCATTCGTGAGGAAGCCTGCTCAGGGGCAAAAATTCTTGTTTTCCATCTGTGATAAGCCAGTCAGAAAATGAGCAAGCATTCGCGAAATATCTGATAATTTTTTAAAACACCTTCAGTTTTAACGTTGCTGTGTTTTTTAGGTGTAAAAAGATGCTGACTGCTCTGCTCGTTCCCAGATTAATCGTAATTGACGGAGCTATAGGCGGATTCGGAAATCTCTTTTTACAACATCGTAAAGCTCTGCGGTTATTTCAGATTTAAAGTATTGGCTTTATCGAAGGGAAAACAAACAAACAAACAAATAAAAAAACTCCTCAGACTTCCCGCTATTTCTTTTATTGCACTCAGCTTCAACAAAAGGAAAAGTATTCGCTGAAATATCTACTTACTTGTGAAATGGAATTCTTGATTTCAACTGCAAGATTTTTTTGTACATCTTTATGGAGTGCTACATGGAAAAGAAGCCAGGCCACAGCTCCGCATGTAATATCTACATTAGCAAGGGAAGCTTCCTCCAGGGTTTCTTGAAACTAGACACAAAAAAAGTCTTTTAGTAAAATTTGAATTACGGTAAGAAGTGCTGCTCTACTGTAACTAACGCCCTAAAAGGAATTGAGTTTGAATCGCTCGATGTGAAACGTCTGCAACTCAGAAAGTTCAAAAGAAACATGTCTATTAGGTACCCAGTTAAATCATAAAAGGCCAAACTACTTCAAAAAGGTCCTCTATTAAAAGGGCGTTGTCAGGTTGAGTTTCACATTTCTTGGTAAAAACTAAACTGAAATAAAAATTCAGTATTCTAGTGACCTATTCTCATACTATACCCTTAGAAATTTAAATATCAAGCGACTCCCTCAAAGGAAAAACAAATCGTGAGAAGTTGGCCTATGGCTATCCTGGTTATGGAAGGCCAAAAACATGCACTTATAGTGTAGGTAGAGAAGTAGAGCAATTTTTCACAAAACGGTTCAAATATGTATGACGGTTTTAAAGAAATACCAAACCATCATTTACACGTATTTCGTATTTTAAAAAGTTCTTGAGAACTACTAATTTAACGAATAGGAACTAACTGGAAAAAGACAACACATTATACAAAGTTATCCTAGATTCCACTCGCATTTTGATACCCGAACGTGAAATTGCAAAATAATATTATACATATAGGTGTGGTCAACCAGCCAACCCAAACCTTTTCGTCTAAACCCCAAACATTACCTCATCTTCTGACAGTGCCTCCGGATTTTTTGCAAGACTTTGCTGAAGCTTGTAAAATACACAGCTTGTGTCTCGAAGTTTTCCTTCGGCAAAACGCTCCTCAAAGCTAAGTCAAGAAACGAAAGTAGAAAAGAGGAAATCAAAATTTTCACAACGAAAACATTTGCCTATTGGTTGAAATGGTCAAGGCCGTGCTATAAAAAGGGTACAAAAACTAACTACAAAATCAAAATGGAAACGGAGAAGTAGACTTTTCACTCTTCCTTTGCTTCCGACATAACTATCTTGTTTGCGTTAACTAACACAAAATGAACCCTTCTTACCGCTTATTGAGTTGCAGCCACCGCTTTTCAAATTGCGCCAGTTTCCTGTTAGTGCTTGTAGGCATGTATTTATAAAGCGGAAACTTGACAAAAGGATTTGAGAAAGTATCTGCGATAAGTGATTCCACTAAAGCTCTGAGATCGAGTAACTCCTGAAGCTCGTCTGCAGTCATGTCTCTTCCGTATGTGAACTTCATTAGTATTTTAAACGTCAGTTGAATCAGATCAGCCACTCTTATGAAACCCTGAAATGGCGAAACAAGCCGCGGATATCACAAGCTGAATTTGTGGTAGTCGTGCCAAAAATGGTATATGAGCGGGTAAGGCCGGTGGAACCTCGGGCGCAGTCTCCCTGCATAAAACTTTGTAGAGTGCCCCCGCCCACCGGGATGGTAGTCTTCTTTTTTAGGGGAGGAGTGTTGCATGATGGCAAAAAAGGAGACTGACCATGTGCTGACTTATTCATATTACAATTGACAGCTGCTAGGGAGTGTGTGTTGATCTGGTGGTTATCCCATTGGATTTTTGATCTGAAAAAAGGGTATGAGGCAGTGCGTTATTTCCTAAGTTTTCCCTACACAGTCGACATAATAAAGAGAGTCTTTGCTTCCGTATTTTATTCGTGAAAAAACGCTTACTGTTACGTTGTAACATGACTGCAAATGGCGAAGGCAAACAAGGCGGGAAAGATGGTCATGTGGTCATCTTTCCCATCTCTGCCTCTTGCGTATGCCCGTTAAGGTTGGGTGAGGCTTTATCTCTCTAATGCTCCCTAATCCGGCAACGCATATCATGCAGAGATGCGTACAAACACTCTTTTTACAATAACTGAACGAATCCTCGCGCGTTGATTGGTCGAGAGCTATCGTTTATGAGAGTATAGAACCTGGAAATGACGTACCATTTCACGCAGTGCCGGTTGTTTGTTTTTGGTTTTTCGAAAAAAAAAATGTTATTGTAAAAAACAAATCGACCACAATTTTCCACGGTCTACACTCTTATAAAGCATAGAAACCACTCGCCTGCGGCTCGTGGTTCCCCTTGAGCTTTATTTGTTAAATAGAGCTTTAAACAACAATAACACAAGCCGGAAGCTCCGTTTGCTGCTGTTACCGTGACCGTCCATTGCCCCCAACCCCCAAATGGTATTCAATAGGGAACCAGATAATTGAAACCTTTAGAAAGTCAGGGTTCGATTTTTTAAAGCAAAAAGGCGTGAGATTCGGGAACAAACCCTGGAAATTGGGTGACTTTTGAGTAATGGCATTTGGGAAACGTTGTTTTCATCGAACCGAAATCCGGTGACGAAAGTACGTTAAAATAAATACCCTTGAATGCAGAGGTCCACTCAGAGCGTAAATAAAACCGACTGGTTCTTTCTTGCCGGATCTCAAATGTAGAGATTCTAATACCAGACAAAACTTGAAGTGGGAATTCAGTGAACAAAACTAAATACAAGGCTGGTAATACAGCAAAGTAAGTTGCTTTTCTTTAAATGGTGGGGGTACTTGGGTCAATTAATGATGGATATGTGTTACTGGCTAATTGTAAACTCCATCTTAGTCACTTTTAGGAAAACGCAGTAATAATCGGTTCCCAAGTAAGTCACTTTCTTTTGTCGCGGTAACAACTATTAAACCGCGAATCTTTCCATTTCTAAACCCCTATTTACCAGGAGATGTTCTCATCCACCAAAATCCCGAAAATGTGCTACCACCTTCTAGAAACTCTAAAAGCAACCTCATTGTAGTCAATCCATTGGTGTAAATACAACCCCATCCAGTGGCACACCCCATCAGCATATATTAAAGGCAGTAATCCCTCGGCGGGTTATGAAGCGCCAGAAACAGTACATTAATACCTGTTTGTTTTGAACCATCTGAATTAAGTACTGTTTGCATTCCTGTTCCATCATATCCACTGCCTGTGCCACACTCTCTGTGCTGTAACACGGATCAAATGCACTCCGTATCCGCTTATGAACCTCACCACTTGCCGTCCCGGCTGCGTGACCAAACAGCTGGCGAAACACACTTCCCAATCTGAAGTCTTTTAAACGCTCGTACGTATGCTGTTTTGCCATGAATTTCACAGCGATTTGTGGATCTGTTATGATGCTGTGGTCAAGAGAAAAAATCAATACATATTTAGATCTAACGAAGTAGTAATGCTAGAAATAAATAAATAAATAAATAAATAAATAAATAACAGAATATAGGTACATGAATAGAACTTAAGCCAAAACAGCTGAAAATCCCAGTCATGCTTTAATACAATCACGCAACGATGTTGCCAATGAAGTAAACTAGCAAGTACAGCTAAATATTTTGGCCAAACCACTCGCCAAACAAAATCTGCTAATAGTGGAGTCTACTGAGATGACATGCAAATGAGTGAAGGCTAGGGACAATTTGTCCCCCAAAAGTACTGAAAGACAAAGAGTGTCACGCTTCGTGACACTACCGAATGTGCAAGGATGGAATTTAGGAAATTTGATGAAAAGTCAAAATTCAAAAAAGAAAAAAAAAATGTAAACAACTAAGTCGAAAATATTACAGATATGATCTTTATATAATGTGAACTTTCTAATAATACTTACAGTTTTGGAGGCCCGGGTAAAAATCGGAGCAAGTACATTCCAAATTTCTTCAAGCTTTCATCTTTAAATGCTATGAGTGTTGGTGAAAAGGTCCTGAAGCCAGTTCCTGCGATAATTTCCCCAGAATCATTTTGCCAGAAGTAAGTCTATAATATAAGCGATCACAGATTAAAGTCAGTTTTTCCCTCTGCAAAAATGAAACTTGAAGAGTGTCCGAATTAATGAAAATAAAACAGACTGAAACAGGAGGTTGACGATTGAACTCTTTTCGATGTTCTAGGAAACCTCTCTATGAAACAGCCACAGACTGATGTCAAGAAGTTTCTGTCCTCTGTCTCTAAATTCCAAAACTTAAGTTGTTCAGTTTATAGCCCCTGAGCAAGCTTTCCAGTCTTTTTTTCGTATTCCTGGGCTCGATTTTTTTTTTAACGTGCATTGACAACGGTTTACTGGAGGAAAAGCAAACTGGATGCCAGAAGTTTTGAGAATGTTAGTGACCACAAATTTTTTTATTAAAATAGGAAGACGTATAAGATATTGGTAAACATGATTCACGCATAACATATTAAAACCTACCTTGAAAAATAGCCTCTATTTTACGTAGGTCAAGAGTTCATTTGCAGTCAAGCACGGGTGAAAACGGAGTGTGAGACCTGGTGAGACGGCTCGCGCGCATCGAGCAAGAATCGCACACCGTCGGCTTTGCGCTTTGGAAAAACCGATTTTGAGGAAATAAAATCTTACCTCGATAAATGTTTTGTAAATCCACGATATCAAAATCACTACGAAAGCAAGGGCAGTGATGGCAAGACCGAGTATCATCTTGAAATTTGAACACGACTGTAATGCGATGAAACGAACTCTTCGCAAACTGAAAGCCACTGAAATCTTACGATGTGTCACACAAAGGTTTATCAGTTTGTTAGTTCCGGTCAAGGACTTCCTAGAAGTCACATGGTGACTAAACCAAAGGCATGTAACATGATGTAACCGTCTGTAACGAATAAAGTTCCGTTCAAAGGGGAATTTTTGATGGATATAAATTGACGTACGCGAGTCTGATGACCCTTACGATAAAACCGAATTTTATTAGTGACGCTTATTGCCTGCGTGCAGACGTCTCCTATTTCCTTTGTTGCACCCAAAGGAAATTGGAGACGTCTGCACGCAGGCAGAAGAGATTATATTCCCTCACGTATACTTTATACTTCGACAAAGCTAATTTCAATCATTTTTAATTTTAGCACATTTCCGATTTTCCCTGTTAACTGATATGAGTGTACGCAAGTGTGAATTCGGAGAAAAAGCTACAAAAAGAACAATTGTACAATCATCCACGTGGAACAAATGACAAGCATGTAAAACGAGTACTAAGACTGGTGTTCTCATTCGAGAAAAAACGTACTTGTACAAAGAAATGAGCCAAAATACCTCATTAAATGTCAAGTACAGGGGTACTCCACAAAGGTTTGTACTGGGTGGCTCGGCCCCGAGCTCCACCTATAGCCCTTGCCCTTTTATAAACCATTTTAAGGTGACAGCTAGTATTGACCTCTAAACCTTATAATTACTTAACCACACTGCATCCCTTTAAACTCTTGGATGAAGTTAATGAACGATATTACGGGAAAACAACTTGCAACGCACGTCTGCTCGAAATATTAAGGCCGATACACACGAGGGAGCGTTTTCAAGCTCGCTAAATTTGCCACGGGAGCTTGCTCCCAAATATTTAACTGGTTAAATATCGTGGAGCATTTTGCGGGGTGGAAATTCTGCTCCCGAGGATGAAGTATACCCATGAAATCGTTGGTAAACACGGAGGAGCTTTGCTCCTGGAGCGTGCCCCTGGAGCATGCTCCGGGAGCAAAATCCCTCGTGTGTATCGGCCTTTAGGGACCTTAGGCAAAGATGACGACAGCAGTGAAAACGTCGCTAAAAGAGCGAATTTGCATTCAGTTCAAACTTAACTTTTATAATCGCGTCTATTTGGACTCGTTCAATATGTCAAATGCAGGCGACTTTTCCTGGAGTTGAATTCTTAAGGATTTTACTCAGGTTCAAAAAGAGGAAGGAAAATTCGTCGTCGTATGTCCACGTCCTCCATTAAACGTCAAATTAGGAGGTTTGACGTCGTAGTCGTGCAGTGGACGTCAAATAAATGTACTAACAGGCGTGATGCACGTGCAGAGCTGTTGTTTTGATCATTAACCCTATCGTTTTTTGAAGTTGTCGTCGTCGTTGCTTAAGCTCCCTATTTCAACTAAAGGCCTTTCTTTATACCTAAATGACACACCAGTCCCTGCCTGTCATATACTTCAACTAGTGAAATCCCTTCCCTTTGTTAAAACCACCTTAAGCCTGATGAGCAGTGGTTTCTCGTAGCGTCCGGCCTGGAGAAACCACTGCTCGCACTGCTTCTTTGTAAATTACGATATTCGAGCACTTTCAACTTTCAACTTTACTACCGGTATTTCTGGGAAATAGGCCTGGTAACTTCGACGCAAAATTTTGAACACGTCATCAGCCATTTTATTCCCGGGGAATTCGACTCAGCGATCGTTCCAACGAATAAAACCATGATTGGCTAATTGTTAATTGTGATGGACGCATATAAAAGCCAGACCGTTTTCCTTGTGCAGCATGTTAAGCTGACCGTGAGCTCGAAATCAACTTGCTTCTTTTCTTTCTGCCAAAGAAATAGCCCCTCATAAAATGGTCCTTAACCTTGTCCAGCTTGGAGAAAGCCTCGTTTTTAAAACAGGTCAAGATGTGATGGCAGGCAACGGTGTAGTATTGTTTGGAATGAGCCCTGAAAATCCATACTTTAAATCCCACGTTATTGAGGACTATGTGCAATACTTGGGAAAGGACGAAAGAAGAATAATTGTGGTTGTACCACAGCAGCCAGCTGAACATACGTACAGAGCTCTGGGGAGTAAAGATGCTGTGAAACGAGCCAAGAAAAACTCCAGTCAGCTCAAGTCGCATTGCAGAAGAGCTATTGATAAGGTATGTACGGAAAAAAATATAATACTGTCACTGATTAATTTTTGATACTTGAAGAAAGCTTCAAAATCCACCACAACATTTGTTTATTTATTATATTTGTATTCTATAAAACTGACGCGCACTCGATCTCTTTCATAGGCTGGATACAAGCTAAAATTGCATTTAATTTTTTTTTCATCCGCCCTCTTCACTGTGGGTGTCTTTCGTGAAACACGTTTTTTAGTGACAACGGGACATGCACTATTTTTTGACACTCCCCAATTGTGCGCATGCGTGAGTGACGTCACTGACCTGCTTTTTCTCAGTTAAAAACCGTAATAACTAATGAGGCTAATTTCGCAACTTTGGCTAATCTTCTGTGTATTACGTACATGTCGAAAGTATGTTGTGTGCTTCTGTGTAGAGATGCGCTAAATTTCACAGAGAACTGACAGAAATCTAACGGAGTATTTCTCGGAAAAAGTAATAGGTTTAAAATTATGGTGAATAGTAAATGATATTTTAAAATTGGCCAGAAATACAACTTTTATTCACTTTCAGTATTAAAAAAATGATTTAATAAATAACGATAATAAAAGTAAAGGAAACATTATAAGGTTTGTAACCAGCCCGTAATAAATTAAACGCAAGAAAACTTGGATTTAAAACAAATTAGAAACTAACGATTCCGCCCCCTGAGAAACCGGAAACCGCGCTAGAAAAGTCTCTGGCACCCTGGGTAACCCCCTAAAGATTTTTAGGTTGCTAAAGTATTATTGCAACTTTCTTCACGATTCAAAGATTAACGTGTCGACCTTCGGCCGGCATGAAGCATCTCCGACGCACGTAAGGGAAAAAACACTCTGTACCCACGGTTAGAGAAATAATAATTTTACGGCTTTTCATCATTCAGTATGGATTAAATCATTATTTTCTACTGTTGAACAGGTCTCCAAGACTGATGATGTTCCTGGGGAGTTTTATATGTTGGACTGGACTTCAGAAGTAGACAAACACGAAGTTTACATTGCAGCCTTAGACTATATCATCAGTTTTTACAAAAGTAACTCTTACTTTCGCCAGGACGTCGCACGATCGACCGCAAAAGTGTTAGGAAAAGATTCTACATCCTCTGAGAGTGAATCAGGTAAGCAAGTGAAGGAGGATATCAGTGTTTTAAAAGTCGAATTATCTAAACTTTTTCGGTTTCCATTTCTTGAGTTGTCTTTTCAATTCTCGGTCAATGGACTTTGAAACACGGATCCGTTTCCGTTTACACCAAATCTACGGTTTAAAACCCGTTGCGTATCCTTGTCGCGCCTTCGACGCGCAATTTTCCAGGATTCAGGACTAAAGAAATAAAAAAGTTGAGCCAGCCGGTGTACAAACTATGTTAAGAGCATGAAAAGTGGTGGACATTCCCGCCATATGAGAAGATCTCCGAAATTTAAGCATTTTTGTTTTTGTGCATCTGTTTTTTTTTCCGTTTTTGTCCAGCCATAAAATCTTGTCATTTCTTGCTATCGTTCGGTCGTCTACCCAGTTAACTCGATTTCTACGCATGACCCCAAAAACGGGGGAGGGGAGAGGCGGAGCTAAACTCAGTACATGCACCAAGGTTTTGCCTTTCGTTGCATAACGCTTTAAATACCCTCCCGGTGGGGTATGCAACAACGTTTTATACAAGGAAGCTCCAAACCCTTACCCTTGTATATACTATTTCCGACAAAAAAGGTGCCCCTTTTGTATACCTTTTATTGACAAATGCTACCCCTTTCACATACCTAGTATAACACCTTTGCATTCCTTTTAGAGCGGTTTTCACCTGACTGTCGTAAAACCAAAACCAAAGTAAATACACTAGCGAACCAAAAGGGCGTAGTAAAACCAAAACCAAAACCAAAACCAATCCCTTTCGACAGTCAAGTGAAAACCGCTCTAATTACCGTAAATGAACTGTATTTACTATATAAATACAGTTGAACCTCTCCTCAATGGCCTGGTCGTTGTAGACAGATGGAAGTTGTGAAGAGGTGGCCGTTAGTGCAGGTTGGACTGTAAATTACAAATCTAGAATGTTTCCTCGACTTTTTTTACAGCCATAAAATGTGCCTGTTAGCCCTTTTGGAGCTTTTTACAAACTGAAATGACAGATTTCCCTATCCTTTTATATACTTCAACTTCCGAATTCCATACCCTTTTATATAGCAATGATATATCTGAAGCCGGAAAAAGGTACCTAATTAGGGCGGAATCTCCCCCTATACGCCATTATAGGAAGTACCAACCCCCCCCCCCTTACCCCCACAGTATACTCTTCAATGAAGACGGACCAAGTTTAAACTTTAGAATCCTCAGATTCTGAGCTTGAAGACAACGAAAGTGTGCAAGAAGGAGTTTACTACCTCCTGAAAGAACTAGCCTTCATTATCTCCAGCAAAGAGATGTTCAGAACCGAAAGTGTGGCAGTTATTTATCATCGCAGCTGGCCTGTCTATGAGAAATTTGTAAACGGAGATTATGATGGAAAGCCAAAAGAAGGATTGGGACTTGCAATCATCAACTATGATCTAGTGTAATATAATAAATATTATAATGGACATTGTATGACTTTCTTACAAAGAAGGCTTTTAAGGGAAAGTTTAACTGGTCAGTAGCACACTTGGACTGGACCAGTAAGCCATAAGCAAGCGTGCAATCATGGTCCTTTTCTGGGCAAATCTCTTGTGAGAGAGCATTAATTCCATGGCATTTTCAAGCAATATAAGAGTTTAACTGGTTAATAATAATAATAATAATAATAATAATAATAATAATAATTAATAATAAATTAATATATGTACATAATTTACAGAAATATTTAAAGTAAGAATTAAGCACTATGTAACATTAACAATTATATAAATCATAAAAATAGCAATCACTTTGTCAATAACGATTTCGCAAATACATTCCTTGCAGCTCAGACACAGTCAATGACTCTTGCAGGCAGTCCAGAGTTTTAAATCAAGTCATTACAAAAGAGAATTATCCATCTCTGATATTAAAAAAACATAATAAAATAATAATATTTATTTATTTATAATTATATCAGTGGGAATCAGTTATTCTGTATTCAAACTGTAAAATTATTTTCTGGATTTTGAGAAAGATTTCTATTAAAGTTAGTATTTGCTGGCTGTATAGTTTCAATGTAGTCATTACTAAATTGTTAAGCACAGAGGACATCACCACCACTTTAAAATCTCAATATGCTTTTATGTACCCAGCATTCCAGGCGTTTTCTCTTCATGTGTGATTGTTTTTGTTTGTGTAACCACAATGCTGAATTCTAAAATAGTCGAGGCAGTGGGGTGACTCATAAGGGGCAGGGGAGGTGTTGGGAAGAGAGAAATATTTTTTTCTCTCCTCCCCCTCTCCCATCTCCTTCTTCTGCCCTACACCTACTCCAAGTGTTGCAATTTGTATACTGACTCACCAATCTACCTGAGTGATAAAATCAAAGATGGCATGCAGCCATGGCAACTTTTGCTTGCCCCAAAATATCCCTACATTATAGGCTGTAGCTTTTACATAGCCTGCGTAGCATGGCAGTTTTGGTCAGACCCGCAAACAAACCAAGGTGGGGTAGGGCAGTAAAACTGTGAGGAGATTGGACTTCACTGCTCAGTGGTGCGCCCTACAAAACTTCCATGCTACAAAGGCTGGCTTTTACAGTTCAGTCCAAGAGGATTTAATTTTCTTGTTCACTGGTCTTTTGCACATACTCATTCCCCATCCTTTCCCCCATCCTTTCATCTTTTCGCGTAGTTCATTATGAAACTTCAAATATTCACTGTTATGATGTCACTGAGAATCTTTTTGGCAGTTTGTTTCCAAGTTGGGCTGGCATTTGCCATTAATTACAACCTGCCCAAGGTCTTGGCGAGTGGGCCAGCCTACCCGCCTTTTCATAAAAACACAAGAACAATTTTATAAGGAAACAAAATTTAATGCACAAGCCAAGCCAGCCTGGCTTAGTAACCGGGCTGGCTCGCCTCATATAAGTTGCCAGTATTGTAAACATTTTCTAGGGAATTGTGCGCATATTGGCTAAATAATTTCGGTTTTTAACAATTATTCGTCGAGCCCGAATGGGCTCTGAGTCAATAGCCCATGAGGCTGAAGGCCGAATGGGCCATTGACTTAGAGGCCATGAGGGCGAGAGGAATAATATTGGTTTAGTAAAATCCAACTTGTTGGTCAAAAATATCGAGACAAAACAACTTTAGCTAGCAAAATGCGATTGAGCTGCCATTGTTTTGGTTTTCAAAGCCGGCGCTTTTTGCTGCTAGTGGGCTATAACATATAGCCTTGTAGTAGCTCAACCAATCGGAATGCAGCATTGATAATAGATCACTAGTTGGATTTTACTAAAATGGTATATTCCCATCAGCTCCTAAACTGAAAAATTCCTCTCAGTTATTGCTAACCCTGGCCACCAGTGGCACCTGAAGAAGCTACCAAGGTGTGAGCCGATCCATACCAATTAGCTGATTTTAAGGACTTTTAATAGCTGTGGTCATACTACAGATCGACTTTTTACCAGAAAAACTTGATTTTTTAAGTGTGACCGATTTTCCCCTAGGTAACTTACCTCGGGAAAATTTTATCGTCTGGGTCTTGGATATGTCTCAAGAACAATCGAGTTTCCATTGACAGCTACCCCAAAGCAATAGCTTGGGAAAAATAAAATACCCAGGTTGCTAGCCAATAGACGCTCATCAGCGAAGGCCTTGATGACAGAACCGGACATAGCTCACGCTGTGAAAGAAATTTTGAGGGCACGAGTCGTCTACGTCTTCGCCTTTCTTCACCTTGGACATTGAATTAGCGTAAGAAATAACAGCGAGATAAAAGAAAAAAACGTCTCTTTGATCAGCTAGATCCATGCGCATCTTGCCTTCTTGAATTTACGCTCCAAAAAGTTCAGCCGGTGTGAAAACTTTGGGAGCCGATATCAGTAGTGTGACCTTCCCAGAATGTTTCACCTAGGTAAAACAAAACCCGAGATTAATTTACCTGGGGAGATTTTTGAAGAATTTACCCTAGGTAAATCGGTTTTACCTAGGTAAAAGTGTGTAGTGTGACCACAGCTAATTATACTATTTAAAAATCTGAAACTAATATAGCGTGGTTTACCTGTAATCGCTGCGCACTGGATCAAAAGAAACATCTTGCATCGAAATTGTCCATTTATGATAGAGCCAATTATGAATGTTACGGACAGCGAACGTGTGCCGCCATCTTTGAGTTGAAAGCTGAGCCGGAAGCTGTCGAAGCTGAGGTGATTGGGGATTGGGGAGGTGTCACCTGAGGTGCTGACCAAAAGGAAAGCAGGCTCTAGGATCGTAGGATAAAAGATAAATAAAAATAGACGAGTGTTTTCCCGTTTGTTTCCACCACTCCTTTTCATGTTCTTTAATCTGAGACTTAAGCCCCAGTTAGCGCCGCGCCTATATTAATTCTTTCCCTGTTTTTTTTTAGAGTTTTTCTCTACGAAAGACCGTTTTTTTCCCTTTACAATATGAGCAACCTTTCTATAGGCGAATCTTTGTTTACACTTTTTGCCTCATTAACATATGCTTATAACTATCTGATGACGCTAATAAAATGAAAACTCTGAATATTGAAAGGGCATAACAGTTTCAGTTATCTCTGAAAATTTGAGCCCAACACAACGAATGGTTTCCGAGAAATTCTCTTTAAACTGAGACTAGAAATTTTACAGAGAATGTATAACAGCTTATTGCTTGGAAAGAGTTGAAAATTACTCAAATTGCTCAGCTCTTTCAACTTATGCATTTAGTTCATATATACGGCCACGGCGTATGCTAACGAGGAAAACTGTAAACAGTGACGTCAGCAAAGATTCGATTATATATATTTGCTACAGAGAAAAAGAGGAAGCAAAAACCATAATGTTCTCGAGATTATAACTCAAATTCTTGTTTATTCTTATTGACTATATTCGTTTATCAGAGGTCATAAATAGCTTAATTAATTCATTAATGCATTCCTTCCCTCCTTCCTTCATTTATTTATTCATTTATTCATTCTTTCAATTTTACTTACATTACAAACCCGAGGTAAGCTGTGCCTACCTCAGCTTCAGGACCGTGATCCCGGGGGGGTACTCCTTGGAATTCTTGGTGGGGGTGTACCGACTGGTTTTCCAATCCTGACCCTATTTAAGACTAGAAAATGTCACTTTTCACACCCGTTTTCAGATGGGGTCTTTAAGAAATTATGTCATCCCAGTTACTTAGATTAGAACACTGACAAAAAAGATTAATTAAAATCCACTTCGAATTCGCATATTTCTCTTTCTTTCTTATTCATTTGGAATTGAAACGATAAATACGTTCATACACTCCTGCAGTTTCTTCAAAAACCATAACAGATTCCAGATCACAATGGCCAAAGTATATACCCATTTTCAGACCAAAACGGTACAAAAACCATACCCTTAAGCTTTGGGGCGGCATATACCTGTATGGCTCATATAAGGGAGTTTCCCCCCCAGGACAGTGATAAGCACTTGTTCACTTTGCTGTTTTACTTTATCATTGAGGGTCACGTGATATGTGATGGTACGTTCCAAAAAAACATTACGGGCGATTGGTTTCAAAAGTATTAAATGAAAAGTTAACCACGATAGCCGCTGTCGTTAAAATGAGCTCTCCACCGCGACGATCTAACGGAATGATAGGGGACCAAACAGTGTCAGTGTATGTTTCTTTGCGGGGATACTTTTTCTGATCTTGACAGTTTGTACTGCTAGGACTCTTCAGAAAGTAATATTATTCAAAGTTATGTTTCACGCGCCTAGATCCGTCTCCGATATCCTATATTCTAAACTTAAATTTAACTGGCACTTCGATGGATTGAATCAATCTGTTATTCAATTAAGGGATGCATTTTTATAGCGATATCAGTTGCGCCTGACTGGACTAACAATAACAATTATACAAAGACAAACTGATTTGGGAAGTTGAGTCTTTTTATTATACATTGATCATTAATTAATCAATTCTTTAATCGTTTTTCAGTTACTTTTTTAAAGCTGGTTCTCAACGGTGACATAAAATAAGTGTCATTTATTGTGGCAAGAGCCATAAATGCCGGGGACTAGTTAGTGCCTAACAGACATCCTCGCGTAACGTCAGAAATACCTTCTGATAATTAATGGCGACTTCAAAAAACACGTAGGGCTAGTTATTCAAACGGAGTTTTCCCGTTTAACAAAACCGCGTTCTAAGCCATTTTCAGTTTGCCAAATGCTTTTATCAATACACCATTTACCGTGAGCAGTTTCATGAAACCATACAGCAAAGACCAGAGAAGCGTTTGTCTTCTCCATAAACAACTAAGGAAGAGACCTAGAGGTCTAAAGATTTCCTAAACTGCGGTTTAAGTTAGAATTCATTTGAATAACCGACCCGTACTGTCCAAATTTCACTACTTATACCAAAGTTTACTTGGTGTAGCCATTAATTATCTGAAGTATTTCTGATGTTAAGAATTTTCTAGAGCGCAATAAACGTCGCGTTTGTAACTTTTAAGAAGTAACATTTTTCTGCGCAACTTGAACTTTGAAGTCCACGCACGGAAAGCAGAATGGCCCAACGTTTTGAACGGGTACACTGTCATCATCACCTCTCACGTCCGTCTCCAGGGCAACGGAGTAGTTTTCCAGCAATGTAACCAGTAAAACTTTCATAAAGGTGTCTGCAACCCGGTATCCCATACACCTTCGCGTTCCAATACCGAAGCGACACAAGCTTTTGCGCATGTTCGGTGTTTCGTCATCAAATCTTCGGGGATTGAAAGTTTCGGTGTCGCCCCAGACTTCTGAGTTGCTATTGACTGCACTGTTGTCAACAGATACTTCGACCTAAAAACAAACGAGAACAGTGTTTGACGTAGCTGAAAACAGTTACATCATCTCGAAAACTCTTGTTAACTTTTGGCAATGATGATCGTCAGAGATCATGTTTCTACCATGGATCAATCTCGTATCCAGAGTCTTGCCCCGTTGACCAAATTCCGGCTACGAGATTGACCATGAGTTCTTTAGTTGTTCATTGTTGTTTCTTTAGTTGTTTAGTTCATTAATTGCACAATTGAATAAACAAACGTAGGAGGAAAGACAAAAATGACTGTCTGTATAGATTTTTCCTTTGATATGGATCATTTTCACTCATGTGATCAGTGGCTACACAAACTTCATGGAACAAAAGGAATTTTTTGCTGAAAAAAGAGTTTAATTCCCACACGATGTTTTTGGGGGGAGGTATACCAATATGGCCGCCGTTTCATTGTTTTTGTACATCAATTTGCGATTTTTATGTTCCCCATATTGCAATTTGCTTTCCCCACAAAATTTGGCAGAGGTTTTGTTTTTAATTTTTCAAGAATGATTGTTAGTCCCAAGAGAAATTGAAAAGAGTACTTAAGCAAAATGTTGTAGGGCAAACAAAGTGCATTATGGGCAACGTGAAAGTCGCAAATACGGCCTCCGCAACGTCACGTGCAAATGATCTATTCTCGGATTTATGAGCTTAACCAAGATAAATGTTAGATGTTTGACCATTTTTCAACGCGGTCTCCATGATCACTGGTGCGTTGGTCAAGCGAGTATACGGTCGGCGTCATGACATTAGGGAGCTTAAGCAACAAAGAAGGGGACGGCTACGAAAACGTCACTAAAAAGTGAATTCGCTCTGCTTCAAACTTAATCGCCCTTATTCCATCTCGCCCAATTCATCAAATACTAGAAAATTTTTCCGGAGTTGCATTCTGAAAGTTTGCACTAAAGCTCAGGAAAAGGAAAAGTGAAACGTGAAACGTGAAATAAGAACGTCTCAAGTCGTAGTCGTGCATTGACGGCAAAGAAATGTACACAAAAGCGTGATGCACGTTTTGCCAATCTAAACCTATTGCTTTTTTGCCGTCTTCGTTGCCGTCGCCCTCATCGTTGCTTAAGCTTCTTATTTGAATGCCTAAGATGAAGTCACGTGAAACCAAGCCTTAAAAACAGCTTTCGAAAACTTAAGGAAGGCAGGGAGCTAGGCACGTACTCTTCACGCGCTTCTGGAGGCCGTAAGATATCCTAATAACCAGGAGCCCTGATTTTGCACGCTAATCACTACTTACCCCTGGGGGACTTTGGAAATTCCCAATAACCATTGGACAAGTCACATATTCTGGAGTGCTTATCACCATTACGGGCCTCTTCCTGGCTGATTCTTTTACTACCTTACCCAGGAAATCCAGTTTAGTTAGTGTCTCTAAGCTTAACGGTTCTGAAAGCTAAAAAGATAATAAACTTGGATAAGAAAACAAACACAACAAGACGTGTAGACATTTGGACATTCTCGGAAAAAAATTCTAGTCCTCAATTTTATTATCACGTGGCATCAGCCAAAGGCTCATAGCCTCCCTCATCATTCGATAGGAAGCCTGCTCACAGGCAAAAATTCTTTTTATTTAAAAATTGAAACTATAAAATCACAAAGAAAACTTTTCCACCTGTTATGAGCTGGTCAGAAAATGAGCAAGCATTCGCGAAATATCTGACACTTTTTTAAAACACCTTCCGTTTTAACGTTGCTGTGGTTTTTGGGTGTAAAAAGATGCTGATAGCTCGTTCCCCGATTAATCGTAATCGACGGAGTGATAAGCGGAATCGGAACTCTGTTTTCAATACATTGTAAGGCTCTTCAGGTCTTTCAAATATAAAGTATTGGCTTTATCGAAGGGAAGACAAACAAACAAATAAAAAAACTCCTCAGACTTTCCGCTATTTCTTTTACTGCACTCAGCTTCAACGAAAGAAAAAGTATTCACTAAAATATTTACATACTCCGCGTGAAATGGAATGCTTGACTTCAACTGTAAGATTTTTCTGCACATCTTTATGAAGTGCTACATGGAATAGAAGCCAGGCCACAGCTCCGCATGTGATATCTACATTAGCAAGGGAAGCTTCCTCCAGGGTTTCTTGAAACTAGACACAAAAAACAGTCTTTTAGTAAAATTTGAATCACGGCAAGAAGTGCTTCTTTTTTACGTAACTAACGCCCTAAAGGAATTGTGATTGAATCGCTGGATGTGAAACGTCTACAACTCAGAAAGTTCAAAAGAAACATGTGTATAAGGTAACTAGTTAAGTCCTAAAAGGCCAAACTACTTCAAAAAAGTTCCCTTTTAAAAGGGCGTTGTCAGGTTGAGTTTCACATTTTTTGGTAAAAACTCAACTAAAATTAAAACTTAGTATTCTCAGTGACCTATTCTCATACTATACCCTAGAATCAAGCGACTCTCTCAAGGGAAGAACAAATCGTGAAAAGTTAGCCCATCGCTAGCCTGGTTATGGAAGGCTAAAAACACGCACTTATAGCGTAGGAGGCGCAGTGGAGCACTGAATTTTTCACAAAACGGATCAACTATTATAGTCATAGGATCTGCTTTGGTTAAATATGTATTAGGGTTTTAAAGAAATACCAAACCATCACTTACACGTATTTCATATTTTAAAAAGTTCTTGAGAACTACTAACGAATAGGAACTAACTGAAAAAGATATTACATCATACAAAGTTATCCTGGACTCCACTTGCATTTCGTTACCCGAACGTGAAATTACAAAATAATATTATACAGATAAGTTTGGTCAACCAGCCAACCCAAAACTTTTCGTCTAAGCCCCCAACATTACCTCATCTTCTGACAGTGTCCCCGGATTTTTTGCAAGAGTTTGCTGGAGCTTGTAAAAAACACAGCTTGTGTCTCGAAGTTTTCCTTCGGCAAAACGCTCCTCAAAGCTAAGTCAAGAAACGAAAGTAGAAAAGAGGAAATTAAAATTTTCACAACGAAAACATTTGCCTATTGGTTGAAATGGTCAAGGCCGTGCTATAAAAAGGGTACAAAAACTAACTACAAAATCAAAATGGAAACGGAGAAGTAGACTTCTTACTCTTCCTTTGCTTCCGTCATGACTATCTTGTTTGCGTTACCTAACATAAAATGAACCCTTCTTACCGCTTATTGAATTGCATCCACCGCTTTTCAAATTGCGCCAGTTTGCTGTTAGTGCTTGTAGGCATGTATTTATAAAGCGGAAACTTGACGAAAGGGTTTGAGAAAGTATCTCCGATAAGTGATTCCACTAAAGCTCTGAGATCGAGTAACTCCTGAAGCTCGTCTGCAGTCATGTCTCTTCCGTATGTGAACTTCATTAGTATTTTAAACGTCAGTTGAATCAGATCAGCCATTCTTATGAAACACTGAAATGGCGAAACAAGCCGCGGATATCACAAGCTGACTTTTGTGGTAGTCGTGCCAAAAATGTTATATGAACGGGTAAGGCCGGTGGAACCTCGGGCGCAGTCTCCCTGCATAAAACTTTGTAGAGTGCGCCCGCCCCCACCGGGATGGTAGTCTTCTTTTTTAGGGGAGGAGTGTTGCATGATGGCAAAAAAAGGAGACTGACCATGTGCTGACTTATTCATATTACAATTTACAGGTGCTAGGGAACGGGTGTTGATCTGGTGGTTATCCCATTGGATTTTTGATCTGAAAAAAGGGTATGAGGCAGTGCGTTATTTCCTAAGTTTTCCCTACACTGCCGACATAATAAAGAGAGTCTTTGCTTCCGTTTTTTATTAGTGAAAAAACGCTTACTGTTACGTTGTAACATGACTGCAAATGGCGAAGGCAAACAAGGCGGGAAAGATGGTCATGTGGTCATCTTTCCCATCTCTGCCTCTTGCGTATGCCCGTTAAGGTTGGGTGATGCTTTATCTCTCTAATGCTCTCTAATCCCGCAACGTATATCATGCAGAGATGAGTACAAACACTCTTTTTACAATAACTGAACGAAACCTCGCGCGTTGATTAGTCGAGAGCTTTGGTTTATGAAAATATAGAACCTGGAAATGACGTAACATGTCACGCAGTGCCGGCTGTTTTGTTTTTGGCTTTTCGAAAAAAAAAAATGTTATTGTAAAAAACAAATCGACCACAATTTTCCACGGTCTACACTCTTATAGACCATAGAAACCACTCGCCTGCGGCTCGTGGTTCCACTTGAGCTTTATTTGTTAAATAGAGCTTTAAACAACAATAACACAAACCGGAAGCTCCGTTTGCTGCTGTTACCGTGACCGTCTAATGCCCCCAACCTCAAATGGTTTTCAATAAGGAACCAGATAATTGGAACCTTTAGAAGGTCAGGATTCGGGTTTTTAGAGCAAAAAGGCGTGAGATTCGGGAACAAACCCTGGAAATTGGGTGACTTTTGAGTAATGGCATTTGGGAAACGTTGTTTTCATCGAACCGAAATCCGGTGACGAAAGTACGTTAAAATAAATACCCTTGAATGCAGAGGTCCACTCAGAGCGTAAATAAAACCGACTGGTTCTTTCTTGCCGGATCTCAAATGAAGAGATGCTAATACCAGACAAAACTTGAAGTGGGGATTCAGTAAACAAAACTACATACAGGGCTGGCAATACAGCAAAGTAAGTTGCTTTTCTTTAAATGGTGGGGGTACTTGGGTCAATTCATGATGGATATGTATCGCTGGCTAATTGTAAACTCCATCTTAGTCACTTTTAGGAAAAAGCAGTTTTCAAGGAATTTTTTAGAATAATCGAACCCCAAGTAAGTCACTTTCTTTTATCGCGGTAACAACTATTAAACCGCGAATCTTTCCATTTCTAAACCCCTGTTTACCAGGAGATGTTCTCATCCACCAAAATCCCGAAAATGTGCTACCACCTTCTAGAAACTCTAAAAGCAACCTCATTGTAGTCAATCCATTGGTGTAAATACAACCCCATCCAGTGGCACACTCCATCAGGGTCCGTGCACACTTCGGCCAATCTAATTTTTCATTTTTCCAACAAAAACGGAAACAGGAAATATTACTTATCCTTGTCATATTTACATATTTTAAAGAACAGACAAAAATAGAAAAAAAGAAAATGGTCAGGAAAATTGATAATTTTTTAATTTTTCTAATTTTGAAGTCCGCTCCAAAAATACAAAAAATACTTCAAACGGCTAAAAGCGATATTTTGCTATTTTTTATTTTCTTGCTATTGTTAGAAAATGAGAAAAATGAAATAATGTCCGATTCCTAACTCATTTTTCTATTTTTTCGTTTTTCGCCAAAAATACAAAAACAGAAAAATGAAAAAAAATCATATTTATTCGCACCATTTTTTCATTTTTTCCATTTTGTTCAAAAAATGAAAAAATAGAAAAATAGCATACCTATCGCCCAATTTTCCATAGTTCCATTTTAATAAGAAAAATGAAAAAATGACAGGTGTTTCGAGCAATTTTCTATTTTTTCATTCATTTAATAAATAGATAAACTTTAAAACGATACACCCTTTCAGACAGTTTTTCACTTTTTATTTTATTGAAAAATGGCGCAGAAAAGTGAGAATTAATGACTATTTTAACGGTGAAGAAGAGACTCGCTAATTTGGTTAGAAGATTTACCCAGGGTCGAGGGTCGGCGGAATATGTGGGGGAATTTGAGCGGGGGGGGGGAGGTCTTAGTTTTGGAGATGCGGACGTAGTTCCATTCACTTTTTCCCTGAAGGTTTGAGTTGTCGGGAGTCGACTGTGGATGAAAGCGGCGGGAAAACCGTACCGTATTGGCCGTGGAAATGAAGAATATTAGAAAGGGTACGAGGGAGGAGGAGAAGGCGTGAAAATTGGTACGGGAAAAGGGGGGGGGGGTAACTCAACGGTTTTCATGCCAGCAACACTATGGTCCCAGCAAAAAAAAAAAGCGGTTCGTGAGAGAGATTAAGGGGAAGGAGTTGAGAAGAAGGTCGTTGAACATTCACATGCACAAAATAAGTAAAGAGCACGCCAGTGAAGAGGTCAGACGCTTTTAAATGAAATAATGCTCAAAAGTAGACTGCTTAGCCTGCCGAAATAACGGATCTTGCCGCGGAACGGGTGTTTTAGGATTGCAAGAGTAAAGTATAATGAATTAATATTATGGAGGAGAAACATAACGAAGCAGCTAGTATACAATCGCGGGAGAGAACATCTTAATATTCTGACCCATGCATTTGCTCATACATTCATACATTAGTTTAAACGTTGGATAGCGACTATCCACCGGATAAATCACTATCCAGCGGCCTGATATTTTTTTATGTATTTTAGGGAAACCAATTGCGTTATCTACTGGATAGTTATTTATCAGGCGGATAGCGTTATCCACCTTTTAAGCAACTCAGCCCTGGAAAGACGAGAGCAAAGATCGCTAATGTCGGGAAACCCATGCGACAAGTATGGGGAAACGTTCCACAGTTTGAACGCAACAGGAACACTTTATGGTCCGTGACGCAGTGTTAGAACAGGTCATAGAGTGAGTCCTAAGTAATGAGGTAAAGGAATCAGCTAATCAAATCCAAAAGTGAATGAAACTACGTTGGCATTCTGAGAATTAAAGGGCCCCCACCCGCCCTCCCCAACCCACGTCTCCGCCGATCCTGTGTAAATCGTCTAACAAAACTAGTGAGTCTAAAGTGGATTAGGTTTTTTTTTTCTTCATTTATAAATGTTCATGATTTGTCATTTTTCTTTGCTATTTTTCATTAAAACAAAAGATGAAAAATTGTCCGTTTTTGTTTGTTTGTTTTCTATCAGGAGCCTGTTTCTATTTATTGAAAAAATGGAAAAATTATTCGCAACATTTTTTTCCTTTTTTCTGTTAAAATGGAATTATGGAAAATTAGGCGATAGGTATGCCATTTTTCTATTTTTTTCATTTTTTGAACAAAATGGAAAAAATGAAAAAATGGTTCGAATAAATATCATTTTTTCATTTCTCTGTTTCTCTATTTTTTGGGAAAAACGGAAAAATAGAAAAATGATCTAGGACTCGAAGATTATTTTATTTTTCTCACTTTTCTAACAATATCAAGAAAATAAAAATAGCTAAATATCGCTTTTAGCTGTTAACAGTATTTTTCGTATTTTTGAATTTAACTTCAAAATTAGAAAAATGAAAAAATAATCGATTTTCCTGACCATTTTCTTTTTTTCTATTTTTGTCTGTACTTTAAAATATGCAAATATGATAAGGATAAGTAATATTTCCTTTTTCCGTTTTTGTTGTAAAAATGAAAAATTAGATTGGCCGAAGTGTGCACGGACCCATCAGCATATATTAAACGCAGTAATCCCTCGGCGGGTTATGAAGCACCGGAATCATTAAATTAATACCTGTTTATCTTGAACCATCTGATTTAAATACTGTTTGCATTCCTGTTCCATCATATTCACTGCCTGTGCCACACTCTCTGTGCTGTAACACGGATCAAATGCACTCCGTATCCGCTTATGAACCTCACCACTTGCCGTCCCGGCTGCGTGACCAAACAGCTGGCGAAACACACTTCCCAATCTGAAGTCTTTTAAACGCTCATACTTATGCTGTTTTGCCATAAATTTCACAGCGATTTGTGGGTCTGTTATGATGCTGTGGTCAAGAGAAAAATCAACACATATTTGGATCTAACGAAGTAGTACAAAGAAAATAGGTACATGAATAGAACTTGTGCCAAAACAATTGAAAATCCTAGTCACGCTTTAATACAATCACGATATTGCCATTAAAGTAAACTAGCAAGTACAGCTAAATATTCGAGCCAAATCACTCGCCAAACAAAATCTGGCAATAGTGGAGTCTACTTAGATGACAAGCAAATGAGTGAAGGCCAGTGACAATTTGTCCCCCAAAACTACTGAAAAGACAAAGAGTGTCACGTTTCGTGACACTACCGAAAACGAAAATCTAAATGTGCAGTCTCTGATGTGCAGTATTGAACTTAGGAAACTTGAGAAAAGTCCAAAAAATGAAAACAAAACAAAACAAACAAAAAAAACATCTGAGTCGAAAATATTACACATATGATCTTTATATAATGTGAACTTTCTCATAATACTTACAGTTTTGGAGGCCCGGGTAAAAATCGGAGCAAGTACATTCCAAATTTCTTCAATCTTTCATCTTTAAATGCTATGAGTGTTGGTGAAAAGGTCCTGAAGCTAGTTCCTGCGACAATTTCCCCAGAATCATTTTGCCAGAAGTAAATCTATAATATAAGCGATCACAGATTAAAGTCAGTGATTATTTCTTTCACGGTTTAGTTTTTCCTTCTACAAAAATTAAACTTGAAGAGAGTCCGAATTAAAGAAAATGAAACAGACTGAAACAGAAGGTTGACGACTGAACTCTTTTCTCTGTTTCCGATGTCCTAGGAAGCCTCTCTATGTCCTCTATGAAACAACGACAGGCTGATGTCAAGGAGTTGCTGTCCTTTGTCTCTACATTCCAAAACTTAAGTTGTTCAGTTTATAGCCTCTGAGCAAGCTTTCCAGTTATTTTTCTTATTCATGGGCTCGATTTTTTTTTTCAACGTGCATTGACAACGGTTACTGGAGGAAAAGCAATACGTTTTGAGAATGTTAGTGACCACAAATTTTAATAGAAAGACATATAAGATATTGGTAAACATGATTCACGCATAACACATTAAAACTTACGCTAAAAAATAGCCCGTATTTTGCGTAGGTCAAGAGTTCATTTGCAATCAAGAGAGCGTGAAACGGCTCGCGCGCATCGTGCAAGAATCGGACACCGTCGGCTTTGCTCTTCGGAAAAACCGATTTTGAGGAAAAAAAACTTACCTCGAAAAATCTTTTGTAAATCCACGATATCAAAATCACTACGAAAGCAAGGGCAGTGATGGCAAGACCGAGTATCATCTTGAAATTTGAACACGACTGTAAAGCGATGAAACGAACTCTTCGCAAACTGAAAGCCACTGAAATCTTACGTTATGTCACACAAAGGTTTATCAGTTTGTTAGTTCCGGTCAAGGACTTCCTAGAAGTCACATGGTGACTAAACCAAAGGCATGTAACATGATGTAACCGTCTGTAACGAATCAAGTTCCGTTCAAAGGGGAATTTTTGATGGATATAAATTGACGTACGCGAGTCTGATGGCCCTTACGATAAAACCGAATTTCATTAGTGACGCTTATTGCCTGCGTGCAGACGTCTCCTATTTCCTTTGTTGCACGCAAAGGAAATAGGAGAAGTCTGCACGCAGGCAGAAGAGGTTATATTCCCTCACGTATACTTTATACTTCGACAAAGCTAATTTAAATCATTTTTAATTTTATCACATTTCCGATTTTCCCTGTTAACTGATATGAGTGTACGCAAGTGTGAATTCGCAGAAAAAGCTACAAAAAGAACAATTGTACGGTCGTCCATCTGGAACAAATGACAAGCATGTAAAACGAGCTTATGAAGTACTAAGACTGGTGTTCTCATTCGGGAAAAAACGTAATTATTCAAAGAAATGAGCCAAAATACCTAACTAAACTAAATGTCAAGTACAGGGGTACTCCACAAAGGTTTGTACTGGGTGGCTCGGCCCCGAGCTCCACCTATAGCCCTTGCCCTTTTATAAACCATTTTAAGGAGACAGTATTGACCTCTAACCCTTATAATTACTTAACCACACTGCATCCCTTTAAACTCTTGGATGAAGTTAATGAACGATATTGCGGGAAAACAACTTGCAAGGCGCGTCTGCTTGAAATATTGCAACTAAAGGCCTTTCTTAATACCTAAATGACCCATGACACACCAGTCCCTGCCTGTTATACATTTCAACCAGTGAAATCCCTTCCCTTTTTTAATACCATCTTAAGCCTGACAAAAGTTATCCCTTTCGGGTGGACACCGCTCCCTCATGATATCAAATTTTTAAGCCAAAAAGGCAAAGATCTTTACATTTCATTTTAGCCCATTTTACCCCAAAAAGGGAATCAAGGGAACACACCTTCATTTTCTTTGTAAATTACGATATTCGCGCACTTTCAACTTCCAACGTTACTACCGGTATTTCTGGGAAATAAGCCCGGTAACTTCGACGCTAAATTTAGAGCACGTCATCAGCCATTTTATTCCCGGGAAATTCGACTCAGCGATCGTTCCAGCGAATAAAACAATGATTGGCTAATTGCAGGAGCCCATCAAACAGGAGAATTCTCAGCAATTAATGTAGAAGTTTAGGCCAATTCTTTCCTTCGAATTCGCATCTGTAGATCACTTTTTTGCGAGAAAACAATGGCTGGGCTCGGCGTTACAAAACATAGCAGGGAATCATCACACTAACTGACGGACAAAACAACCACAGTATTTATTCAGACAAACGCATTTCGGATAAAAAGTTGAAAAACTAGAAATTTGACTAATATTGAGTCATTTAGCCGAAATAAGAACCTTAACGCTCAAAAAAATTGGCTAAAGAAAACGAATCCTGTCAGAACTACAGACTGCAGGTAGACGTTAATCCTTGCGCATGTAACAGATCAGCTTAATGTGAGACAAGCAACCAAAATTAAGATTAACATAGTCAGAGTTTAAAACTCTCCACAGTATAATCTACCCGCTAGAAAGAAAAGAAAGAAAATCTCTGAGGGATGAAAACGCTAAAGTCACGTTTCACTAGCTTATGATTTTGTTTGGCTTGTCAGCACCGGATTTCCTGCTGTTTCATGAAGTACAATAGCAGTGTCATTTAGTCGTTGTGATTGGCTCTTCCCACCGTCGGCGCGCGAAGTCTCCCCTGGGAACCGTTCTAATTATAAATCTACTCGGGAAAGGGTTGACTCCAAGGGCTTGTATGGGAGATGGAGGCTCCATTTGATAGGCTCCTGCTAATTGTTAATTGTGATGGACGCATATAAAAAGCCACACCGTTTACCTTGTGCAGCATGTTAAGCTGACCGTGAGCTCGAAATCCACTTGCTTCATTTCTTTCTCCCAAAGAAATAGCCCCTCAAGTTAAAATGGTGCTTAACCTCGTCCAGCTTGGAGAAAGCCTTGTTTTTGAAACAGGTCAAGATGTGATCGAGGGTAATGGTGTAGTATTGTTTGGAATGAGCCCTGGAAATCCATACTTCAAATCCCACGTTATTGAGGACTATGTGCAATACTTGGGAAAGGACAAAAGAAGAATAATTGTGGTTGTACCACAGCAGCCAGCTGAACATACGTACAGAGCTCTGGGGAGTAAAGATGCTGTGAAACGAGCCAAGAAAAACTCCAGTCAGCTCAAGTCGCACTGCAGAAGAGCTATTGATAAGGTATGTACAGAAAAAAATATAACACTGTCACTGATTAATTCTTGATACTTTGAGAAAGCTTCAAAAAGTACGGTTAAATATCCACCACAACAATTTTTTATTTATTATGTTTGTATTCTATAAAACTGACGCGCACTCGCTCTCTTTCATAAGCTGGATACAAGCTAAAATTTTATATAATTGTTTTCATCCGACCTCCTCACATGTGTCCTCACTGTGAGCTGTGGGTGTCTTTCGTGAAACACGTTTTTTAGTGACAACCGGACATGCAGTAGTTTTGACACTCCCCAATTGTGCGCATGCGTGAGTGACGTCACTGACCTGCTTTTTCTCAGTTAAAAACCGTAATAACTAGTGAGGCTAATTTCGCAACTTTGGTTAATCTTGTGTGTTTTACGTACATGTCGAAAGTACGTTGTGTGCTTTTATGTAGAGACGCGCTAAATTTCACAGAGAACTGACAGAAATCTAACGGAGGATTTCTCGGAAATAGTAATTGGTTTAAAATTATGGTGAATAGTTTACTACAACAACTTTATTGACTTTACCTTCGACATGAAGATTTCAGTACCAAAACAATAACAAATGAAAATAGTAAATGATATTTTAAAATTGGCCAGAAATAAAACTTTTATTGACTTTCAGTCAGTAAAAAAATGATTTAATCAATAACGATTATAAAAGTAAAGGAAACATTTTAAGGTTTCTAACCAGCCCGTAATAAATTAAACGCAAGAAAACTTGGATTTAAAACAAATTAGAAACTGACGATTCCGCCCCGTAAGAAACCGGAAACCGCGCTAGAAAAGTCTCTGGCACCCAGGGTAGCCCCCTGTCTGAAGTGGTATTAAATAGTTTTATCATTTACAAAACTGATCTCTCCCTAAGTTAGATAAGGGGTGTGGAGGGGGAGTAGACTACGAGTAGTCCCCCATTTTCCCTCGGGATAGTAGAGCGAGCGAAACGCGAGCGTGCGTGAAAATCACTAAACGCGAGAAAAGGCGACACGCACTCATTTTTCTAGACTGCGAGTAGTCTCTCTTTTTCTTCAGATTTAGTGAGAGCAATGCACGCGCGCGGGAGCGGCGAAGCCGCAAGACTCTCTCCCCACCGCAAGTCGCCTTTTCTCGCGTGGGGTGATTTTCACGCGCGCTCTACTATCCCTGAGGAAAAATGAGGGACTACTCGTAGTCTAGAGGGGGTGGAGCTAAAGTAATATTGCAACTTTTTTCGCGATTCAAAGATTAACGTGTCGACCTGCGGCCGGCAGGAAGCATCTCCGCCGCACGCAAGTTAAAAAAAAACACGCTGTACCCACGGTTAGAGAAATAATAATTTTTCGGCTTTTCATCATTCAGTATGGATTAAATCATTATTTTCTACCGCTGAACAGGTGTCCAAGACTGATGATATTGCTGGAGAGTTTTATATGTTGGACTGGACTTCAGAGGTAGACAAACATGAAGCTTACATTGCAGCCTTAGACTATATCATCAGTTTTTACAAAAGTAACTCTTACTTTCGCCAGGACGTCGCACGATCGACCGCAAAAGTGTTAGGAAAAGATTCTACATCCTCTGAGAGTGAATCAGGTAAGCAAGAGAAGCGGAATATCAATGTTTTAAAAGTGGAATTATCTAAACTTTTTCGGTTTCCATTTCTTGAGTGGTCTTATCACTTCTCGGTCAATGGACTTTGAAACACGGATCCGTTTCTGTTTACACCAAATCTACGGTTTCAAACCCCTTGCGAATGGTTGTCGAGGCTTCGACGCACAATTTTCCAGGATTCAGGACTAAAAAAATAAAAAAGTTGAGCCAACCAGTGTACAAACTATGTTAAGAGCATGAAAAGTGGTGGACATTCCCGCCACATGAGTAGATTTCCGTAATTTAAGCATTTTTGTTTTTGTGCATCTGTTTTCTTCCGTTTTTGTCCAGCCATAAAATCTTGTCATTTCTTGCTATCGTTCGGTTGTCTGCTCAGTTTACTCGATTTCTATGCGTGACCCCAAAAAACGGGGGAGGGGAGAGGTGGAGATAAACTCAGTACATGTACCAAGATTTGCCTTTCGTTGCATAACGCTTTAAATACTCTCCCGGTGGGGTACGCAACAACGTTTTATAAGGGAAGGCTCCAAACCCTTACCCTTGTATATACTATTTCTGACAAAAAAGGTGCCCCTTTTGTATACCTTTTATTGACAAATGCTACCCCTTTCACATACCTAGTATAACACCTTTGCATTCCTTTTAATTACCGTAAATGAACTGTATTTACTATATAAATACAGTTGAACCTCCCCTCAAAGGCCTGGTCGTTGTAGACAGATGGAAAGTGTGAAGAGGTGGCCGTTAGTGGAAGTTGGACTGTAAATTACAAATCTAGAATGTTTTCTCGACTTTTTTTTACAGCCATAAAATGTGACTGTTAGCCCTTTTGGAGCTCTTTACAAACTGAAATGACAGATTTCCCTATCCTTTTATATACTTCAACTTCCGAATTCCATACCCTTTTATATAGCAATGATATATCTGAAGCCGGAAAAAGGTACCTCTTTCGGGCGGAGCCTCCCCCTATAGGCCATTATAGGAAGTACCAACCCCCCTCACCCTTACAGTATACTCTTCAATGAAGACTGACCAAGTCCTATTTTTAAACATTAGAATCCTCAGATTCTGAGCTTGAAGACAACGAAAGTGTGCAAGAAGGAGTTTACTACCTCCTGAAAGAACTAGCCTTCATTGTCTCCAGCAAAGAGGTATTCAGAACCGAAAGCGTTGCAGTTATCTATCATCGCAGATGGCCTGTCTATGAGAAATTTGTAAACGGAGATTATGATGGAAAGCCAAAAGAAGGATTGGGACTTGCAATCATCAACTATGATCTGTAATGATATAATAGATTAATAGATATTATAATGGACGTGACTTTCCTACAAAGAAAGCTCTTAAGAGAAAGTATTAACACATGTACAGTATTGCTTTTTGTTTTAAAATGGTCAGTAGCGCACTCGGACAGACCAAGTAAGCCATAAGCATGTGCGCAATCAAGGTCCTTTTCAATAGCAATCATGAATCTCATGCAATGTAATAGTTTAATTGGTTAATAATAATAATGATATTTATCTATTTATATATCAGTGTGAATCAGTTATTCTGTACTCAAACTGTAAAATTATTTGCTGGATTTTGAGAAAGATTTCTATTAAAGTTAGTATTTGTTGGCTGAGTGTATAGTTTCAATGTAGTCATTACTAAATTCTTAAGCACCCGTCAAATAACATCACCATCACTTTCAAATCTCAATGCCTTTATCTAGCCTGCATTCCGTACATTTTCTCTTGGTGTGCGATTGTTTTTGTTTGTGTAACCACAATGCTGAATTCTAAAATAGTCAAGGCAGTGGGGTGACTCATAAGGGGCACGGGAGGCGTCGGGAACAGAGAGATATTTTTTCTCCCCTCCCCCTCTCCCATCTCCTTCTTCTGCCCTATACCTACTCCAAGTGTTATAATTTCTACTCTCGCCAATCGACCTGAGTGATGAAATCAAAGATGGTGTGCAGCCATGGCAGCTTTTGCTTGCCCCAAAATATCCCTGCATTGCAGGCTGTAGCTTTTACATAGCCTGCGTAGCGTGGCAGTTTTGGTCCAGCCCGGAAACAAACCGAGGTGGGTTATAAGAGCAGTAAAACTGTGAGGAGATGGGACTTCAGTGCTCAGTGGTGCACCTGACAAAACTGCCAAGCTATGCAGGCTGGCTTTTACAATTCAATCCAAAGGGATTTCTTGTTCACTAGTCTTTTGAACATGCTTATTCCCCATCCTTTCCCCGTCCTTTGATCCTTTCCCGCAGTTCAATATGAAACTTCAAATATTCACTGTTATAATGTTACTGAAAATCTTTTTAGCAGTTTGTCAAGTTGTTTGTTTCCAAGTTGGGCAGGCCCAGGGCTTTCGAGCGACCGAGATCTTGGCGAGTGGGCCAGCCTACCTGCCTTTTCATAAAAAACACAACAACAATTTTATAAGGAAACAAAATTTAAGGCACAAGCCAAGCCAGCCTGGCTTAGTAACCGTGCTGGCTCACCTCATATAAGTTGCCAGTATTGTAAACATTTTCCAAGGAATTGTGGGCTAAATAATGTCGGTATAATGGTATATATATTCCCATCAGCTCCTAAACTGAAAAATTCCCCTCAGTTATTGCTAACCCTGGCCATCAGTAGCACCTGAAAAAGCTGCCAAGGTGAGAGTTGATCCATACCAATTAGCTGACTTTAAGGTGTTTTAATGATACTAATATTCTGAAACTATTATAGCGTGGTTTACCTGTAATCGCTGCGCACTGGATCAAAAGAAACATCTTGCATTGAAATTGTCCATTTACGATAGAGCCAATTCTATAAGACTGAAATGAATGTTACGGACAGCGAGTGTGTGCCGCCATCTTTGAGTTGAAAGCTGAGCCGGAAGCTGTCGAAGCTGAGGTGATTGGGATTGGGGAGGTGTCACCTGAGGTGCTGACCAAAAGGAAAGCAGGCTCTAGGATCGTAGGATAAAAGCCCGGGGATAAATAAAAAATACACCGTATTCACAAAAAAACTGGTGCCTAGTCATGAAAGCGAGGCGTTGGAGGGTAAACAAAAATTGCAAATGAAGACTTTCAGTGAACTTGCAGAGTGTTTAGCACGGATTCCACCTAAAATAACTTTGTATGGACGAGCCTCTGAGGCTTCGGCAACCGACAAAATCATTCTGTTTCCTTGAAGATATACGCGTCCCTTTTGATTGCAAACAGCAAATCAGTACGAAACATTAAAAGCAGAAGACGTCCCACGTCATTGTATTTAAAAAGACGTCCATACAAAGTTATTTTAGGTGGAATCCGAGCTAAACACTCTGCAAGTTCACTGAAAGTCTTCATTTGCAATTTTTGTTTACCCTCCAACGCCTCGCTTTCATGACTAGGCACCAGTTTTTTCCCGCGTGTCCGCCATTTGTGAATACGGTGTATAGACGAGTGTTTTCTCGTTAGACTGCAACATAGTCCGTATTTTTGCATGTTCAAGTACACTGTTCGCACGAACATTTAAACAAAAGCTGAAAAGGGAGAACGAGACTGGGAAGAGACGCTAAAAAAAATTAGTTCTCTCGCCTCACACGCCCTACGGGAGTGTGCGGCTCGCGCGCTCGCGCGCGTAGAACTCTTACGCTACTATTACTCTCCTCTAAATCAATTTTTTTCAGGAAAAAAACCTGACTGTTTTGCAGTCTATTTCTCGTTTGTTTCCACCACTCCTTTTCATGTCCTTTAATCTGAGACCTAGGCCCAAGGCCGGCACCTTTTACTCAATCCCAGTTAGTGGCGCGCCTATAAGGTTTACTTAGTTCTTTCTTAGCCTGTACACAGACGCTGTTTTATTTTTCTTCTTCATCCCCATCACTACCCCCTTCCGCTGTCGGTCAATAAATCCCCTGCAGTTTATATTTTATCACCCGCGCTCGACGGACTTTGAAGAGAAAATAGAGGGTCTGTTTATGCTATAGAGAATAAGAGGAAGCAAAAACCATACTATTCCCGAGATTAAAACTCAAATTCTTTTTTATCCTTGTTGACTTTACTCGTTTATTAGAGGTCATAGATTCATTAATTAATTCATTAATGCATTCCTTCTCTCCTTCCTTCATTTATTTATTCATTCATTCATTCTTTCAATTTTACTTACATTACATTCCTGAGGTAAGCTGTTTTTCATGTGTGAGAAGGTTTTATCAATTGTTTTGAAATATAATGCTGTCTTACTCTACTCTGAGCAATTTGATATATCGCTATTCGTATAATTGTTATAAAATATAATGACCAAAACCCAATATTTTTGCTCATTAATATCTTTTGTCGCACAAAACTTGACTATTTATACCCAATTTTTCCCATTTTCTTCCATACTCGATCCATACACAATTTATTTTACTTTTTCGGTTTAGCATATTTAGTTGACTGCAAGCAATCAGAACACATGGCATGTCTGTTTAATGTAAAGTACAGCCTTAATTTAATTCCCAGGTCTGAGTTGCTTGAGTGAATGACTTGTAACCTTAAAACAGCGTTAAGAAGAAATTTAGGCAAAATATTCTTGTCCAGGAACATGTTACGGGAGCTGACGAGGATTAACGCTGGCGCTCCTGGAAACAACTTATCCCATCCGCAATCTTAAGGAAAGGACAGTGCGGAAAAGGAAAGCACTTCCGCTTTTTTTCTTGACTTCCACTGACCATGACGGCATTTGTTTCTTTAATCGTCTTGATTGTGTTTTTCTTTCTTGTTTCTATCAAAATATCCCGACACTTCTTCAAGTCTTTTCCCTCGTGGGTTCATGAGTCCTTGTTCTACTGAAGAAAGTATAGGTTCCTCTACTGATTCTGTATGTCTTTTTTCAGGGAGAAGTGGTGTTTCTTCAGGCTGAGGAGCGCGATATAGAAAAGCAAACAACAGCAGAACAACCAGTGTTAAAACAGCGGATCCCATGAAAAGAAGGTCCCAGCCCTGAATCGCCAACTCTGCTTTGCTAAGGAGTGGAGCAACAACTTTTCCTGCGGACATTGCGGCGATACCATAAGGCATTATAACAGGCTGAAAGAGGAATTGAAAAATATGACCATGTTTGCTTAGAAACCTTTCCCATCCACGAATGTGGGTGGTAATTCTAATCCGCCAAGATTTGACAGGATTAAAAATAATCGTTTTCTCGTAGAAGGATATTACAACTTTTCAGCGCGTGCAATCTTTCCGCTTCCTAGCATTATGACCAAATTCGCCGAATCAGCCAGAGGGCTTGCCTCGCGTTTGTCTCATCTCGCTAAGCCAATCGAAATCGCGCTGCGTGATTGCTTCAATTCGCTAAAACAATTTAATAAGCTTCGCCACGCCTTTTCCTCAGTGCGATAAACCAATCAAAGTCTGCCTGTGTTTGACCTAACTCTCTGATCTAGGGAAATCCACATCGAAAACCGCACCGCTTCTCGTCAGTTTGTCTGATGTTATGGTGACCGTTGTATTCACTTTTCATACGAAAATCGCTTTGTTAGAAATGAGAAGAAACACAACAGCACTCATTCCTACTGATAGATTCTCGCGCTTTTCATTCACTTGAGTCCCGTGATGCTTTGTGCACCTACCATCATAGCCTTGGGTACATATTTGGTCATCAATGAAGGCAATACCACTCCAGCCACAGAGTACGTTAAAAACACCACTAACGCTCCGCTTATAAAGAGCCCTTCCTTAGCTGCAACTGGTAAAGACTTTAAAACCTGAAGAAACGCATAATGTATTCAATTAATATCTTTCTATGAACTTCTTTCACATTACCTAAACACATACATTTTTCTTATCTGGTAATGCAAACGAAAAGTAAAGATGCATAAATTTCTCTAACATAGGCTCAAATAGCGAACATTGCTTCTATACCTCAATATATCTGTCGTATTACTATCTTTGTTACGAGAGTTTTAACTCGGACCAATAACTATTTCATTTTACTAATCGAGCACTTTCCTTTTGCAGGTATGAGCTGTTTTGCGATAAGTTTTTCTTTTATATACGCGCGCAGCCTAACCTGGCCGGCAGGCTCCGAATGTTACGAAGCCGCTTCTTTATAAAAAGAGGGAGAATGGAGAATCGGTCGTCTCTTGCCTAGAAACGATCGAAGAACTGATCGAAGTGAATCACGTGCAAAAGAATCGAACAATTACTGTAAAATCTGTTAGTAACATACTCACCGAAGGACCACCCAGATAGGAAATAACTATTGCGATTATCATGACGGTATATGAAATCACCAATGCTCTCCAGTCACCGTTTCTATTGTTAGCCATACAACTGGATTTAGACACCTGCGCCATGCTTAACGATGATATTGTTGCTGTTGCAGACACGCCGACCATCAGCCAGCCATATTTGTGCAATATAAAATGGAAATGGTTGTACGCGATCAAAGGCAGTACAAACCCCACCCATGTGGTCACAAAACCATTCAAAAGATACAGCATCAGACCCAGAAGTACACCACGTGACTTGAGCAAGCTTTTTACTGATGTGCCAGCTTCTGAGCCGCCTGGAAAACAAATGTGAAGAACGAATCGAATGTGAACGCATTAAACAAATAGGAAAAAATTTTCCATTGCTAAACTAGTCTTAAAGACCACAGAAATATGAATAAACCTACCTATCGGTGAACAGTTGTTTTCATTTAGTACGAAGGTGACCAGAACCAAACTGACGCACAAAAAGAGAATAGTGAGAGCTGCAGGTGCAGAATACTCATCTAATCCCGTTGCTTTACCGATAACGTTCTTGCCAAAGTGGGGTAAGAAGGTGGCAGATGCTGAAAACAAATTCAAAGCAATCAGAAATGTTTTCTTCCCCTAGTTATAGCAAGCTAAAATTCAACCTTGATGAGGAGGTAGGATACATTATAATGTATTCTTATTATTCGTGAATGCATTATAAGGCTTTTTAGTTTAGCCAAGTGAGGGGAAAAATTCACAGTACAAAATGATTATCGAAGCTTAAGGTACTACTCCATGTTGTCATTGAAGTTATTATGGCGATGATGACGATGTAATCCTGCAATTATGATGATGGCGGTAATGGTGGTGGCCACGATAATGGTGAAGAAATGAGGATGATGATGATGAAGACAGTGATGGTGACGACGATCTGATGATGATGACGACAATAAATATTAAAAATAGAATGGTAATAACACACTAAAAATAAAGTACAAATATTGAGTGTATTTATTGTTGTTAATATTGCCAATTGTAATGACCAGCCTGCAAAATGTGGCTGGTCCTGGGACGAAAAATTGATACCAATACTGATATAATCGATCAGGCGACGAGTGGTGCGGGCGTGAATAATCTGTAACTCACCAATCGTAGAGGACATTACTCCAGCCATACACGTAACCCTGTAATAAGACATAAATTTGGTGCGGCTTTCTCGGCTGGTGTTAGCACCTATAAAACCATAAGCTACTCCTCCGCTACCTAGTAAGAAAGGTCACATATTAGCAGTCACTTTAAAATATCACACTAATCTTTCCTTCAATTCTTGTTCACTTCAAGAGATATCCCCCGGGGGGTACTCCTAGGAATTTTTGGCAGGGGTGTACGGTGTGCCGCCCGATCTTTAAATCTGGACCCTATTTTAGACCAAAAAATGTTATTTTTTACACCCGTTTTCAGACCTGGCCTCCAAAATACATACCCATTCTTAGACCTGGCCTTTAAGAAATTATGTCATAATCACTTCGATAAGAACAGCAACAAAAAAAGATTTCTTAAAATCTATTTCGAATTCGCATATTTCTCTTTCTTTCTTCTTCATATTGGAATTGAAAGAATAAATACATTCATACACTCCCGCAGTTCCCTTAAAAACCACACCCGATTCCAGACCAAAAAGTTTTCTGATCAAAACGGCCCAAAAACCATACCCTTTGGGGCGGCACATACCTATATAGCTTAAATAATGGAGTACACCCTCCTCGGGAGATAACCGTCAAAACGAAGCCTTCAGACAGATTGGTAGCGGTAGCAACATAACAGATCCTTCCAAAGTTTTTTCAACTTAAAACTGGGGCCAGTTAGCGATAATTTGTGGCTGGAAACGCCTTAAAATCAGTAAAGTTGCCAAGTTTAAACGATATTTGTTAAAAACTAGCTGTAACTCTGCAAAATCGCTGAACTTTACAAAAGTTTATGTTTGTTTGGTTGGGGGTCAAATTCGTAGCCCCCCCCCCCCCCTCCCCCCCCCCACAAACACACAAGGTGTTTCCAGCAGTGTCAAACAATAATCGTCTTTATCAAAACTCGAAAAAACAGTTCTTCTAATTCAGCATTAATTGTTATTGAACTAACAAATGAATTCAGTCCACCCCACCTTACCTGCCCCCAAACCAGCTAAAGCTCTTCCCAGGATAATCAGCGCAACAGAATGAGCTCTATCCGCTGCCATGTATGTCACGTTCCCGCCAATGGCAATTATGATAGAACAGATGAGGACAATCTTAATCTGTCGCAGCTTTTTTACAAGCAGGCTAGCTACTGGTTGAGAGATTGCTTGACCCAATGGAAACAGGCTTTGAGCTAAAGAGAGATAGGCCGCCGAAGAAGAAGTATTGCTAGACATCTGTAAGATTAACGAGGAGAAATGTTACAATGTAGTCACGCAATGGATTTTTAAAGCTGAAAATAATCTTGTATTATTCTTAAATTATCGCTTATGACATGTCCCTTTTAGAATATTTTGGGGTATCAATTATAGTTAGTGCAGGATTTTTCGTTTTGTTGACAAGTTTTGCCCTTTAGAGAATGGAATAAGTTGAAAACATATAATTGTATTGTATTTACAGTTTTTTAATTGTTAAAATAATCTTAAAATTTCGCAAATTTCAGCCTTGATATTGCTATAATATATATTCTTATAGAAACGGCAGTTTTGGGAAAGCAACAGCTTGTGATTTCATAAAATGCCAATGCTTTCGCTGAACCTATTTTATTTATTTATTTTTTGACCTCGTTACTCTGTTAAGGTGACTCGACCCAGTTTTTTTGGGGGGGGTACCATCCTACTTTGAAGCTCTCTGGTATCCCCACCTTTACTTTTATCGTAAGTCTAACACATAGAATGGATAACATATAGATCAATCTGCAATATAACATAAAATTTTTGGCGATCGGAGTAAATGTCACGTGATTATAATGCCACGCCCCTTTGAGGTCTGAGTCGAAAATCGGCTGTTGCCAGCATTTTGTTGTGAAAATCTCTCGGCTACACATAGTGCGCATTAGTGCCTTGCGCTGAACAGAGTTTCGCCAAAATCGCAAAGACCCAATTCGAGAAATTCAGCGGTTTCCAAATTTAGGTCATAATTTATGCGAAAATGATAAGCAAACTTTACACGGATTATGTCTAATAAACCAAGAGATTCATCCCTTTATTTGGGCATCGTTATAACAGATGGGTCCTTGCAAGTCAGCAAAACGCTTTAGGGCCTTGTAAATGCGCGCGATTTCGAGCAAAGCAAACATATAGAAATTATAGTTTTCGCTATTTGTTGACGTTTGTCAGCGTTTAAGAGTCCTTCTCACGAAAAAAGCATTTTCTTAAAAATTCGTAGTTTTTTTTCCTTCAAATTTTTTCAGGGCCACAATTGATTAACTAACTACCCGGACTCTGAATTTCATGGTCATTGAAAAACTGTGACATTATCTTCTATAAGCTCAAACTTGAGTAAACATTGAAGATTTTTAGCGTTTTGGCTGAGTTTGTGCTTTGGGAGTTGTCTATTGTTTCTAGTCTGTCATTATACAGCATTCTTGTTCAGCACGCGTGCAATGACCGCGCTTGGCTGACTTCCGAATGCTCACCGAGATATTATAAATTTGGTACAGTGAGACAGGCCATCGCGTGATACATAGAGGTTTAACTAACAATTTTTAATCAATTCTCGTGCTTCTTGTGTCTTTGCAAAAAAATCAAGAAGTGCTACACACTAAGTCTACTTACTATTACAAAAATATCATTTTTTCATAGGTTTAATGCAAGCCAATAATTAAACCAACTCGTGACGGGAATATCTCGGTGAGCATTCGGAAGTCAGCCAAGCGTGGTCATTGCACGCGTGCTGAACAAGAATGCTGTATAATGACAGACTAGAAACAATAGACAACTCCCAAAGCACAAACTCAGCCAAAACGCTAAAAATCTTCAATGTTTACTCAAGTTTGAGCTTATAGAAGATAATGTCACAGTTTTTCAATGACCATGAAATTCAGAGTCCGGGTAGTTAGTTAATCAATTGTGGCCCTGAAAAAATTTGAAGGAAAAAAAACTACGAATTTTTAAGAAAATGCTTTTTTCGTGAGAAGGACTCTCAAACGCTGACAAACGTCAACAAATAGCGAAAACTATAATTTCTATATGTTTGCTTTGCTCGAAATCGCGCGCATTTACAAGGCCCTAAAGCGTTTTGCTGACTTGCAAGGACCCATCTGTTATAACGATGCCCAAAATAAAGGGATGAATCTCTTGGTTTATTAGATATAATCCGTGTAAAGTTTGCTTATCATTTTCGCATAAATTATGACCTAAATTTGGAAACCGCTGAATTTCTCGAATTGGGTCTTTGCGATTTTGGCGAAACTCTGTTCAGCGCAAGGCACTAATGCGCACTATGTGTAGCCGAGAGATTTTCACAACAAAATGCTGGCAACAGCCGATTTTCGACTCAGACCTCAAAGGGGCGTGGCATTATAATCACGTGACATTTACTCCGATCGCCAAAAATTTTATGTTATATTGCAGATTGATCTATATGTTATCCATTCTATGTGTTAGACTTACGATAAAAGTAAAGGTGGGGATACCAGAGAGCTTCAAAGTAGGATGGTACCCCCTAAAAAAAACTGGGTCGAGTCACCTTAAAACGACATAAAAGGCACCGTATTTAAAAAATCCAAAATCCACCGGAAACCGTAAATCCTCAAATCTCAGTGTGCTTTCGATTATGAGCGCGAAGATACCAGGACATTGCTGATCTTATTTTCTATTTATTTCAGTTTTTCTGAAGGCAAAATTGAATTAATTGCAATAACCCGTCCAAACGAAAGAGTGATTTTAAGCGCGTGAAACAACTTCCAGTTTCTGATCGCTATTAATTAATCCATTTCATTTATAATACTGATTTTCCATGACCCAGTTGCATTTGTAATTATTTTTACAAACGTAGAAATGTCAGTGACTACTTACCGAAAGAATATACGGGTATATTGAAGTCATTACAATGGCCCATTCCAAATAATTGACGAAACCTACGAGAAAAACCACGGCTATGTTCGTCTTGCTTAGAGGCATCTTGAAAGCTCTATTTGCTCACGGCTGGTTTAGGAATGAGTTCTTTTACAGGTCAGCGAAATGTCCCCAGCAACCGTACGATCGGGAGCGATAAGACGCCTCTAGATGATTATACTTTTCCCTAAAAAGTCGAGATGATATAAATATGCTTTGATTTGAAACGAGAGTAAAAATAGATGCAAATATTACCAGATCTTTGCAGAGCGCGTGACTAGTCTGCACTTCCGTTTAAACAAATTTCACAATTCTTTTCCACGAGAAAAGGAACAAAATTTGGATTAAGACACATGGCTTGATTCCACTTTGACGTCAGCAGCGCAACCCACTCAAAGCGCGTCTAATGTAAAAAAGGGAATGCCCCTTTGCCCCGTGACATGCCGCGATTGATTAGATCATACAAAATCCTAGTTCCGCTTCCCTTGGCACTTTTCCTTTCCACGAAATGTCATTGCTATTTTTAAAAACGAAAAACTAAGGAAGCGAGAGGGTAATGCTAGAGAGACTTAGTCTCTACAACGATGTATTGCTTGTGGCGTCATCGCCTTTGCAGGAGCGCATTACACAACAAGAATTTCTGTTCTCCACTTCTGTTCACAGCGACAAAAACAAAATATGCATCCGAGAGAAAGACTGTAGAAGAATCAAGATGTGCGCAGGTGAGCGATTACCTTACTTTAATTTTTTGTTGTCAAACAACAATCGGGATTGAAGTGTAATATTTTTTTCTCTTCCATACAGAATGACCTCTTCATCTCCCTTTAATTGCGAAACTCCAAACTTAATTTTAAAAGATGTGAACCGTCAGGAAAAGGATTTTTTCCAGAAATTGGAGCATAGTTTGTTTTCTGAAATAGGTTTAAACTCTTGGTTTAAAAAAATCTGACAATTTAAACAACACGTTGTTCACTTCCATTCTTATACCATGTCAGGTCGGCTAGAACTTGACGTTCTCATTGATATTTTGCAGAACTCTTTCGACCAAACAACCTTGCAAACTAGAGTGCTCCAGTGGGATGAAAAGTTGCCAATTCCCGCCCCACCCCCACTAAGGAGCTTGGTGGAGCATTTGGTTAGACGGAGATTGCCTTCCTGCGCGACAAGTGTCGAGAATGGTTTGAACAATCTTTTTGTGCATTCAGCCTGTCGGGTTTTAGGACTGCGTGATGCCCATAAAAGGTATGAAAGAGCGAGAACAAGTTAAAAAAAAAAAAAAAAACATAACAGTGCATAAGGGTGGACCATTTTTGAGAGGGAGGTTGAGGGAGGGTTGGACAATTTTGTCTAGTTAAGAATTTTTTTTCGTCCTTGGGGTGTGCCACGATTTGTTTTAGCACCTTAACCCATTCGTCCCTGGAGATTTTGCCAAAAAAAGCGTTTTGAAGCTAGTAGAGCGGTTTTCTGGTCACTGTTGTGCTATAAAGAGCTCAAACCTGCCATAAAGCCGTTTGCAGGTTGTACACTTCACGGCCTTCTGATCCAGATGCAAACTATCAGCTTGCGAAGTTCGGGCACGCGAAGGGTTTAATAGCAACACGACAGTCTCGACTTTTACTTTTCGCTTTTTCTCCCCCTCTTTTTTCGTTTTTCTTGCCTTTTTTGTCTCTTCCTGGGCATTTAGTATGCTTCACTTTGGTGGGAAGAGTTTTTAGGAAAGTTTTTAGTATTAGGATTAGATTAAAGGAAAGGTAGGTGGATAGTGAAACAAGATTTTCACGGAAATTTTCGGGTCAATGTGACATGGTTTTTTGCCTTTTTCTCTGGTGTACTTGACTGAATTGTGCTCATTCTGGTATGGTTTAAAAGATCTCTCCACTCTGCACAAGTAAGCGGACATATAAGTTATCCCTGACCATTAAAACTGATGACGTCACAAGCGGTAGAAACGAAGTGGATCCGCGCGGGCGGTTAGGAGCGGCTCAGGGGCGAATGGGTTAAGGTTGTGCACGAATTTTTTTCTTCGGTTTTCAGTCTTCATATTTATTAAAATATCACCAAAAGGCTCAAAGATCGGTGTTACCAGTGACTTCCCAAAAGAAATCGCCGATATGCACAAGAAACTTTACCCAATCTTGAAAGCTGCTAAAGCCCAGAAGAAAAAAGCTTTCTTTAATGTCGACAAACTTATTATTGAAGGGCAAGTTTCTCGTGGAAAAGAAACTAAAGATCTTCCTCTGTACGGTAAAGTTATGGTACATGATTAGTCAGTTGCTGTAAATAATTGATTCCTTTCGCGCTCCTAAGAGTTGCTTCGCTCATAGCGCCTACTTATTTAGCAGTAAACTGTTCATAGGGAACCCGTTTAGGTGTAAGAAGAGGTTTCCCTACTTTGAGCAATTTGTGCCCTAGTAACTGTGCGTTTTGTGTCTTAGCGTTTCTGTATAGCCGTTTCTATTTACATGTTTAGAATCTATTTTGATATACTTAGATTTATCTCCCTACAGCTTAGTCTTGTACTCCTTCAGCTTGCGATAAGGCTGATTACTAATGTTTATTATTTAATTTACATTAAGTACACCTTCAATTCAAAATTGCTCTCATTCGAAATGTTTTTCAATATCTTCCTCAACGAAACCGATAGAATATTCTATGCTGCTAATTCACGCCTGTCCCGTTTAGACTCTCCTTTTGTTCTTTAAACGTAAGAGGTTTAAATCAAGCTACAGTCTCAGTCAAAATGGTTGGGACACTTTGGGGCCTCCTTGTCCCCTCAATGTTGGTGTACAAGATTTGGTGACCGAACCGCGATAAACAACTTTGAGAGGGACGAGGTGAGCACGAGAAGAGAAAAAAACAGCGTTTGGCTAAACTGTCCCAACTATTTTTGTCTGAGACTGTAGAAAGAGACGGCGGGTGTTTAGATGGCTCCACAATAAAAAATTCGACGTTGTTTATTTACAAGAAACTTACTCTTCCAAAAGTGTCGAAGAAATATGGAAAGCAGAATGGGGAGGGAAAATTTATTACAGTCATCGAACAACACATTCAAAAGGTGTGATGATATCATTTCAACCGAGTCTGGATTTCGAAACAGAAAGCATCTTCGCTGATAGGAATGGACGATACTTGCTATTAAAAGCCAACGGGCTAGAATCTTCCTTCTTGTTTGGCAACATTTACGCGCCAAATGACTCTACCGCCCAGATAGCCTTCTTTCGGAATCTTGATAACATTCTGCTACCATTTGCAGATGCACAAATCATCTTGGGAGGTGACATGAATTGCCCATTAACACTTACAGATAAAATGGGTGGTGCTACTGTTCAGAAAAAACAAAAAGTCATTGACGAGATTGAAGGCTTAACCCGGCGTTTTAAACTTCATGACATTTGGAGAAATCAACATACCAACAAAACACAATTTACATGGCGTAACAATTCCTTGAAAGTGCAATGCCGCTTAGATTATTGGCTTGTGTCGAAAGAATTGTTGATGTCTGTCATTGATACTAACATCACCAACCCCACAATATCTGATCATAGCGCTATCACTTTCACTCTTCAATCGAAAGAATACGCTAAATGTGGACCTGGGTTTTGGAAAATTAATAACGCTTTGCTGAAAGATGCAAATTTCATTGACGAGCTCGTAAGCAAAATACCCGAATACAAAAGCAAACACTGTTACCTTACTAATGAAGGCCTGTACTGGGACATGCTCAAGATGATATGGAGATTAGAGGTTTCTGTGTACAATACTCAAAAAGGAAAAACAGAATAAAAAGAAATAAGGAACGAGACCTTCAGAAAGAAATTGATCACCTAATGGCCTTGCTGCAATCCAACAGATCGAAAGAAAATATCACTAAACTCTACCAATTAAGAGCTCAACTCAATCAGATTGCTGAATATAAAACCGAGGGTGCAATGATTAGAAGTAGGATACGCTGGCACGAAAAAGGAGAAAAGAATACTAAATACTTCTTAAATCTTGAGAAAAGGAGGTTTGCAAAAACTCACACAACTAGGCTTAAAACAACTACTGGCTCGGAAACTTCTTGCGAAAAAGAGATTTTGGAAATGCAGAGAGCATTTTATGAAAATTTATATACGAGCGCTCCCTGTGATATTATTGCACGCGATGCTTTCCTGGGAGACCCTAACCTCGTCAAACTCGACGAAAACGACCTAAATGAACTTGAACAGCCTTTGTCGAAAACCGAGTGTTTCAACGTTCTTAAACAGTGTGCTAAAAACAAATGTGCTGGCAGCGACGGTCTCTCAGCTGAGTTCTATTTGCACTTCTGGCATCTACTTGGTGATGAGATGGTCCAAAGCTTTAACTATGCTCATAAAGTAGAACAACTCAACATAACACAAAGACAAGGTATAATAAAGGTCATACCGAAAAAACGCAAAAACAGGTTGTATTTGGAACATTGGAGACCGCTAACGTTACTTAACGTCGATTATAAAATAGCAACCAAATCTATAGCCCATAGAATCGCTAAAGTCCTCCCCAAATTAATTAATAAATGACGACCAAACTGGCTATGTCAAGGGCCGCTATATAGGACAGAACATTAGACTCATTAACGATATCATAGATAACTGAGCTAGAAAACATTCCCGGCATGGCGATTTTTGTGGACTTTAAAAAAGCTTTTGACACCGTCGACTGGAACTTCCTTTTTAAGACCTTGGAGGCATTAAATTTCGGCCCTCAGTTACTACAGTGAATCCGAACCTTTTACACTGACTGTTCTAGCTGTGTAGTAAATAATGGTTACGCCTCTGTCTTCTTTAAACTACAAAGAGGTGTTCGCCAAGGGTGCCCTCTTTCCGGCTCCCTATTTGTGCTGTGCGCTGAAATTCTTGCTAATGCAACAAGGTCTAATGCAAATATTCAAGGAATCAACATATATGGAAAAGAATTCAAAATTTCACAATACGCAGATGATACCACTGTTTTTGTTTCTGATATAAGAACTGCCCCAAACCTCTTCCAACTGCTCCACGCTTTTCAAAAATGCTCTGGTTTTGAAGTAAACAGAAGCAAGACAGAGGGCTTGTGGCTAGGCGCGAACAAAAACAACCCGGAAGAACCTCTTGATATTGCATGGCCAAAAGATCCTGTATTTGCACTTGGTATTCACTTCTCTTATGATGACGAAACTGCTTTCAAAAGGAACTTTGAACAACTGTCCTCGATGACTTCCTTGCTAAACTTGTGGTACCCTAGGAACTTAACTTTACATGGTCGAATTGTCATTTTAAAAGCATTAGCTCTCTCCAAACTTATTTATAACACTGCTGTCCTCACTGTCACCCCCACATTTATTCAAAAAGTTAATAAAGCTATTACTCAATTCGTCTGGCAAAAGAAAAAACCAAAAATAAAACAAACTACCCTGATTTGCCCTAAAGAAAAAGGTGGTCTCTCATTGCCTGATTTTGACATAATCAACAATGCTCTCAAAGCAACTTGGATCAGAAGACTAGACAGCTGTCATCCCACCGCGAGTTGGTCTCACATTCCTGTTTCCTTGCTAGAGCGAGTTGGTGGTCTCTTTCTCCTTAAATGTAACTTTGAACTTAAACATCTTAACATACACATTCCATTGATCTTTTACGAGAAAGCCTTGTTGGCCTGGCAATCTATAAATTCGTTCACTCCCTCCTCAAAAGAAGAAATACTGAATGAATTCTTATGGAACAACCGCTTTATTAGGATCAACAATTATTCAGTATACTATAAAGCATGGCATGTAGCGGGTGTTGAAAAAATTGGAGATCTCTTCAACGGCAATACCTTTCTATCTCACCAAGACTTCTGCTCTCATTTTGGTCTTAAAACTAATTTTCTTACCTACTACGGTTTATGCAAAGCAATTCCTCCTAACTGGATTAAAATAATGAAAGGTAAATTACAACCGCCTTCGAATAAATCCATAAGTATGGATAGAATTCCCGTTGAGAAGCTTTCTTCTAAACTTGCTACCAACTTTTTTGTTGAAAGGAAATTTGTTCCTACCACCGCCAAAAAAAGACTCAGAAAAGCTAGTTTAAATGAACAGCAAATTTCTCAAATTTACAAGATGCCTTTCAGTGCTACGAAAGACATACAACTCTCAATGTTTCAGTTCAAGATCTTACGCCACATCTTACCCACCAACGCTACATTATATAAATTCGGAATTAAAGAACATGACCGCTGTCTTTTATGCGCTGAAAAGCAAACAATCACACACCTATTTGTGACTTGCCCCAATGCTCAGCTGTTTTGGACACATTTTTCAGTTTGGTGGCGCGAAAAAAACAACATTGAGATCTCGCTTTCTGAAGCACAAACACTTTATGGCATTACAGACACCGTGCTTCAGTGTCTTGGTTTAAACCTCTGCTTGATAATTGCAAAATACTATATTTAAACCACGTCTAAAAATGAGGGAGATTCTTTTTTCGACGCTTTTTTGTCTATCCTTAAAAATAAAATACAAATTGAAACTAGCAAAGCTAAGGTGCAAGTCAAGCTGTAAAAATAATTTTCTTGATTCTGGCTAATTTCCCTTGTTTTTTGGCTTTTTTGTTTTGTTTGTTTGTTATTTATTTATTTATTTTTTGTCGTTTTTAGCGTATTTACTCTTCGTTAATAGATAGTAAGTTAGTAATTAGTTGTATTAGAATTCTTTTTTCATTATTTTGTAACAGACTCCAACTCATCTGCTCCTGTTTTGTAAGCATTATCTTGTAAGTTAATATTATGTAAGTAAGTAGTATTTAACTTAGCAAGTTATATGTGAGTAGGTATTAAAGCTTTATGTAACTAAGTAAGTACTGTGTAAGTGAGTCAGCATTATGTTTGTAAAAACAATAAAAATTAAAAAAAACAAAACAAAACAAAACAAAACAAAACAAAAAAAAATATCACCAAAAAAGAGCATTTCATGAGGTATGCCTATACAAGTATGGAATAGAAAATTACACATGTGCCTCAAGCACTACTTTATCTCCAGGCTGATACAAGCTGCGATTTAGTCTATTCAGTGTTAAATGGAAAATTCCGCTTAATAGAGGTGTCCGCCTAATAGAGGTTGGTTTTAGAAGAAAATATAAGACACTTATTTCAGGACCGGACTAAATGTCCGCTTAATAGAGGGTGTCAGCCAGGAGGTGGCAGCTGAATCGAGGGTCTGCCTAATATAGGTTTCACTTTATAATAATTCAAAACTTCAGTATAGCGCTTTTTCGAAATAGATCAAAAGCACTTTACAATAACTGATTAAATCATATGTAAGAACATGAATAAAATAAGTAGAATTACATCGATAGTAAATAAGCAAAATAGTAAATAATAAAAAACACAACTATATATTCAAAGTGACTCGCTCAAAGGAAAGGTCTTTATCACTCTACCATTAAACTTTCCTTTTATAGAATGGTTTTACTTAATTACAAATCCTTAAAAAAGTTTGTAGTGGGCACTATCAGACACTATTTTGTTGTTTTCATTTGTTTTAATTTTGACAGTCTATTACACACCAACTGTTAGCAGAGTTCTATCTAGGATTTTCAGGAAATGTTTGAATGATAACCGCGGATTTGGTACGTGTGCTTCAGTGCCCTCTCTTGATATGCGCTGATATGCAATCTGGTGCATTTTGAGAAATGTTACAGTGAGTGCACTGACCTCGTCGCGTCTGGATGAATTTTCCGATATAGTTACTTATATACTGTGATGATAACAGTATTTTTTTCGGGGGAAGTGGGGCATTTTTTTTTGGCGGGGGGGCTTCTACCCCTCAAACACCCTAGATAAAAACCTGGTTACATAGTGTTTATGGGTTTAAGTACAACCACTCTACCATTTGTCCTTTATGGTTGTGTACTTTTAAGACTGTATGAACACAATAATTAATAATTAATAATTATCGTTTATTCAATTAATAGATATCGCATATGTTGAAAATAGCTGAACGTTATCAGTTTAATAAAAGAAATGGAAAATGGTATTTTCATGACAGGAATTTTATGTTACACCAAATTCAGTGAAATGGTTCAAATTTATGTTTTAGTACAAGAGACAGATGGAAATGATGTATTTATGATATTTATGATATGAAACACAAAGAGGTGAATTATTATACAAATAATTACAAGGCATTTTTGTGTGTTGAAATTAAATTATGACAAAAATTACATATTATTTTTTCATTTGGCCTAGCGATCCTACGAGTAAAAAGGCTTACTCGATTTTTTTCCTTGGCCCACTGTGCATGATTTGTTTTCTCTGCTTTAAGCTGTGCAGGAATTGTTTTGGGTAATTGCCTACCCCGCCTCAAAAATAAAATGGTCCATCCCTAAGTACCCGATTTTCTGAAAACGAAGCTAGTGAAATTTGTGTGAAAACGCGTCAAAACGCGTCAAAGCAATGGTCGCACTCTTAATCTAACTTCCACCCAGTTATTTTATTTAGGAGATTTGATGACATTTGAAAAAAACAAGAGAAGAAGTTCATTAAAGGGAAAATATTTTATACAAAAAATATTACTGGTTTTAAAAAGGTTACGTGGAAGCTAACCGCAGAGCGTTGCAATGGAGCACTCAACGCAGTGTAAACTCAAAACTACTTGCAGCATCTAACTGTATCCTACTCTTAATTCTTTAACCCAACCCCAATCCTTTTCTTGGTACATTTGAAGCGTAGCATTGGCTCGGTGGGTAATTATCTCGAAACCAAAACAAACAAACAAACAAACAGACAAACAAAAAACACCACTCTAAAACAGTTAATGTCCTTGGTTTTTTTCAGACTGCACAAAAGGCACTGCGATGACCTCCTAAACAACTGCTGGTATGCTCCCTCAAATCATGGAGACACATTTGGAATTCGCCATGATGAAATATACTTCCACGAGAACATCATCCCTTCACAACCTGTGACGTCATATGCAGTGCTTATCCGAGGGAGCCCAAAGCATCCTGGGACATCCGTAGATGGGGGCATTGGCGAGGACATCAGTTCACACGCAGTTTCTATGCAAGATTGCGGAGACATTATGATTGAACGAGCTAGTTCTCTAATAGACGGACTCATGAAAGCCAGAGATTTGTATAGAAGCACTGAATTTACCCAACATGACGAGATTCATAGAGATCTGAAATCATAGACCCCTGCTGATGTTCGCCTATTCAATAGGCGAACATCAGCAGGGGAGCTCTGTAGAAGTAATCAACTTTTTACGGCTCATTTGCTTGGAGGTGACAAATTCTCATATCAACGGAATTCCTGTAGTCAACAAGATTTCGGTTCAACAAAAAACTCAACTACAAATTAGCCGCATTGGAAGTCTTTCTTCCGAACCGGAATGCATTTGCCTCTGTAGTGGCTTCTCTTAAAATTTATTGTACTTCGAGAAGAGTGATTTTACGCACTTCTTACTGGGGAATTTTCCATTGTATATTTTGTTTACTTGTATTTATTAAACACTAGGCGCCAATTATTTAACTGGTATATTACAAAATCGCGTCATAATTAAGCCCTTTTCTGTTTAACCAACGCTTTTATCAAACCTCATTTATCGTGAATAATTTCAATACAGCATATAAGGCAGACTGGAAAACTAAAGCACTTATTTTCTTAAACTAACCCACCAAGAAAGAGGCCTGGAGGTTCAATGATTTCTGAAACCGCGGCCTAAGGTAACACGTAATGGTTTGAAAGTAATGTCACTCTATTTTCTTTTTGCCTCTCTCGCAAGTGAAAGTGAGAGTTCACAGAGACTGTGCGGTTTTCTCGAGTGCGTCTTAGAAGCTGCCTTAACGGAAAGGTTACTACACTACCTGAATTAAAACATCGAGGAAATTGTTAATTTAAAGCCGCGGAGTATTTTCCCCAACAATGAATAATATTACCTCTAACTTTCTGCGATAACACTGCAAAATATTTCAGATTATTTTTCAACCGAATAGGCTGCGAATTTAATGCGATGATCATGGTCACTTTCATACCTTCATCCGCATTTCAAATATTTCAATTCATGCTTACAAGAACTCCCTAATTTTATGTCTGAACGCAAGGCTTTTTTAATGGAAACTTCATTCAAGGGCAGAACTAACACTAAGCGCTAAACGGAAACTGCCTTATGAAAAAACTTTTAAAATTGACGCGCTGTTTTAAAGGCCTCACTGGATCTGGATGGGGTTAAATACAAACATAAGCGAAACACTAAATAAAATTCTCACGGAGCCACAGCCTAAAAAGGCTAAGCTGCTCTGTTGAATCAGGAAGGCCAAACTTTTTGTCTTAATGTTGGTCAGAGATTCAAACAATATCTAAAAGAGAGTTTTTAGTTCCCTCTGAGACACCCGGAGAATAAAATTCTCACAGAGCCACAGCCTAAAAAGGCTAAGCTGCTCTGTTGAATCAAGAAGGCCAAACTTTTTTTCTTAATGCTGGACAGAGATTAAAACAATATCTAAAAGCGAGTTTTTGGTTCCCTCTGAGACACCCGGAGAATAAAATTCTCACAGAGCCACAGCCTAAAAAGGCTAAGCTGCTCTGTTGCATCAGGAAGGCCAAACTTTTTTTCTTAATGCTGGACAGAGATTCAAACAATATCTAAAAGCGAGTTTTTAGTTCCCTCTGAGACACCCGGAGAATAAAATTCTCACAGAGCCACAGCCTAAAAAGGCTAAGCTGCTCTGTTGCATCAGGAAGGCCAAACTTTTTTTCTTAATGCTGGACAGAGATTAAAACAATATCTAAAAGAGAGTTTTTGGTTCCCTCTGAGTCACCCGGAGAATAAAATTCTCACAGAGCCACAGCCTAAAAAGGCTAAGCTGCCCTGTTGCATCAGGAAGGCCAAACTTTTTTCCTTAATGCTGGACAGAGATTCAAACAATATCTAAAAGCGAGTTTTTAGTTCCCTCTGAGACACCCGGAGAATAAAATTCTCACAGAGCCACAGCCTAAAAAGGCTAAGCTGCTCTGTTGCATCAGGAAGGCCAAACTTTTTTTCTTAATGCTGGACAGAGATTCAAACAAGATCTAAAAGCGAGTTTTTAGTTCCCTCTGAGACACCCGGAGAATAAAATTCTCACAGAGCCACAGCCTAAAAAGGCTAAGCTGCTCTGTTGCATCAGGAAGGCCAAACTCATGCAAACTGTTTTACTTAATGTGGGGCATGCACTATCATCTTCACAGATCTAATCAGTGCAAAATTAAATAAAGCTTTAATCTGTAAATCAATTTTTGGTTTATGAAATTTTACTCACTTTTACCGACAGTTGATAGCCACTTGCTTTGGCAAAATAAATTTTCCTGTTTTCTTAAAAGGGATTCGATAAAATTGAAAATATCCACTACGATCCACACTTAAAAACTGAACTCTGACTCGTTTGCGATCAGGCTTAAGAAATAGTGATCTCCATCAACATTCTCCATGAACATTACACTTTCACATCATTAGCAGTTATAGAGAATTTATGAAATGATCGAGTGATCAGTGTCGCCCTTAAAACGTTTTTGCGCCAAAATGATAATAGGTATCCATTTGAAGATGATACAAAGGAACCCAAAATAGACTTACCAAGTTTCGGCCGATGTTTAGAAAATTGAAAAGGGCTGGAGAGCATCACCATTCAGGCTAAATCCAGTCAGCGACCCTTAATAAAAATCATTTAAGCTTACATAATCAACAACGACGTGAATTCCCGAGTTTCTGACTTGACGGTCATCTGCCACAGTCAGGAAATCGTACGATATTCCTTCTCGAATGAATCCCTCATTTTAATTTCCCCAATTCATTAATCCACGACCAAGTACCTTTTCGAGATCTTCTCCGCACGACGAAACGCTTTCTCTGACTTCTCTGACCGCTCCCGCTATATTTTCTAGTAGCTGCAATTTAGTCCTTCTTTGATCGCTTTAAACCCGCTTTCGTCTGCATTTCATCGACGCAAGTTAAAGGTTCGTGCTAAGGTTGAAACGACAACAACATGATCTTTCCTCTTTGAAAAACCAAACCTTGATGGGTTGACTCGAGCGCCAGTACTATCTGTACTATCGACCAAATCATAAATAACTATAAAGAATCGGCCCTGCTACTTCCAAACATCATCTCTACAAAAAAAGCATAAAATTTTGACTTGCCATGAATTCTATCTGTCGGTAAAACCATTTGGTCACTGATACTGCGTACGAGATTACCTTTGTTTGGCAAGCGAGGGTCCAAAGACTGAAGATGCTTTTCCCGACGAACGCGCCACTTTCATGACGGCTTTGAAATTCGCGCGAGATCGCATTGTGATACAAAATAATAGTATCTGTCTTTCTTCTCAGCTCGTCTTCCATGTGACGCAAAGTACACAAGTCATGACAGATTAGTGGCTATTAATTGAATCCTAATTAGGTTTTTACAAGGACACCGGAAATTGAAACTTCCTCCCTGTGGTGAATTTCAAAGTCGTATGAATCTCGTCATGTGTGATGAAAACAACAGCACTGTCGATGCAGTGGTATAACTATGTCTTTTCCTGTTCTATGCAATTCTTCCCAGGATCCATTGAGCGCTACAAAGCTCCTGAAATCCATTCGAGACACATTATTGTAATGATACGAGGTAACATATATAAACTGGATTTGATTCGCAACGACGACGAAGGACGAGAAGAGATTATCACAAAAAGCCAGCTGAAAGTAAGTTGATAAACGTTTGAAATTTTGCTCTACAGTTAGTTTTAAAAATACCCACTACCAAAAGTACAGATAGAATATTTCAAGTTTAACAACCGAAAATAATTACTCTTTTATTAAGCTGCCTGGGCTTTAATAGCTAATTGAAAAGATGAACAAAAATGTAAAAAACTGAGGTCAATTTAGAGTAATCTCTCCCCAGTTTCCAATGGGTGTGTAAATTGACACTCAATTCAGGAGGATGAGTTCATATCATTCATAATGATGGTTCTTCTTTTCTTTTCTTCTTTTTTTTAACCTTGCTTTTTCAAGACGTTGAAAGAGATATATTTCGAAAAACTGGAGAGTCTTCGGGCCGACCTGCACCTACTACAAACAAGGTTTTTGATTGGCTGGGTAAACGATAGCGATGGTGACATAACAATGCCCATATCCCTGAAAACAATAGGTAATGCAGGTTATAGGGACCAATGAAATAAGAGGTTTGGATCCGTGCAGGTCAATCGAAAGCGTGTCTTTAAGAAGTTTCTGTAGCAACCAGAGAAAGCAAAAAACATCGAGCAAATGTGGTTGACAATTACTTCCTTTCTTTACGTGCGCGCTTGCTTTAACACACTTTTTTTATTTGGTTTCAGAAGAAATTCGAAACCATCGTAGAAATGGACGCGTCAAGAGAACAATCGACTCCAACAGCTTTTCTCACAAGCCTGACTCCATCTGAGAGATGTCAAGAAGAACAGCGCCTCAAGTGCCTCAGTCAACGAAATGTTGATAATCTTTCACTGCTCCGTGACGCTCTTTTCGTTGTGGCGCTCGACCCTGACACTTCTCCACGAGAAGCTAACGAAGCCATGTTCGAACTACATTCGGGAAACTTCGTAAACCGTTGGTATGACAAAAGCGTGCAGCTGGTTGTGTTTGGTAATGGTGTGGCGGGATTTGTCAATAACTATTTGGCTGGAATGACTGGTACGGTAGGGACGAACTTTGTACGAATTGCAGTGAAAAATGAAAGACTTGCTGGAGAAGAAACTGAAGACGGTGGGTTACGTTGTGACATAATTTTTACTCAAACTTGTTCTGCTCCCTTGAAGTTCAGTACTTAGAGTTTTTGTCACATTACTTTTGTCTTTATTTCAGTATTAAGAAATAGACAAGCGAAAGGGTACTACCTTAAAAATCCAAGAATACAAATTGTGTTTAACTTGATATTGGACAATCTTGTTATGATCAATTGACAGCTGTCAAGATAGGGTACCCGCTAACCATGTGTGCAACCCATTGAGATGACGTGTTTTTTAAAGTTGTCCGCTGAACAGTTAAGGTATTCAAGTGATCGCACGCTCAGAAACTTTACTTTGGAAAGACAGTTCCCAAAAGTACCCACGAGGGCTATTGGCCTTGGCTAAGTGTATATATTAAAGTTAGACATAATTTCGCTGAGTACGCAGGGGATACCTGATAATGAATTAAGTGGCATAAAAGTTTTGCAAGTGACGCACGTGTATCTTTAGCTTGTCCTGTTGAGACTATGGAGCTCAAATCCAGAGTTATTTGGGAGCCAAGGCGGCTGAAGCTTGCTAAGATTGAAGAAATGTTAAAGCAAGTAGTTGGTAAATGCACAGAGTTTTTTTGCAAATAATCTTTTAGGTATGTTGCAGTTTCAGCACAAATTGGGTGGTAAATTTTTAGCTTAAAAGAAATGGTGGAAAACTGGAAGTTCCGTGAGTGTAGGACCGATACCAAATATTTGAAACTGGCATAAACAAAGTTTCGCTCGGTTTCAGAATATCTCGTATTTTGGAGCTGAGTTTGTCATTCACAATCTTTTTTGTCTTATCAGGAGGATATGAGGACTTCAAGATCTGGCCAGAAGCAAGTCCTATAATCTGGGACGATACAAATGAAGAATATTTCAAACATAAGACAGCAGAGTTCATCAAGGAAAGTCGAACATCAGGTCCGTTTAAACAGATGTCTCAAGACGTATTCAGAATATGCGCTGGTTTCAGTTTTGAGTCCAGGTGTAAAGGTCATTGTGTGACCCCAGGGGGAGCCTTTCAAGCTGGAATGCAACTTGCGCTCGCTAAGATCTCTGGGAGATGTATGAGTGTTAACGAAGTCGTTAGTATAAGGTAAGACAAGTTTCTGTTCATCTTTTCAAGGAGAGTGCTAATCTCTCCCTACAACGAGAGGTTCTGTTTGATGCGTAATTAAAGATTTGTGGTTGAAACTCATCCCCGTAGTCTCGTTTTGTGGAGAAATTTTTTAAATAATAAAGAATTCATCTTTTATTCAAAATGTAAGATGACTGGACAGTGATAAATTTAGGTGTCGTGAAGGATGGCTTTCGCAAGAGAAAGTTTGAAAAAAGGATGGTCTGAAATATACAACGATATAAGCCCAGTTTCTTGACAGATATCCAGTTATGTGTCAGGTGGTTGTTTACCCGAGTTTGAAACTATGAGAAACTATGATCGCTTACTACTTGCGGTCGCTTATGACGGCAGATTCCTGTTGTAAAGGACCGTTGGTTTTGGATGGATGCCCGCTTACTGGAGTTGATCGCATCCCAGAAGGATACTCCCATAAATTTCTTAAAACCTGAGTCTATTTTAGGATGAGAAACTAAAATTGATACCCTTTTTAAGGATGACACCATATTCAAGAGAGAAGCAAAAAATAACACACAAACCTTTCTTAAATCGCTTTCCTTATACTCTAAGGAATAGATCAGTTTTAAGAAATAATTTGTTTCTCGTGTTGCTAGGAATTTACGCTCTTGAGTTTTACGTATCCTATCTAAGGATCACACCGGGACCAAAATGCATGCGATAAGGGCAAAAATGGTACCTTATTTAAGGTTCGAGACCCTTAAAAACCATACTCTGTATACTTTGCTCTCATATATGGGAGTGCCCCCCCCCGCCCCGGGTCACTTACTAGAGTTGGTCGCAGTTTTGACTGTGCTCAGTGAATCAGGAATTGCTATTGTTTACTATGTTCAACAGCGAGTTTGAAGGTTGGAACCTGTTGGGACTACCCCACGATACAATCTTTACCCCCCCTTTTCACAAATGTGTGGTTTCCAATCTCCGTTATTGAGCGTAATTTATCTTTAGCAGCGCATATGTTGTTTACCTCACTTATGTACTAGGCATTTCCGGTTTCATTATTTTTTATGTACTAAGCATTTCCGGTTTCCTTACGTTTTATGTACTAGGCATTTCCGGTTTGGTGGAATGACATTCATGGACAGTAGTATGGCGGACATGAAAAAATTCATCGAAAAAGCCCGCCAAACAGAAGGGAGCTTGCAAACCATGACAAAACAGGAACGTGTGTTGCTTAAATCTCTTCTGAAGAAAGCTATTGAAAGTTACAAAGATGAGGTCTTGCGTTACAAGAAAGGCCAAATGAACCTCTGGCATCTTGACGCTCTTTACAGAAACTTGGGACTGCCAAACCGCCTTCCGTTTAGGAATGCTCCACAACTACGGATCAAGAGAAGGTTTAAGCAAGCTGTTGCAGATTTACTCAGATCACCGCTGCTCAACATACTGCCACCTCAAGTTGCTGAAAACGTGACCTCCAATCCATGTTGGTATCCTGAGATCGAGGCTATTGGAAGGCCTGGGGTCAAGTGTATTCTGCCAGATGGATCAATGGCATTGCATTATATGTTTGGGAGAAATGCGATATCAATCACTTTGAATGCAAATTCTAAGCACCCTTGTTATAGATATGAAGAGGAGTTTGTCAAAGAACTCGAACAGTCATTGTTGTTTGTCAAAGACTTGCTTGATGCTGAATAAGCTAACATAGTTAAAGCTTCAGGACATTACATGCAATAATCCAATTTATACTACTACAGGAGAAATTTCTGCAATTTGATTGGCTTAGAGCAGTGGTATTTCAGCTTAATTTAATTACAAACCTTTTGCGGGTAGTAGTACAGTGTATAAACAAATAACAGCGTGATTTGTACGTGATATTTGGCATGAATACCACTCGTGATATTTTAAAATTGTCTCAAATTTCACTCGCCTAACGGCTCGTGAAATTACGTATAACAATTTCGAAATATCACTCGTGGTATTTATGCCAAATATCACTACTAATCATGCTATTACCTATACAAATTTTGATTACCACTGAGACAGACATATCCAATTCATTTAGAATAAACATGAATTTTATGTATTGAAACATAACAGATAGCTACTAGCTACCACTTATTAGATACTCACTTAAAAGAGAGCCCCATCAATGAAAGTATTGGTCAAGAGAAGAAGCCTCCCGTTCCTTATACGTGATTGAAACGGAAACTAGCTGCGTACTCAAGGCGAGCTGAAAAATTTACAGACAGACCCCAGATATTTCGAGGGTCTGAATAACGTTTTCTGTTAGTGTCATTTACACAGTATAATGGTAGTAAGAGTTCAAACAACTTCTGACATTTTAGTGTTCAATGTTTCAAAGGCCCAGTTTAAACCTCGAACTTTTCATTAGCTGGTAGGTTGTGAGTCGCTACTATTCATTGGGGTGTTACTTAAGACTCCTTCGGCCGGTATAAAGTTCAAATTTGGTGAAGACAAAATATATTTATAAGACATTACGTTAGTTAAACGTAAGATTTCGATCGCTGACATAGCACCATGGATGTCAAAAACAAGCCCAAAATTGTTAATTCAGAAGGTTTATGCAAAATCCATTCATCAGATTTTCTTATGAATTTGCAAATAGTTTACAATTAGGAATCCTGATTTTTGAAACACAACTTTATATAATTTAACCGAATTGTATTAAACAGTTTTTTAAATTTTTAACAAAATAGCTGTCATGTGAAATTTGATTTTTTGGTCACTAAAATCCTCTGTTAAACTTTAATTTTTTGGCTTTCAATGATTGAAGTGTGATATTGACTAGAATGTTGCCAAATTTTGTCACTTCTAATGAGAATATTTTGAGATTTCGTCGTATTTTTACATTGTCCATAAAAGTCAACAAAACAAGCGCTCTCACATTTTCCCCTAAGTACGCATGCTTAACACTCACGCTGGGGACAGGCGATATGACAAAGGCGACGGAAACAGAATTCTCCAGACAGCTTCTGGCCTTTTTCCCTCGCTAGTCCTCTTATTTTTTCTAAAAAATTCCCATTGGCTGCATATCTTCTCATTATAAAGATGTTAATAGCAGAGAGATAAAGCATTGCAAGGGGCGACAACAATTGCGTCAGTGAAATTTTTTAGTGCACACACTACTTTATGTCATAGAAACTGTGTTCAGCCCACAGGGTCCAGAGGAGTTTCGTGTGAATAAATGAATTACTTATGTTAAGTCTCACCTTAATAAATGTCTATACCTGTCGTTTAGCACGATTAATTAGCCCAATGGGATCTTTATGAATCACCCAGATCGGCTTTGTTGTGCGCCATTTTGAAAATCAACAACAGCAAGCCATATCCTCGCTGGCGCACGGCACGTCGCCCGAAGGGCGACCGAGGCGCGAAGTGCCGAGTAAAAACAAAAGGGACAAGTTTCCGTGTTTTATACTGTAGGCCGATCTCGTGACGAACACCTAAGAACGTCTACGAGGAAAGCTACGGTAACTTTAACACTATTTTAGGGGGCCGTAGAAAGCGTCCGTATTAACGAGGTATCCGTGTTAAGCGGGTCATGTTATGTAAGTAACTAGTAATAGTTGACACTACAGCTGCCCCCGCTCCGTATATTGTCGGTCAATAGTATTCTTGCTTGTTGCGTAGCTCTTTGAAATATACTGATTCATAATGAAGATTTTCAAATATAGGAAACGCAAGCGGTCCCATGCACAGTTTCAAAAAGATTTAATTAGAAGTTGAAGTTTCCGCTATTTCTCTTTCACTTTTTACATTGAGTTCATTTTATTTGCCGGAAAGTAAGCCTTAGAAATTAAAAGGACGTTTGATCAATTCACGCTCGCGCATTTTAGTCTTATTTTAAGGACATCTGTGAGCAGGGAATAAGTCAGCACAGAATTTGATTGTCGTCGAATTTCTGTAATTGTCCATCAATCTGCTAGTGAAAAGCTACCCGTTGTTCACTCGTCTTGCTTGTTTGGGGGCCGTGAGTCTTATTCCGGTCAAAGCGAGAGAAAGAGAGTCTGGCAAGGTTTCCAATCAAAGATTTGTGAACTCGTGTCTGGCAAACTCTCCAAGTGTTTATATATACACAGTTATACGCACCTTATAACTTCATCTGCGCTTAACGAGTGTCTTTCGGTCCATAACTTTCAAAACAACTGCTCCACAGAATGTCACTGATAACACGTAACGCAAAAGAATATCGGAGTATGACCGCACAATAAATGTCACAAAATCTACCTAAGCGGTCCCTTCGGAATTTTCTGTCTTTACGTCATCCTAACCCTTTCGTACTTGCGGGCGCAAACAATAGAAACGTCATCATTACCTACCGATTCCTCTCGGCCCCTGTTCAACGAATCGAGATTTTTTCTGGCATACTGACTGTATTTTTCAACTGTAAGTACTTTCCCTAATATACGAGCGAGTTACTAGAGTGCCTCCTCGGGATTTGCGGGGGCAAAAAATACCTATTTCTTTAAAGAAAATTACTAACAGAGGAGTACAGGACAATTAGCATACTCGGATTAAACATCTCTAACCTTTACAAAACCATCAACCGTGAACTATGTCTACATGCAGAAGAACTCAAAAGCCGCTCTTTTAAACGTTACTTAATCGCTGACTTAACGAAAGACCGTTTTCTGTTTGATGCCGACATACATTAGCTCAATTGATTGGTCGGGGGCGAGCTCTGGCTAGCTATACAAGAAACTTCACTCAGCACTCATAGCTCTTTAATTCTGTATTACTGTTGTTCTTAGATTTTACAACTTCTTTACAGTTTCAAATTTAAGCAGGCCAATAGCAAGCTCTAGTGTCCTGCTTTATGGAAATACGGCCGAGTTCACAGCGTTATAGGTGCGAACTGTCACTCACAATTCAGTTCATAAATTTCGAGAAGACAGCTGAACCCAGAAGATGCGTAGCTACAAAGTAAACGTGTTTTCTATAGTTTCACGACTAGAACTGGACTGTTTCCTAAAAACAAGACGCCAGTTTTTACGGAAAAATTACAAGTATCAATTTGGTAACAAAAACTTCGGTACAAGTCGAGTAGTTTACAATACTTACTACAAATAAGGACTAAACAAATGAAATATGAAAAAAGCCGGGCTTTAAACTCCCAGAGCAAGGCAGTTGAACGAACTACCTTTACAATATTCGTTGCACAACCTTATTGAACTATTCTAAAAGTAACACACGCTTAATCAAACTACAAAATAACAATTGGTTCAACAATTGAAGAAAGTGCTTGCAAGACTTTTTCATTAGAAAATCAGTTAAAGAGTGTGAGCGGCTTCTTAGGTAAAAGAAAAAAAGATTGACTACAGAATTAAAAAGAAACGGAAAATATCCACAGAAAAACAGAAGGCGCAAAAGAGACGTATACTGATCCGTAACTGTCCGAGTCCGTCCGGTTACGGCAACAGAAAGAGTCTTGTAATAACTTCCTTCGTTAAGATAACCCCAGAAAACGTTATAATGTCCAATAAACACTAAAACATTAAACAAAGTATATATAAACAGCTTACATAAACAGGATCGTCCCTATTTGAAATACTGATTACTGACCTAACACCTTTTAACAGCGACTCCCATTTCCGGAATGAAAATTCATTTATTCTATGGCATTGCAAATTCGTATTTCTCGTTCAAAATTGTGTATTAGCGTTCTTCAACATTCCTTCACGCTTAGATAAACGCCACTCCACTGGCGTGAGATGTTAAGTCAACAACAGTATCAATTCAGCTTGCGCGCTGATATGATCGTGCTTTCACCAGCGCATATTAACCGCTTTTGTATCTCGCAATTAAAGAAAACTTTTCCGATACGTTACGATAGTACGCTAGCCGGAAGGAGAACGGGATTCGTATATTGCGAGATACCGATCGGAGGTGAACTAAACAAAAGAAAGGATAATTATTGATATCAATAGACCGTGGATATCTCGGCTAATTTATTAACCTTTGTACAAAATGTTGTATTAAAAGGGGAATGTACAGCCGGATCAATTCAACAATATTTAAGACAACGAGACGCGTATCCAGATGGTTTCAATAACAATAAAAACAGTTAGTTGAAAAATAAAGACCAAGTTTATGTTGATGGCGACGAAGAATTTCGGACTATAAAGAGGTGTTGATATTTTATTTCGTTAAATATCACTTTATTCATTTTGAAGCGCGATATATTTTTCGTTTTCACATTGATGCCTGTCACTTTATAGTTAGTTGAAGTTCTTAGGCTAGTGATTGCCTGTTTTATGCGGAAGCCTCGATACTTCCGCATAGTTAGGATCTCCTTTGGACTGTTCGTTTCTTGGGGATAATTAACGCTGTTATGGTTAATTTGTACCCAGCTGCTCCTGTTCTCTTTCCCAGATGGCTTTCACATCCGCACTCAGGCTCCTTTAGAATTAATCGCCTCCTCTTTCTTACGCTTCGCTTCAGTTGTTCCACTTTATCTCGAAATTTTAAAAAAAGTTGAGAGAGCTTATATCACGAAATTTAATGTCCTCTACTGAAATCAGGATAATTGCGAAATACTGTCTGTCCTGTCCCGCCAAAATCGCGAAATTAAGTATCAACGAAATAAAGGACCAATTAGGATATGACATCAATATGATATCATTTACACTGAGTCTACCAGGTGATGTCTCTGTTCTATTTTAGGTTGAAGGTTA